TTATGGCGGGATTTTTCTGCTTCAAATTGCCTTTGTCGCTTTCAATCTCTTCCAGGGTGCCGGAATTCCGGACGTGACAGCCGGCCAGATCTTCTCGATCGCAAGCTATTCCTGGGAGTATGTCGAAGCAGCACTGATGCTTCCGGTCGCGCTTCAGAGCTGGTCACGCCTCAGCGAAATCATCTCACGTATCAACTCTGACAACGACGGATACTCAAATGCCTGATATGGCGATCAAGCCAGACCGTTTGCTTGCAGTTCTTTCCTTCGCGCCCTTCATTTCGTTGCTGCCAGGGCTTGTTGAAGCCGGGACACCACCGGAAGGCTACTGGCTTAACGGAGACAAGAGTGTCGTCGTTGCCATCGGCGCCTGTGAAGCGGGCAGTGCGAAACTCTGCGGGATAATTGTGGGTTTGCCAGGCGCGACCAGCAATACCGAACTCGAACGCTACCGCTCCGAGCTGTGCGGATTGCCCTTGATCTGGGACCTGCAGTCAGGCGACGGGAACCAATTCTGGCAGGACGGGAAAATTCTGGATCCCGAAACCGGGCAAGTCCACGACCTTCAGGCGAACTTCGTGGGACACGCTCTCGAGTTACGCGTTTTCGAAGCGCGGCGAACGAAAACGCACAAGCTGACCTGGCAAAAGGTTGAGACTTTCAAGGAGCCTTGCACATGAGAAAGGCAATCTGGATCGTGCTGGCCCTTGTGGCCCTTGTCGGCGTTGTTCTTTATCTGGAAACGCTTGAAGATGTTGCCGAAGTCACCGAAACGGGTGCCGAGGTGGCCCTGAGACCCGTGACCGTCGTTGATGCCAGGATTGGCAACCACGCGGGAACCATATCGGTTTTTGCGGAGGTCGTTCCGCGCTGGCAGGTCGACTTGCGCTCTCGCGTTGCAGGGATCGTCAAGGATATTTCTCCATTGGCGCTGGGCGGATCGAGGGTTCCCGGCGACACCGTCCTTCTGACGCTGGAGGAAGCTCCATTTCTGGCAAGTGTTGAAGAAGCACGCCATACGCTCAAGAATGCCGAATTCGGGCTGCGTCAGAAAGAAAACAAGCGCGACATCGCGCTGAAGGACTGGCGAGCGGTCAATCCGGACGAAGTACCGCCCGAAATGGCCATTCACCTGCCGGAGGTCCGGGTTGCCGAGCAATCCGTCGCCGCCGCCGAGGCACGTGTTGGCGCTGCTGAATTCGATTTGCGGTCAACGACAATCAGGGCCCCGTTCAATGCGATCGTGACGAAGCGGCGCGTCAGCCCAGGACAATCAGTCAATGAGGGGGACGTGCTGTTTTCCTTGCTTGATGACAGCCAACTGGACATACGCGTGTCTCTTTCCCCGAATGAGTGGAGATCGCTGGCGGCAAACTGGGAAGACGGGCGCGCGGATCTCTTTGACGACGCCGGTTCTCATATCGGAACCGCAAAGGTGAAGCGCGGCGGAGGTTTCCTCGAACCTCAGTCGCGCAGATACCAGCTCTTCCTCGAGGTGGACAGGTCCTCAGAGACACTTGCCTTGCCCGGACAGTTTGTCCGCGTTGCCCTGAAGGGGCAACAGGTCGAAAACACGCTCCGGATTCCCGAAAGCGCGCTGACGCAAAACGGTTTTGTCTGGTTTGTCGATCCGGCTGACCGATTGCAAAGATACGAAGCCTCCGCGTTGTTCCGCAACAGCGGAGATGTTGTCGTGAAAGCGCCAGACGATGCGTCCACAGGAGACGTGTTGCGGATCGTCCGGCTTCCCATGAGCGCTTATCTTCCGGGGCAAGTGGTGGCACCGGTAAGCGAAGGACAGGGCGAATGACCTGGCTCACAAACTGGTTTATCCGCAATCCGGTGGCAGCAAACCTGTTGATGGTTTTCATACTGATAACCGGCGTGACATCGCTCCTGACGATCCGAATAGAAGGTTTTCCGAAAATTCCGGCCGATACGGTGACCGTGTCCACTTTCTTCCCAAATGCCTACACGGCACAGGTCGACGAGCAGATCACGCAAAAGATGGAAAAGGCGATCGAGGGGCTCGAAGGTGTCAAGGCCGTCCGGTCGACCTCCGAACCTGGCTTTTCGCTGGTTTCAATTCAGAAAAACAACGGATACGACCTGCAAAAACTGCTCGACAACGTCCGCTTGAAGATCGACGGACTGGCAGATCTTCCTAAAGATGCCCGTCGACCGGTGATCGAGACCAACAATTTCGATGTGCCGGCCCTTTATGTTCAGGTCTTCGGCGAAACCGATCTCAAGTCCTTGCAGAAAATTGCCCGCGGGCTCAGGGCCGATCTGCTTGCCAGTCCTGAAATCTCCCGGGTCAACAACTGGGGCCTGCAGGATCAGGAAATTGCCATCGAGTTTCTGCCCGGCACACTGGAGCGCCTGAACCTCACACTTGCAGATGTCATGACCCGTATCCGGGAAACGTCGCTCTATTTTCAAGGCGGAACCTTGCGAACGGAAGGGGGATACGTCTCGCTGCGAGCCGACAGTCAGGCAAATTCGCTACGGGACTACCAGGACATTCCCGTTGTCAGATGGCCTGACGGAACGACGACCTTGCTTGGTGACATTGCGAAAATCACCGACGGATTTGAAGAAATCGACATTGAAACCCGCTTCAATCGTCAACCATCGGTCGGCATGGAAGTCCTCATCGGGCGCAAGGATAATCTGCTGCGCGTCTCGGAGGCTGCCGACGCCATTGTTGGCGAAGTTGAACGGACCCTGCCCGAAGGCGTTGAAATTGCCGTCTGGGGCAACTCCCGCGATTACATTTCAGATCGCCTGGAACTTCTGAGCAACAGCGCGATTCAGGGTCTTGTCCTTGTGGCTTTGATGCTGGCCGTCTTTTTGAATGTAAAACTCGCCTTCTGGGTCGCCATGGGGGTTCCCATTTCCATTGCAGGGGCGCTGGCCGTGTCGACCACGGGCTGGGTCGACTATTCGCTCAACGATATCACCACGTTCGGTTTCATCATCGTGCTGGGCATTCTGGTGGACGATGCCGTTGTTGTGGGTGAAAGCGTGCACGAGCAGCGAAAACGTCACGTTGATCCCTTGCGCGGCACCGAGGCCGGAGTCGCGCGGGTTTCGACGGCCACGGTTTTCGGCGTGCTCACGACAATAGCGGCGTTCTTTCCGATGCTGCTGATCGACAGTCCCCTGGGCAAAGTGCTGGCGGGTTTTGCAGGCGTCGTCATACTGGCGCTGTTGTTCTCGCTGCTGGAGAGCAAGCTTATCCTGCCGGCGCACCTTGCTCACATTTCCATGGATAAAACAGGAAAGTCGAACCCGCTCTCACGAGGGTGGGCGCGTTTTCAGGGTTTTGCACGCGGATGCCTGATGGGGTTCAGGGACCGGGTCTATGCGCCTGTGCTCAAGTGGTCGCTCGCAAACCGGTACGCCGTTCTCGTTGTTTTTGTCGCGGTGGCAACGCTGGTATTCGGCCTGATGGGAAAAGGCCAGATCAAGTCCACGTTCTTCCCCAATGTCCCCGGCCAGGTCATCTCCGTTTCCCTGACCATGGATCAACGCGCTCCGGCACATCTGACGAAACGCAATGTTGCCATCCTTGAGGAGGCGGGGCTGGCCCTGAACGAAGATCCGGCCTTGCACACTGCTGAAGGGGCAGGCCCGGTTGCGCACCTCTTTGCGTTTCTGAATGGAACGGCGTCTGCAGAGCTTTACCTGGAGCTGACGCCTTCCGAAGCAAGGCCCGAACTGTCCACATCGGACGTTCTTGAAAACTGGAAACAGCGCGTCGGTCCCCTGGAAGGGGTGTCGGAACTCACATTTTCCGCATTTGAGGATTTCGGCGGAGGGTTCCGGATCCGACTGATCGGTCCGGACAAGGAGCTTTTGGCAGATGCCAGTCTGGATCTGCAAGAGCGGCTGGCACAGTTCGAGGGAGTGTCAAACGTCCGCGATACCTTCCTGACCGGGCAGCCGGAACTCAGGCTCAGACTGAAACCTGAAGCACGTGCGCTCGGATTTACTTCCGAACGTCTGGCAAGCCAGATCGGCTATGCATTCGGCGGCGGAGAAGCGCAGCGCATTCAGCGGGGTACCTCCGAAGTCCGGGTCGTGGTGCGCAATTCACGAGATTCTCGTGACCGTATCGAAGACCTGATGGCACTCCGGCTGAAGAGTGAGAAAGGGGACTGGATATCGCTTTCGACCGTCGCGGAAATTGAGCCACGATATGTATCGGAGAAGGTCCAGCGCCGGAACGGCGATCTTGTTGCGACCGTGCTGGCCGACGTGAATCGCGAAGTCGTATCACCGGAAGAGATCGGCCAGGCACTGTTCAGCGGGTTCACCGGGGAACTGGAAGAAAAGTATCCGGGTCTCGCAATCGACATAGGCGGTGAGCTGGAAGAGATTGGCGAAATGAGAGGTGGTCTTCTGCGCGCCGTCATCATTGCCTGTCTCCTGATCTACATTCTGATGGCAGTACCGCTCAAATCCTATTGGAAGCCGCTGATTATCATGTCCGCGGTTCCGTTCGGATTTGTCGGAGCGGTCATAGGCCACGCAATCATGGACCTGCCGTTTTCACTCCTGTCATTTTTTGGCGTGCTGGCATTGATCGGGGTTGTGGTGAATGACTCGCTCGTCATGATGACGTTCTATGTCCAGTCCAGGGAAGAGGGGATGCCGAGTGAGGCAGCAACGTTCAGATGCGGCGTGGACCGCTTTCAGGCTATTTTTCTGACGACCGCAACCACCGTTGTCGGGCTGTTGCCGCTCATGAGCGAAACATCCGAGCAGGCCCGCTATCTTATCCCGGCGGCTGTTTCCCTGGCCTATGGCGAGATTTTCGCGACCTTGATCACCCTGATCCTGATACCGGTGCTGCTGGCGATCTCGCAGGATGTCCGAAGGATAGTTTTCGGAAAATCTCCAACTGTTGAAGTCGCACCGGCTTGATGCATGGTCCCCTTAAATTGACGAAGCCGCCAAAGTCGGCGGCTTCCGGTGACACATGCCTGTTTCAACTAAAAGCGGGCGGCGACACCGAGCAGCGGCCCGTGCGTGATGGTATCGTATGCGAACCTGTTCGTGCCGGATTTGTCGTTGTCGTAGTCGACGCTCAGCGCCTTGTACTGCAGGTGGGCCGACCAGGTCTGGTTGAAGTGGTAGCCGACACCTGCCTGAACGTTCCAGGAGAAGTCGGAAGCAACACCAAAACCGCCGATATCACCCCTGGCATTCGCAGACCATTTGTCATTGAACTGATGGATAGCGCGTATGCCGATGACCGGGTCGATCCAGTCGTCGCCTCTTGAGATGTCGAAACTGCCGGCAAATGTTCCGTTGGCGTTCAGGTCGAGGTTGATGTCCCAATAGCGCCCCCCGGCATAGAGGTCGACCGAAGTCTGAGGAGAGTTGTGGACGCGATAGAACAGCATGCCTTCGACGATGAGCTGGTCAACCCCGACGCTGATCCGTCCGCCGCCAACGCGCGAATCCGCCGACGCACCAAGCCCCATGTAGGCAACGTCCAGCATCGCGCCGAATTTCTGCTGATAAAGCGCTTCGGCGCGAACCATTGCACCAAATCGCAGATTTTCGAGAATATCGTCAGTGCCGACGTCGATATCCGTGCTTGGCAAACGTCCGACCTGCGTCGTTCCGGTAATGTTTGCCGCCACGAAATAAGGCGCAATCAGGAACTCCCAGGTCCGGTTGATCCGATCGTTGGCGGGATAGGTTTCCACAATAGGTGATGGTGGCAGGTCAGCAGCTTGCACCATGGTCAAAGGCAACCCGGTTGCGAATAAAATCAATCCAAGATCTCGGAATAATTTCGAGATATTGTAATTTTTACGCATGAATTCTTGCCCTTCTCAGCATTTTCACGGTTCACCTACAGATGAATCGGTTTTTTTATTCAAACACAACAATAACGTAACCGCTACCGTCCGCGAGGTAATAACTCCCGCCGCATTGCTGATATGCAACACCATCGACCACGACTTTGCTGCATCCGGACGGCAAGGCATTCACTCTCCGCGTTGTTCGGCGCACGGTACGGCGTGCCGATCGACGTACGGTTCCTGGCTTTTGTGCCGCCGCGGTCGTCACCGCAGGCGCGGATAACGACCGTGTGGCGGTGTCACGCCTGATCTCCAGAAACAGACCTGCTGTGAAAGTTATCACCGCGACTGCGGCAGCAAGACTTTTGGAGACCTTGAGAGTTCGCCGCTTCCTGTCGATCATGACATCCTCCAGGCTTTATTTCGTCACGGATCCACGCTTGATTGCAAAGGCTTCGACCGCAGCCTGCGTTTCCGGCCGCAGGTTTTCGATCCCTTCATAAGGAACCCCGTAGGCCGGAGGCCCATCCGGATATTTTTCCTTGCGCGCCATATGCCGTCCGAGGATGCGGACAAATTCCTGGCCACCCCATGCACCCACCTCGGTGGAGACAGGATATTTCTCATGAGTGTCGCGATAGAGATCGAAGAATTCTGCGAGGATCGGGCTCTCGCCGGGGCCAGGCAGGTTCAGCCGCAACTTGTCTTTTACGATCGCTTTGGGTGTGCTGATCGAATAGACGATGACATGGTCCCGCCGTCCCTTGCTTTCGTCGTCAAAAAGGAGTGACGCGGACTGGTCGACCCCGTCCACCAACCTGTCTCTTGGAATGAACTGATCCGCTCCGGCAAAGCGAGACAGGGTCGTATAGAGGTCGGATACATGGATGATGTTGTTCACCATGGAGTCTCGCGCGATCATTCCGGGCCACTTGATGAAGGCATCGACCCGGACGCCACCCTCGCTGGTGTCGCCCTTGCCACCTTTGTAAATCATCGGCGTAAATCCGGATTGCGGGGCATATTTCGTGAAGTGACCGTTGTCACCCATGAGCACGACAATCGTATTGTCCGCAATGCCCAGGGTATCCAACTCGTTCATGATGTCGCCAACCCAGGTATCCAGGAGTTGCATCTTGTCAGCATAAAGACCACCGTTCGGACTGTCGGGACCGTCCCGTCCGGTGCGTGTGTTGTCGAGCGGTATCATTGGCCAGTATTGCAGGAAGAATGGCTCGTTCTCACCTGCCAGTCGGCGCAGCTCATCCAGTGTCTTGTCCTGGAATGCCTGATTCATCTCGTCATATTTCGCGGCCGTCCAGCGCTCGCCTGCTGCCATTCGAATTTCGCGGACCGGCTCACCCGGCTTGCCCTCGATAACGGTTGCCATCGCCGAGGCATCGGGCCTGAAGAGATCGTCCAGAGTGTAGGCCGGATCGAAGTCGGCAATTCCGACGGAAACCTGTTCGCGGATGGCGTCGTCGTGGAAAATCGTCAGCTGTCCCTGCTGGTGAACGGCGTGCTGTGCATAGTCGAAACCCTGGTTCATGGCCCAGCTTTCCGGGATGTCGCCCATGTGCCATTTGCCGACATGCGATGTGCTGTAACCGCCCTCGCTCAGGACTTCTGCCAAGGTCACTTCGTTGCCTGGAAGACCGAACCCGGAGATGTCCACGCTGGTGTCACCCATCCCCATGCGTACCGGCAGGCGGCCGGTCATCTGTGCAACCCGCGTCGGCGTACACGAAGGTTCGGTGTACATGCGCACCATGCGCATACCTTCGTCGGCCAACTGGTTTATGTTGGGCGTCTCGTAGCCGCGAACGGCGTTCAGCTCCGGAATGCCCATGTCACCGAAGCCCATGTCGTCAACAAGTATGCTCAAGATGTTGGGTGGTTTGCCATCGTTGCCGGCTCGGAATTGTGCCAATGCAGCGTCTACGGCCGCGTCATCCTCGGTCCATTGATCGGCGTGTTGGGCCTGCAGGATGTAAAACTCCGCATCATGTGCGATCGGGGCGTCTTGAGCCTGTGCCGAGGTGACCAACAGAGCGAATGTCATTGCCGTCAGCAGTTTTCTCATGCCTGGCTCCCACGAGGTGTTGTAAACGCAAGTTTCTGAAACTGATCGATTTTTGCTGATTTGGGGGTGTTGCAAATTGCACCGTTGCATCGCCCGGATCGGCTTTGGGACAGATTGTTCACTGAGCTGCCTCCGTTGCGGTCTCGCCTGGGGCGCTTTTCGTTGAAGTTGTGCCGGTACGGTTGATTTCGGTGTTGGGAAAGAACTCGGCCCACACGTGCCAGAACATCCCGGGGCGGACATTTTCGACCCGTGTGAGTTTTCCGGCCGGTGTTTTGCCGAAAAAATCAATGTCAGTAACTGGCGCTGCGGTATCGTTGTACCAGATGCCCAGGCTCTCGACCTTCGGGTCCCATACGACAACAAGATCCTTTCCGCCCACCTTGGCGTTGATGATATTGCCGTTTTCGATCACAAAGTCGTCCGTCCAGCACACCACATCGCCGTCTATGTCGATGCCCCAGACATAGGTCTTGTTGTGGAGGCGGTCGTCGCCGTTGCGGTTCATGTTCGAGATGATGGGTGCATTCACGCGATGCTGGCGGGAAATTTCGGATGAAAAGATGGTCTCGATAGCCAGGTCGAACAAAAACAGTATCGGGTTCTTCGAGGGTTTGTTGATGAAAACCTTGCCATCAGGATAAGCCTTGGCGAAACCACGCATTGTCATCCGGAATGTCGGCCACGGACGCATGGCAAGCTGGGGCTGAAGAGGGCAGGCCGGACCATTTTCGCTCTCTTTGCTGTCCCGGTCCCGGAAGCCGTAGATCTGCTGAACCGGTTCGCCAGTCCTGTTGTCGCGCAGGATCAGATTGTTGCCATGTTGCGCCAGCACTTCAAGGTCCAGCTCCTGCCCCTCGATTGACGGCGTATAGCCGATCCCCAGATTGGCCATGGCGCAATAGGTCATGATGACATTCTCGCCATCCAGGCCTTCCCGATTGCCGGCCAGGTGCGGACGCATGATCTGCGCGTCCGGATGTGCCCGGGCAACACCGTTGTTTTCAATGACGAGGACAGGACTTGAGGGACTGACCCATTCCATTGCTTCCTTGATGGGGAGGTACTGCGCGGTGTTCTTCTGGTTTCGGAGACCGACATGGACCCAGACATAGGGAAAGCCATAGAGGACAACGAGCAGCAGAAACGCTGCGAGCCAGAGCCAGAATGGGCCCCCGCCAACACTGAAGTGAGCCAGTGTCATGATGGCGGCACCTGCGAGACCAGCGGCTAGCAGGCGGTTTTCGTTGCGTATGAACCGGACCATGTTCGCCCGTTTCACTTTCAGAACCATCTGCGTGACGTCGCCGAGATCGCGAAAATAGAGCAGGCCGATGACAAGTGAAACAGCAAGGCCGCCATAGAAAAAGAGGTTTCCGATAACAGCCATGGCGTATTCCTCATCTCCCGGGGGCTAACGGGTTTTCGTTGTCACCGTCGCGTTGCATATCTCGACAAGGACTGTTCCTGAGATGTCACTCGGCAACGGAACACCAAGAACTGCGCTCGGATGTCTGTTTGTGTGAACTCGGTCGACCATCCGAACAACTTGTCTGTCACTGCCAGCTTGCGAAAACTTCCCTTGTGAGCTCGCTCTCGGGACGCAGGTTCTCAATCCCTTCGTAAGGAACGCCTTTGCCGAGCGGCAGGTGTGGATGATTTGCGATCGTCAACTGATGCCGCTTGACCATGTCCTGGAAAGAGGCACCGGACCAAAGTGAATAGCCGACCTGTGGATGTTCTTCGCGCGGATCGCGGTAAATGTTGAAGACCGGTGCCGCGGCGCCGGGTTGACCCGGGGCAGGAAGATGCATCTTGAATTCCTGCTTGACCACTGACCGAAGGACAGTGCCTTCGTAAACATAAACATAATCCCGGCGCGAATTGCCTTCGCCTTCCAGGAGCAGTGCTGTCTGATCGAGGCCATCGATCACCCGGTCGCGCGGTATATAGTCCGTGGCATCGGCTATACGGGCAAACGTGGTGAAGAGGTCAGACACATGAACGATGTCGCCAGCCGCATTGCCCGGTTCGATGACGCCGGGCCAGCGAATGAAGGCGTCAGTACGTACGCCGCCTTCCAGATGTTGGGTCTTTCCGCCCCTGTAAATGAGCTGGTTGAGACCGGATGTGCCCTCGTAGTGATACATCAGTCCATTGTCAGCCATCAGAACGACTATGGTATTGTCGCGCAGTCCCAGGTCGTCGACCCTTGCCAGAAGATCTCCGATCCACCCGTCCAGAAGTTGGAGCTTGTCGGCATGAAATCCGCCATTTCGGGAAATCGCCTGATCAGGATAGACGAAGTTCAGTGGATAGAGCGGCCAGTATTGCAGGAAGAAAGGAGCATCCTCGCCGGCTAGACGCTCCAGTTGTTCGAGGATCTGACGCTGGTAGCGTTCGTTCATCTCCTCGTATTTGGCCTGGGTCCATTCTTCCCCGGGATCCATGCCGACTTCCCTTGCCTTGGCGCCGGCTTCAGCCTCGACACCGGTTACCAGTCCGTAAGGCTTGAAACGCTGGTCGATGGCGAACTGGTTGTTCTGGCCTGAGGCGTGAAATCCGAGCATGTTGTTGGCGGTCATAGCTTCCCGGGTCATCAGGCTGAGTTGAACCTGCTGATGCAACGGGAATGCTGCCCAATCGAAACCCTGGTTGTGCGGATAAGCCTGTTCGATGTCGCCCTGATGCCACTTGCCGACATGTGCGGTGTTGTAGCCCACTTCCTTGAGGATTTCGGCAATGGTGACTTCTTCCGCCGAAAGACCTTCGCCGACCAACGCTACCTTTACTTCTTCCACACCGGCGCGAACAGGATGGCGCCCGGTCAGCATGGCCGTGCGTGTGGGGGTACACGAAGGTTCCGTGTACATCCGCATCAGTGACAGACCTTCGCCTGCCAGCTCGTTGATGTTGGGTGTCTCGATACCAGTGACGTAGTTGAGGGTCCGGTTTCCCATTTGCCCAAAGCTTACGTCGTCGATCAGAATGTAAAGGATATTGGGAGGTCTGCCGTCATTCGCCGCACGGATCTCCTCCAGTCTCGCATCGATCCTCTGATCCTGCTCTTTCCATTCATCGCCTTTCTGAGCCAGAAGAAACGTAAACTCACCGTCACGGATGATGGGGCCATCCTGCGCGAACGAATTGGCAATTCCGATGCAGAGCGTAAGTAAAAATGCGGACAATACCTTCATTTTCCAGCTCCATTGAGTTGGCTGATAAATTCATATACGCAGTATTTTGACGAATATCGATCAACTGCTATTTCATTGCTTGCTCGAAAATCAGCATTTCATTGTAAGAAATGCTGAGATGCCATCCATGAGCCGGTTTATTTTTGTTTTTGCTGAATTGACTCTAGGGCGGATCAGCTGTTCCCATGATCGAAATTGCGAAACGGAGGCAAGGTTTCATTGGAGAGTCCGGAATTTCAAACAACACTCGTTGCGGAGTTTCTGGACGTCGACCAGTTATGTCATGACGTTCAATACTGGGACCTCCGGTTCCAGCCACTTGGCTCAATCCCGCCTGACGAAAAAATCGCACGCATTGTTCAGGGCAATATGTCCCGTTTTGAATGCACATACGCGCGGTTCCGGATGAATTTCGACCAAAGAGGCGCGCCGCCTCAAGGGAAGGTGACGTTCACGATTCCCGGTGAGAAGCTGAACGAACTCTGGTGGCGCGATCAATTCACCAGCTCAAGCGATGTTCTGGTCTATCTGCCCAAAACGGAACTCAGATCGATTTCCGCTCAGGACTTCGAGGTGTATCTGATCGCAGTTGATGTGCCTGTCATCGAGGAATACCTGGAACGCTGCGGCTTCAGGGAAATTGAGCTTGCAAGATTTCCGAGTGTCTTTCGAGCGCCTGACCACGTCCTGCGAAATGCCAGGGCGGTTCTCGGTCGGCTTGGCCGGCATCCGCGTTTTGTGGATCCATGCTCGCTGGATGCACTTGTGGAAGAGCTCGTCACTTGCTGGGTGATGCAGACAGGTCTTCAGCCACGACAAGTGGCGCCCAGTTCCTCGCGCTTCGTGATCGAAGAGATCCTCGCTTCGATAGCATCCGGAGACGCTGCAGACATCCGGATCTCGACCCTCTGTCAGAAGGCCAACATCTCGCGGCGCGCACTCGAAATCGCGTTCCATGACAAGTTCGGCACCGGACCGTCGGCATTCCTGAAATCCGCCCGCCTGGCGCAAGCGCGCAGAAAGCTGCAGACAGCTTCGGAAGCAGCGCGGTCCATTGCCGACATTATGGACGAGGCGGGATTTTCCCATGTCGGACAATTTGCGCTCGACTATCGCAAGATGTTCGGTGAAAGACCGTCTGATACCGTGAAACGGTACTCCTGATGATTGGAAGTGTTTTCCGTTGCTGGTTCCAAATATCCGAGAGAAGCAATATTTAATTTGTCGGTGCAGATATTTTGATTTGAATTTAGATTTATTGTAGTTTTGGATTTTGTTGGAAGTATTTTTTCATTTTTCGCAACCGGATATTTTTGATTGACTTAACATATCTCGTTTTTCGAATGAGCCCTGGTGTTGAAATTGTTTGCGTGACGCCTTTAACGCAGCGTTCGGGGGCACTTGACCTTGTTGCGATTGGTCGAATGTTCGACAACCCGGGATGCGCGCGGTGCGATACATTTTTTCTGACACATCTTTAGCAAATTCCATCCGCAAAGCGGCGATTCTTTCGCCGGATTTCGCCGCGAGCCTTCCGTGCGCAATGCGAAGCACGAAAGGAAACGCAATGGTGGACAATCCGGTGAACACGCTGAGTTCAAGCGAGCAGCTGATCCTGGAACTCGTCAACAAGGAGAGGCAGGCAGCCGGACTGGAACCGGTCGCTTCAGCATCTCAGCTCAACGCAGCGGCTCAAAAACACTCCGAATGGATGGCGGACGGTCGACGGCTTGATCACACAGGATCGGGAGGCTCAAGCCCGTGGGACAGGATGAAGGCGGAAGGCTGGACCGAGTATCCAATGGGCGAGAATATTGCCTACAATCCTTTCAACCAGAGCCGGCCGGCGCCGAGTGAATATGTCCCCCAAAAGATCATCGAGGACATGCATACGGGTTGGATGAATTCATCCGGTCACAGAGCCAATATACTGAATGCAGGTTATACGATGCTGGGTGTCGGTGATGCCATCGGTGGGCATCCCAGTTCTCCTGATCATTCGACGAGTTATGCCACGCAGAATTTTGCCGGGACGACGAAAAACTATGTGACCGGTGTTGTCTTTGACGACGCGGACGGTGACAAGTTCTACGATATGGGTGAGGCGCTGGGGGCGGCGAAGGTAACCATCGTCAACTCGTCCGGATCGACCGTCGCCACAAAGTCGACCGACCCAGGTGGTGGTTACAGCATTGCGCTCGCCAACGGCTCCTATACGGCAAAGTTCACCGGTGCGGGTATCGACGGAACCATCGAGAAGAGTTTTTCCATCTCCGGAAAGAACGTCAAACTCGACGTCAAGGATGGATCTGAGGGCGGCGGAACGCCTCCGCCACCGGTCGGTACCGATGGCGACGACACGATCCACTATACCAACGGGGATGATTTCTGGACCAGCGGGGTGCCGAAGGATATCGGCGGTGCGGGAACAGACACGCTGATCGTCAACAAGGGCTCGGTGTTCAACACATCCGGTCTTTCCCTGTACGGCTTTGAGCGATTTCAGGGAGCGGAGAAGAATGACAGGGTGATCGGCAATGATGGCAATGTCGATTATTGGCTCAATGGCGGGTCAGGAAACGACACGCTCCAGGGCAACGCAGGTGACGATACGCTGATCGGAGGCAGCGGCAATGACCGCCTTTACGGCAAAGCCGGCAATGACACGATCAAGGGCGGTGTCGGGCGTGACGTAGTTTTCGGTGGAGCTGGAAACGACACGATCCATTACGGCAGTGGAGACGTTTACTGGGACAGCGGAGTTCCGCGCAATGTCGGTGGGGCCGGAATTGATACACTCGTTGTGGAGGCAGGATCCAGGTTCAACACCTCGGCCCTGTCAAAATACGGGTTTGAAAGGTTCCAGGGAGCGGAAAAGGACGACCGGGTCACCGGTGACGATGCGAAGGTTGCCTATGTCCTGAATGGCGGCGGTGGCAATGACTTGCTGAAGGGGGGCGCCGGAAACGATACGCTGCTCGGTGGCACGGGCAACGACAGGCTCGAGCCCGGTGCGTCCGCAGGCGGGCTGCAGAAACTCTTCGGTCAGTCCGGTAACGACACGTATGTCGTCACCTCGAAAGGAGGCCGGATCGACATCGTCGAACTGGCTGGCAACGGCAATGACAAGCTGATTTTCAAAGATCTCAAGAGGTCTGATGTCGATGTCTCGCTGGATGCGGACAACAGAATGGTTCTTTCATGGGATGACGGTGCGGGCCAGGTGACGGTCAATGATGCAGGCGAGTATCTGGATCAATTTGTGTTCCAGTTCGGCGCGGTCTATCAACCCGATGATTTTGCCTTGCTGTGATCTGGCAGGAAGACCCGCTCTTTCGTGGAGCGGGTCTTCCAGGGTCTGCGGTCAGGTTTCCCGATGGGCGGCGAGTTCGTTTTCGAGGCGCATTTCCTGAGCTCCGGGTGGCTGTGTCCAACCGGCAATGATCCGGTAGATCGCAGGCGTCAGGAAAAGTGTGAAGATGGTCGCAAGCCCCAAACCGCCGACGACAACCCAGCCAACCGCCGTTCTTGCCTCGGCCCCGGCACCGGTGGCCAGAACCAGTGGAATACTGCCTGCAACCGTCGATGCCATGGTCATCATCACCGGCTTCAACCGGATGCGCATTGCGTTGCGGATCGCTGTATCAACATCCTCTCCCTGCTGGCGGAGCTGATTGGCGAATTCCACGATCAGAATACCGTTCTTCGCCATTATTCCGACGAGGATCACCAGACCGATCTGACTGTAGTAGTTGAGGCTGCCGCCGGACATCAGGATCGCCAGCAAGGCGGTCCCGAGACCGCATGGCACGGTGATCAGGATGATCAGTGCGCTGGAAAAACTCTCGAACTGGGCGCAAAGCACAAGGAAAACGATGAGAATAGCAGCGCCGAATACCAGCAAGGTTGTTGTTTCGCCCGTTTCAAGCGTCGCGGCCTCGCCGAGAAACACCAGCCGGCCCTCGCTGCCGAGAACATCCGGGGCGATTTCCCGGAGCCGGTTGACGGCAGCACCAAGGTCCACACCTTTGCCAAGATTGGCCTGGGCCGTTACTGCCCGTTCACGCGCCTCGCGGCTCAATGTGGATGCGGAAGCGGCCACCGCGAGTGTCGCAACAGAAGATATCGGCACAAATTGCCCGTTTCCGGCGCGCAGGAAGGTGTTTTCAAGATCTCCCTGGTCATTGATCGGGCGTCCGCCGAGCTCAAGTCTGACTTCGACAGATTCGTTGTTCAGAAAGATCTCGGAAGCCTTGTTGCCCTCAATGACCGTGTTGAGTGTCTCGATCACATCTCTCGGATTGATATCCAGATTGGCGGCCTGGTCACGGTCGACTTCCAGCAGAAGCTGGGGCTGATTGACCTCGTTGACCAGCTGCGCATTTTCAAAAGTCGCATCGCCCTCCATCCTGGCTATCAACTCATTGGTCAGGGCACCCAGAACATCGTAGTCCTTGCCGACAACTGCGAATTGCACACCACGTCCGGCGCCGCGGATGCCAAGACTGTTCGACGCGCGCAGCGAAATGAAGGCACCCGGAATTCTGCTGACGGGTCCCTGAATTTCCGCGGCGATTTCCTGTTGGCTTCGATCCCTGTTTTCCCACTGTGCCAGCCGGACGAAAACAAGTGCGAAGCTGGTCGATCTAAGTCCGATGAGGGATTGAACCGCCACGACTTCGCCGGATGCGACATATGGTTCGAGGATTTTCTCGACGCTGGCGACCTGCCGGCTTGTGTAGTCGAGGCTGGCCGTCGAGGGGGTTCGCAAGGCGACCATGATCGTGCCGCGGTCTTCGGACGGCGTGATTTCCTGGGGGAGGAAACCGTAAAGTGCCATGGAGGCACCGGCAAATGCCAGAGCGCTCGCCAGAACAAGGTACCGCGCCCTCAGGATGAAATCGATCAACGTGGTGAAAGTTGCCAGGAATGCGTTTGTGCGCTCCTCGTGTTCGCCGTCCTTGCCATTCACCTCCGGTTTCCCGGGATCGACAATGGCACACAGGGCCGGACACAGCGTCAGCGCGACGAAGGATGAAAGGGCGACGGAAAACGCCAGAACAAATCCGAACTCGCCGAAAATGCCACCTGCCTGTCCCGGCAGGAAGGAAATGGGAATGAAGACGGCGGCAAGGGTTGCCGTCGTCGAAATGACGGCAAAGAAAACTTCCCTTGTTCCAACTGCCGCGGCCGCAAATGCGCCAAGCCCTTCCTTGCGGCGGCGCACGATGTTCTCAAGCACGACAATCGCGTCGTCGACGACCATGCCGGTGGCCAGAACAAGTGCGAGCAAGGTGATGGTGTTCACCGAAAAGCCGGCAGCCCATATGGCGCCAAGCGTGCCAACGAGGGCAATCGGAACAGCGACCGCAGGGATGACAACCGCCCGAAGCGATTGCAGGAAAAGGAAGATGACGGCGACGACGATCACGATGGCCATGGCGATGCTGGAGACAACCCCAGTAATGGAGCGCTCCACGAAGACGCCGTCATCGGCAACGATGATCAGGCTGGCACCGTCCGGAAGATCATCCTGCAGACCCGCGACGGCAGCGCGCGCGGCATTCGAGATCGACAGCGTGTTGGCATGGGACTGACGGATCACATTCAGCCCCACGGAGGGCTGGCCGTTGATGCGCGTGATCACTGACGGGTCGTCGGATGTGAATTGCACGAAGGCAACATCTCCGATCACCGTTTCCCGGTTGAGGCGGATCGACGAGATGGCTTCTTCGGTTGTTGTTGAGGCAACGGACCGGACGACTAGTTCCTGGGTGCCTGTTTCCAGAGCGCCGAGCGGAATGTCCAGGTTGGCGCTGGCGAGGGCGGTGCGCATGTCGGATAGCGAAATTCCGCGACTGGCTAGCGCTACAGGGAAAAAGGTGACGCGCATGATACGCGCATAGTCGCCCGCAACCTGTACTTCAGACACACCGTCGATGGCCAAAAGCCTGTCAGAAACCATGCCTTCGGCAAGCGATGCAAGCTCTGTCAGCGGGAGTGAGCCGCTGAGTGCGAGCCGAACGATAGGATCTGCGTCAGCATCGCTTTTTTGCACCGTCGGGTCCTCGACATCATCCGGCAGGTTGCGCTGCGCGCGCGATACCAGGTCGCGTGCGTCATTGGCGGCATCCGTAACGTCCGTCGAACTGCTCAGTTCCAGCGTGAGGCTCGCACTGCCGTAGGAAGATGTCGCAGAGATGTTCTGCAGCCCTTCAAGACGTGCCAGTGCATCTTCCAGGACGCTTGTGACTTCCGAATCTACGGTGCTTGCCGCGGCTCCCGGATAGGTTGCCCGGACTGAAATGACGGGCCTGGAGACATTCGGCAACTCCCGGACCTCGACTCCATTGAGCGCCGTGACTCCAGCGATGATCACCAGAAGATTGAGAACGAGCGCGAGAATGGGGCGACCGACAAAGGTTGCCGCAAAACCGAGCCGGTCCCGGGTCATCCTTTCCGGCGAAGCATCAGCCATCAACCGTCTCCGCGACTTCAACGGCTATCGAGATGCCCTGGCTGACCTTGAAGGCGCCGTCCTTGACAACGATGTCACCCTGTTTCAGGTCGGCTTCAAGCCAGACATTGTCGCCGAGGCGGTGGCGCAAGACCACGTCTATGCGCTGCGGAGAATTGTCTTGGCCGAGTTTCCAGACATATGCACCGTTGGGACTCCAGAGGATGGAAATGGCCGGCACCATCGGCATCGGTTCATCCGAACTTGCGAGGCTGACACTGAATGTCATGCCTGGGAGAAGGAGATTTTGCGGGTTCTGAACCTCCGCGCGCACGCGGACGGTTCTGAATTCCTCATCGATGGAGCTGTCAAAGGCCGTGATTTCTCCGTTGAAGACGCGTCCGACCAGGGCAGGCGTCGTCAGACGTACCGGAACGCCTGTGCTGATCTGGCTGATTGCCGTTTCCGGGACGGTAAATTCCACAAGAAGACTGCTGGCATCGACCAGGGTAACGATCTCGGCACCCTGCGACAGGTAGCTGCCGACCGTCAGGTCGTTGAGATTGATCAGACCGGAGAAGGGCGCTTTGATGATCCTGCGGTCAAACTCGTATTGAGCCTCGGCTACCTTTGCGTTCGCGACAGCGAGAGACGCCCGTGCCTCATCGACCTGAGCTTGTGATACCGCATTGCTGCGTTGATCAAGAAGCGTCTGGTATCTGTTGTACGAAGCCGTTTGCTGCTCGAGTTCTGCCCTGGCACTGTCCAGAAGAATTTCCTGCGTTTTGCGCTCCAGCGTAACGATCGGATCTCCGGCAGAGACGTCCGTGTTCGGTTGAACATGAATTTGTTCGACCGTACCGGCGACGTCAGCGGTGACGTGGATCAGGCGAATCGCCTTGCCGGTTCCGATTGATTGAATACGGGACCTTGGAGGTGTGAAGGCAACTTCAGTTGTCGTGACGACCACGGCATTGTCGGGAAAACCTGGCTCCTGCGAGGTCTTCCGGTCCTGGGTCCGGACCGCAGAAACCTGTTCGGAACTGTTGCTCGCGGAAAAGAACAAACCGCTGTAGGAAACCCAAATCCCCAGCGCAAAGGCGCATGCAAGCGCGAGGATCGATCCAGCAATTCGGTTCATAAACCAGGCTCCAGCAGCTTGCAGGCTTTTCCTTTTCTTGTTCGAACAGACCACAACGAACCGGCTCCGTGCAAGACGGAAGCTGCGTGAGTTGACATAAGTTGTAGAATCGAAAATTTAAAGTTTATCGTGTTTTGATGTTTGTTTTCTGAAAATTATGCTCTTATGAAGGCACTCTATTTGGTGCAAAATATAGATAAAATCGAATTGTTTTCTTATTTTACCTGAAAAATGTTTTTTATATTTTGAAATGTATTTGTATTTTACTTGAGGGCGCTCTCTTCGTTCCTTAGTCTGGATTTCGTGAAATGCTCCAGGGCAAGCGGGATACGGGCATCCGGGTCCCTTTTTGCAGATACGGAGCTCAATGGCATTTGTGCCTTGGAAGCGAGGCCTTGTCGTTGTGGCCGGGGCTCCACCTGCGTTGCGTTTCATGGGTCTGACAAACAAAAATGAGGCAAATTCGACATGTGTGAACTCTGTTTCGCCACCGGCCGTACCGAAGAAATTCCCTATGTCGCAGGATTCAGCTGCGTTGACGGCAGTGGAACCGCAGCAAGTACCGGCGCCGACGGGTCAGCGGTTTTATCTGCGCCTCTGCCGGTCTTCAGCAACGACCAGATCGCAGATCAACTGACACAGGAAACCTCCAACGGCTCGCCGATTGCCTTCAATGCCGGTCCGGGCGATACGATCACTGTCGACATTACCGGCCTGACAAATGACGGAAAGTTCCTGGCGACGAATGCGCTGGAAGCGTGGGAGAATGTCACCGGGATCAATTTCTCATTCGTCTCAAGCGGTGCGCAGATCACGTTCGATGATGAGAGTTCCGGTGCTTATGCCAGTTATTCCTGGTGGAGCAACGGCGACATGATCTCGGCCGATGTCAATGTGTCGAAGGGATGGCTGAGTTCGTACGGAACCGGCATAAACAGCTATTCCTTCCAGACCTATATTCACGAGATCGGTCATGCGCTTGGATTGAGGCATGGCGGAAACTACAACGGGTCGGCGACATATGGCGTCGACAATCACTACCTTAACGACTCCTGGCAAGCGACAGTCATGTCCTATTTCAGCCAGACAGAAAACACCTATGTCAACGCCAGCTACGCATACGTGATTACTCCGATGGTCGCGGATATCGTCGCGATACAGGAACTGTACGGCACACCTGCCAGCATTCGAACCGGCGCGACCATATATGGTAACAATTCAAATGCGGGTGGTTACCTGGAGACGTTTTTCGATTCAAATCAAACAGCTGCGATGACAATCTACGACAATGGTGGAGCGGATCTGTTCGATTTTTCCCACGTTGGAGCCAATCAGCGCATAGACCTCAACCAGGAAGCCATTTCGAATGTCGGCGGGCTAACCGGCAATCTCATTGTTGCTCGTGGCACGATCATTGAAAATGCATATGGCGGTGGTGGCAATGATGAGCTGATCGGCAACGATGCCGACAACACGCTATTGGGTAACAGTGGGAATGATGACCTGATCGGTGGCGGTGGCAACGACATCCTGCGTGGTGGCTACGGCAATGACAACATGTCGGGCGGCGCCGGCAACGACACCATCTACTACACCAATGGAGACACATTCTGGGTGAACGGTGCCCCCAAGGATGTCGGTGGGAGCGGAACGGACACACTGGTGATGGAAAGCGGGTCCGTTTTCAATACCAGCGGTCTTTCCTGGTACGGATTTGAAAAATTCATCGGTGCGGGGCGAAACGACCGGGTCGTCGGCAATGACGGCACGGTCGACTACGTTCTCGACGGTGGCGGCGGCAACGATACGCTGATCGGCAGCGGTGGTGACGACGAACTCATTGGCGGAGCCGGAAATGACTTTCTCCGAGGCAGTTGGGGCAACGACAGTGTATCGGGAGGGGCAGGGAACGATACGATCTACTATGCCAGCGGCGACCTGTTCTGGGAGAACGGCACACCAAAGGATGTGGGCGGATCCGGTATCGACAAGCTGATCATCGAATCCGGATCGAAGTTCAACACTTCGGGGCTTTCCTGGTACGGGTTTGAAGAGTTCCAGGGTGCGGAAAGAAATGACCGGGTGATCGGCAACGATGCCAGTGTCGACTACTGGATGAACGGCGGCGGCGGCAATGATTTCCTGAAAGGAAACGATGGTACGGATACGCTGATCGGCGCGGAAGGCAATGACACTCTGGATGCGGGTTCTTCCTCCGGTGGCTGGCAGAACCTGGAGGGGGGCGCAGGCAACGACAGCTATGTCGTTTCGTCGAATGGTGGCTGGATCAATATCGTTGAACTGATCAGCAATGGCATCGACACATTGTACTTCAAGGACCTGCAGGTCTCGGACATTGAAGCTTCGTCGGACAGCGACAGCAACATGCTCCTGTCCTGGGCGAGCGGTGCTGGCCAGGTGAAGATCAACGACCTTGGTGTCTATGTCGACAATTTCGAATTCTCGGACGGTACGGTGCTGCAGGCAGATGATTTTGCATTTGTTTGAGGCGCAGAGGATCAAGGCTCACGCGCTGCCAAATGCGTGAGCCGTTTTTCTGATTTTGGTGGGGCTTACAGGACTGCCTCGACTGCCTTCGCGCAAGCCAGCAGGTCTTCGTCGCGCTCGCCGCCAGCGACCAGCATCGCACTCAAGGTCTTGCCGTCGTGCTGGTAGGGCAGGGCAATGGAACAGGCATCGGCGACATTGGCGAGCGAGGGATTTCGAAGTGCCAGAAGGTTGAGGCGATTGAATTCCTCATCATCCTCGAGATCCTCGATCCTTGGAGGCAGCTTGGGCGTTGTCGGCATGAGAAGCATGTCGTTGCCAAGCTCTTTGCGGAATGAAGCGATGAATTCGGCCCGCCGATTCAAGGTCCCGCGGTACTCAATGGCAGACAGCTTGTCGGCGAGCGCCATGCGGGCATGAACGCGGCGGTCAAACTGATCAGGTGAAGCCTGGAAGTGGGGTTCGTAATGCGCGCGCGATTCCACCGATGTCATATGCCAGGGTGGAACACTTTCGTATTGTGCAATCGAGGCAAGTTCCTTTTCCACGATCTCCAACCCGGCGCTCCGAAGGTTCCGTACAACCGCATTGAAGCCTGTAATCACCTCTGTATCTGCTTCCGATAGGCCGAAATTGAGCGGGACGACAAGTCTTCGAGGTGCGGTGGGAGCAGGCAAAGCGGGTGTCCCCGACATCACCTGCCATGCCAGTTCGCATTCTGCCACGGTTCTTGCCATCGGTCCGAAACTGTCGAGGCTGTCGGACAGCGGTTTGCCGCCTTCCATGGACACCGAACCCTGCGTTGGCTTGAAGCCCGTAATGCCCGTAAATGCCGCGGGTATCCGCAGCGAACCGCCGGTGTCGCTGCCGATCGCGATGTCGCACAGGCCGAGGGCAACGGAAACGGCACCGCCGCTTGTCGATCCTCCAGGGGCGCAGCCGGGATAGGCCGGATTCCGGGGTGTACCGTAGTGCGGGTTGAGCCCCATGCCCGAATAGGCGAATTCGGACATGTTGGTGAGCCCGACAAAGATACCCCCCGCGGCAGCCAGACGCGCGATGGCCGGTGCGTCCGACGTCGCCGGCGGATCTTCAACCAGAACCCTGGTCGCGCTCGTCGTCGTTTCGTTTTCAACATCGAACAACGCTTTCACGCTGATGAGCGCTCCTGCCAGCGGGTGATCCGTTTTGCCTGCCTGGGTGACCTGCTTTCTTGCACGGTCCGGCAGAAGCTTCAGAAAAACAGATTTTGCCGCATCATCCCCGGCGGCACGCTCAAGTGCGGTTTCAAGCCTTTTTCCGGCAGTTTCGGGTGCCCAGGGAAAGGATGCGCTCATCTGGTGGTGTCCTTGATTTGAAATGCAGGCCGGGGAGTCTCACGAGATGATCTGGAGAGTAGAGCTTCGGTAGCGCCAGTCAATTGCCTGGTCACGTTCCGGATCGATGAGCGACATCCGGAAGTCGGATGCTGGGCGCACACCGCCGATCGCCGGAAGGGTTCCGCACAGCATGGCACTACCGTCAACAAGTTCGGCCCCGGTGATCAACTGACGCAGAGGCAGGATGGATGACAAAGTTCCTTCCTGGTAAGCAATCCAGTCGCCGTTTTCCAATATCCACGATTTCAGTACAAGTTTGTCGAGACGCGGCTCGATGTCATCAAGGGACCAGAGCCTGTCAGCCACCGGCTTGGCACAAATCTGCTTGGAGGCGGCAACCGAATGCGTCTCGAGAGCACGATCCGTGTGATCCGAGGCAAGACCGATCCAGAGCCGGCCGTCCATGCGCATCAGGAAGGGTTCTGCTTCACCTGACGTTTCATGTCCAAGGACCTGAATTTCAGGTTCCTGTGTCAGCAGGGCAGCAGCGCACTGGTAATAAAGGGGAACGGTCGACGGAGCAGGAACTCCGATTGCCGCCAGTTCCTCGATGTGATGATCAACGGCAGCCCGGTCGCGTCCGGTCCATCCGGCCACGATGAGCCGGTCGGGAGTGCAGTCGAGCACTCCGGTGACAGTCTGAAATTTCATCGACAGATCTCTTAAAGGGTTGAGGGCAGGAACAGGGCCAGTTGCGGAACAAGGATGAGCAGACCAACCATGGCCAGCATGGCGAGCGCATAGGGAATGCAGCCCAGCATGACATCGCTGAAACTGCCGGTCTTCCGTGCGGCCTGGACAACGTAGAGATTGAGGCCCACAGGGGGAGTGATCAGCGCCATCTCGACCAGGATGATCATCAGGATGCCAAACCAGATCTTGTCATAACCGAGTTGCACGATGATCGGCACGACGATCGGAATGGTCGCGACCATCAGGGAAAGGGTTTCGATGAAGAAACCCAGCACGATATAGATCAGAATGATCACGAGAAGCGTTTCGAGCGGTCCCAGGCCGAGACCGGTGAGAAGATCCTGCAGCGCGCGGCTGACACCGGCCGCCGTAAGCGCAAAGTTCAGCACGTAAGCGCCGATCACGACCAGCATGATCATGGATGAAGTCTTGACTGCGCCACGCAAGGCGTTCTGAAGCATGTCCCAGTTCAGCGCTTTCTGGTGGGCGGCAATCAGAAGGGCAATGGCAACTCCGACTGTCGCCGCCTCGGTCGGGGTTGCCCAGCCTGCATAGATGGACCCCACGATCGCGCCAAACAGGCCGAAAATAGGCAACAGATCGGTCAGCCCTTCCAGTTTTTCCCTTGTGGAGCTGGATTGGCGCGGTCCGCCCAGGGCAGGTCTGAAGATGCACATGATGACGGTGATCAACATGAAAAGACCAGCCAGAAACAGCCCCGGCACCAACCCGGCCAGAAAGAGCTGCGGGATGGAACTCTCTGTCAGGAACCCATAGACGATCAGGTTGATCGAGGGTGGGATCATGATCCCGAGCGTTCCGCCGGCCGCGATTGCGCCGGAGAAGAGTTTCGGATTGTAGCCCAGTGTCTGCGCCTGCGGCATGGCGACCGTTGCAACGGTCGCGGCTGTTGCAACCGATGAGCCGGAGGTTGCCGAGAACATCGTTGATGTCGCGATATTCGCGTGGATCAGTCCGCCGGGCATCCACGCCACCCACTTTTCCAGCGCCGCGTAGGTGCGCCGCGCAACACCGCTGCGAACCAGGATTTCTCCCAGAAGAACAAACAAGGGGATGGCGATGAGCGTGGCCGAGTTTGACGAGGACCAGACGACTTGCCCGAGGCCGCGCATCAGCGGGAACGGGCTGAAGAACTCGTCTATCCCGAAGGCCAGGAGAAACAGAACGATGCCGACCGGAATGGACAGTGCCAGAAGCCCGAGAAGGCCTACGGAGGTGAACGCGATCATGCTTCCCCCCGCGCACCGGCGATTGCATCAACGGACTTGTAGTCGGAAGCGAGGAAATTCGTGAGAGCGGATATCAGCAATATGCTTGCCGACAGCGCGAACCAGACCCAGCCGGCCCACCAGAGCGACTGCGGGATCCACAAAGGGGTCTCCAGTGGTGTGTTTGCACTTGCACCCGTCGAGAGTGTTTTTTCCAGGACACCCCAGCCTCTCCAGGCGACAACGATGGCCGTTCCGGAGAGGCAGAGCATTGACAGGATGTCAAAGATCGCCCGGCCAAAAGGGACCAGACGCTGGCGGAGCAGGTCGATGCGCACATGTGCCTGTTCCGTCAGCGCGTAGCTTATGCCCCAGCTGGTCGTGACGGCCATGACATAGCCGGAAATCTCATCGACACCCCCGAGCGAACCACCCAGCCGGCGGGCTACAATCTCGATAAGCGTGAACGCCACACATGCGAGCAGTACCAATCCGACCACGATTGCGACTCGGTCGTTTATCCGCCTGAGGAGGGTTGCCAGGGATGTCATTGAAATCCTGCCTTAGTTGGTTTCCAGTTTCACGCCGGTGACCTTGCCGACACTGTCGCTCCAGCGTTTGGCCCAGTCGCCTCCGGCGCGTTCGGCCCAATCGGGAAGAACCTCGGTGATCAGCACGTTCCTGGCCTTTTCCTGATCAGCTTCACTTGCCTCGACCAGGATCAGTCCACGTGCATCGCCATAGGGGCATTCACCATTGCCGGTCAGGCAGGCGACGTCATTTTCAAGAGCATTTTGGGCTGTTTCCCAAGCCGGAGCCTCCAGGCCCTCCTTGACGCCTTTTTCCAGTGTCGCCTTTTGCTCGTCCGACAACGCGTTCCACTTATCAAGGTTTATCGCGGTAACGACCGGGTCCCAACCACCAAGCGGCAGCGGCATCAAATGTGTGGAGACTTCCCACCAGCCGGCATTGTAGCCCGAGCCGGCGCCGGTGATGGCGCAATCCACGACGCCCCGCTGCAGTGCACCCGGCACTTCGCCGAAACCGACATTCACGCCTTCGGCGCCGAGCGCTTCCAGAAACTTGGCCGTCATACGGCCCGAAGCGCGCACCTTCTTGCCTTTCAGATCGTCCAGTGAGCCAATGTCGGCATTGCAGAAAACGACCTGGGGCGGATAGGGCGCAATGCCGAGCACCTTGGCATTGAACACATCACGGTAGATGTCATCGACCATCGGTCGTGCCGCTTCGACCGCTTTTTGAGCCGTCGGTGCGTCGGTCGCGATCAGCGGTACATCGAGACCTTCAAGAGCGACGCTGTCCGATACGGCATAATCTGCAACCGTCATACCGACATCGAAGACACCCTGGGACAGAAGACGGAAGACGTCACCGCCGGAGATACCCATCTGGTCATGGGTGGTCAATGCAGCCGTCAGATCTCCTCCTGACAATTCCGGGAGTTTTTCATTCCAGAAGGGGGCTTCGTATTGCTTGTGCAAAGGCAACCCGCTCCAGCTGCCGACAACAGCAAGTTCTTCGGCTTTTGCACTCGTTCCTGCCGAGAACGCAATCAGTGAGATCGCGGATAACAATACCAGTCTGTTCATAGCGTTCATCCTCTGTTTTTCGTATTTTTTCAGTTAGTTATCGTTATAGGGGTAGATCGGGTCCGTGTGCTCGCCGACATCGGCAATGAGCATGGCGCCAGGTGCATGGGTAATGGAAAGGGGTGGTCTGGATCTCATGATTGCAGCTTGAGGCGTTACTCCGCAGGCCCAGAAAACAGGGACTTCACCGGAACTGAAATCGACGGCTTCGCCCCAGTCCGGTTTATCGATATCGGAAATGCCGATCGCTGCGGGATCGCCCACGTGAACGGGCGCACCATGGGCCAGTGGATACTTTCTGCAGATCTCGAAGACCTCCGCGATCCTTGTTTCCGGGATCGGGCGCATCGAAACCACCATCCCGCCTTCGAACGGTCCGCTTGCCACGGTCTCGATTGACGAGTGAAACATCGGGACTGTGACGTTGCGATCAATGTGGCGCATTTCGATTCCCGCCTTGCGCAAGGCGTCCTCGAAGGTGAAGGAACATCCGATCGCAAATGCGACCAGATCATCGCGCCAGTGCGCTTTGAGGTCATTGACCTGCTTTTCCAGAACACCATAGCGGTAAATGTTGTAAAGCGCTGCGTCAGTCCGAATGTCGATGTCATTGCCAAGTCGATCGATGGAAGCTTCGCCTGCGCGCGAAACGCCAGCCAGTGGACAGGCCTTCGGGTTCAGTCGGCAATAATCATGAAAGTCATCAGCAAGTTCACCGGGCAATATTGCCAGATTGCATTGAAGATTGCCCTTTGCAAGTCCGGCTGTATGACCCGAATACAGCCCGTCTCGGATCATCCTGCGCTGGGCAGTGGTCTCCATGTCAAACAGATCTGGAAGTTGGGCAAGTCCGCTGGTCATTTCCACCTCGAAAGTTGGTGGCAAAATGCTGCGGTGGATCTATTATCAAGTCAAATCGTGATTTTTTGTCCAAAGTGATCAATTTTTTGGATCACTTTTCCGGAGCGACCAACATGACCTTCGAGCAACTCAAGACCTTCCTGACCGTTGCGCGCATGGGAGGCGTGCGCAAGGCTGCCGAGCAGATGAATGTCTCCCAACCGGCTGTTTCGACACGGATTTCAAGTCTGGAAACTTATCTGGGAACTGAACTGTTCAGCCGTGTATCGACAGGCGTCGTCCTCACCCGAAAAGGCGTTCTGCTCAGAAATCACGCCGAGCAGATCATGGAGATCATGGAACGGATCAAGGGGGACGTCATGGCAGAGGACAGCGTGAGCAGCCTGTTGCGCCTCGGTGTCGCGGAGACGGTGGCGCAAACCTGGCTTCCCGATTTTCTGCGCGCTCTTCATCGCAGTTTCCCCAGGCTCAAGATCGAGGTTTCAGTCGACATATCCGTCAATCTGAGGGAGTTGCTGCTGGATCGGTCGCTCGACCTGACCATCCTGATGGGCCCGATATCTGATTACAGTGTTGACAATCTGGACCTGCCGCCATTTGAACTCTCATGGTACCGGCCTATCGATCTTGCCGATCCGGACCTCAGCACGACACCGGTCATCACCTACAACCGGAATTCCCGCCCGCACCGCGAACTGACACAGCAACTTCGCGACAGGTATGGCAGCACCGCCCAGATCTTCCCTACGAATTCGCTTTCGACCGGGTTCGAGATGGTCGCCTCGGGGATTGGCGTCGGCATCCTGCCCCACGTTCTGGGCCATCGCCTGGTGGAGGAAAAACGGATAACGACCTTCGACCCAGGCTGGCAGGCCACGCCTCTCAACTTCACCGCAACCTATATTGGCGAACCGAGAAACGAACTGATCTCCCGCGCCGCGCGGGTGGCGCAGAAGGTGGCGCTGGAGTTTGGAGACGTGGACCGAAGTGCACAGGGGCGAGCCGGGCAGGGCGGCAGTTTGTGAATGGCTGACATTGGTCGCGAGCAATGAGGCCGCCGGATAGCGTTCCCGGCAGGTCTTGCACTGGCTTTGTTCAATGTCGGTTTTTGCGCATAACGTTTTTGACGTGGACATTCACAAGGAGCAACCTAAAGATACCTTCCTTCTCCTGGCCGTTGATAGAGGTCTCTGGAGCGAAGGTCAGATTTTGGCCTAATGGGAAATCGCGGCATGCAAGGGCTATGCGCGCGGATTTATCAGTTCGAGGTATCCTTGGATAACAAACTCAGAATTCGGCCCGCTGTCGGGCGTGATGTCCAAAGCGTACGTATATGCGCCGAGGGAGCTTACGAGCAGTATGTTGACGCAATTGGCAAAGCGCCTGCCCCAATGGTTGCAGATTTTGAAGCCCTGATTGCAGCGGAGCACGTGCATGTCGCGGTCAATCCGGACAACGAGGTTCTCGGGTTTATCGTGTTTTATCCAACTGATCAGCACGTCCTGCTGGAAAATGTCGCTGTCAAGGCGAGTGCATCAGGGCAAGGGATAGGAAAGGCGTTGATCGCGTTTTGCGAGGCGTCTGCCAGGAAACTGGGCGCTCGATCCATCAAACTCTATACGAATGAGAAAATGACCGATAACCTGTCGATCTATCCCCACCTTGGATACAAGGAGACCGGCCGCGTAACCGAAGACGGCTTCGAACGTGTCTATTTCGAAAAGGTGATCTGACGAACGGCAGATCGCCAGATTTCGTTCAAATCAAACGCGACGCATCTACCCCTTTGCCAGGGCCGCCGCAGCGGTGTCATGATACTCGTGAAGCTCCACGACGCAGCCGTCTTTCACCGTCCAGAACAGGGCCAACTCGGTTTCTCGCGTAGCACCTGTGTGCCGGCTGGTGATTGTGACACCAATCTGGGTCGCGGCGCGCTCGCCGGAAACGATAATGTCTGTCAGGCGATAGTCATCAATGCTCCAGTCAGCCTGTATCCGGCCTATCGTTTCCCAGAATGCATTGGTGCCACAACAATCGGCGCAATAGGGACCTGTTTCCGCATTGGCGTGGATGCAATAACGAATTTCATCATGAAGCAGCGAGGAAACTGTTTCTGCATCCCCGCTTTTGTAAGACTGAATGGCTTTGCGAACGACCTCTTCGGTTGTCATGAGTTTTCCCTCCAAATCCAGAAAATGGGAATTCAGCCAGAGCGTTGACGTGTTGAGCCGAGCTATTGCTGAACCTTTCATGGCCCGGCGATTTGACGCCCCTATTGCTTGCCGCAAAGGCAGCGATCGAAAATATCTCCGTCCAGTGAGCCAAGCTGTTGAAACAGGCTGAGAAAGTCAAAATGGTTAAAGGCTTCGATAATCTGATCGTCCGAGAAACGGCCATAAACGGTACCGGTCATCTTGATGGGTTCGCCCGTTTTACGCGACCTTCCCTCGAAGACGCAGAGCGCGCAAAGCCATTCACCGCAGGTCATGTGGTGCGTGACGCTTATTTTTACGTCCTGCACAAGGCCGAGCAGAGCTTTTTGAAAAACCTTGAATTCGTCCGGTCCCAGCATTTCATGTTCGCGAAATTCGCTTCCGCCAACGCGGGTCTGTGCTCCCAGTCCAACAGCCCGACCGTCCCTGACGAACATTTCATCGATGGCTGTTTCATCTTCCTCGTTCCAAACACGCTGAAACCAGGTTTCAAGAATTTCAAGATTTGTCACAATGAAAGACCTCTTCTGGTATAAATACACTCACCTTGCCATGACTGGTTGAAATTACGAAGGGGAATCGTGTGGTTTTTACCAAAAGGGCAAGATTGTGCCTTCACTTTTTTGCCGAGAGATCAAGCAAACGCCTCACGTTTTGGAAATGGCGGGTGCGAACAAGGTCAAATGCAACTTTACGTGAGCGCATTTGTTTTCGCGTTTGACGCAGACCGTCTCAAGCCTTGCCCCTGGCAGCCGAGAAGTGACTTGTTGGCTACTCGTGGCCGAACCGACGAATGCCGAATGTCAATCCGGTATTGGTTTTGAGGGAAGAAGGGCACCTGTGGCTTCAGAGTTTCGAGAGGGGACAGCGTGTTTTCGGTCATACTTGTCCAAAATCAAATGAAGGCGAGGGGAATTTCAATCACGGTGTTGCGGAAATCGATTGAGCGAACTTTATCGCATGCCGCAATTGGCATGTATCGGTTCAATCGTCGCAAGGCGGTCCCTGCTACTCTCAGCGAAACACCATTTGAGGGAAAACGCTAAGCAAAATCACGACTATTCCGGCCACCGCGACAAAGGGCAGCGCGGATCTGAAGATCGCGCCGGCTTTCACATCGGACACGGTCGCAGCCACGTAAAGGGCGACGCCAACCGGCGGAGTAACCAGTCCAAGTGTCAGGTTCAGGCACAGAACAACACCCAGGTGATAAGGGTCGATGCCATAGACGGATGTCGCAACCGGCAGAATGATCGGCACAACCATGATGAGGGCCGGTATGCCATCAATGATCATGCCGACAGCCAGCATGATCAAATTGACCAGAAGCAGAAACAGTATCGGATGCTCGGCCACCGTTACGACCCACTCCGCCAGGCTTTGAGGGATCTGTCCGTAAATCAATATCCAGCTGAAGACGTTCGCGGTGGCAACCATGAACAGGACGAGCGCTGCGTTTGAACCGGCAGTCAGCAGCATTTTCGGGATATCCCGGTCCGAAAGCTCGCGTGTTATGAATTTGCCGATCAGATAAGCCATGAGTGCAGCTATGGCAGCCGATTCAGTCGGGGTGGCGATACCGAGCAAGATGCTTCCGATGATCGAAACAGGAATGATGAGCGTCAGAAGACCGTCGCGCAGCAACCCGACCCGTTCCTGCCGCGTCAGCGGTGGAGCCACAGGAAACGGACTGAACAGACCGATCAGGAAGATCACGATCATGAAGCCGGCGGCCATCAACAGACCCGGCACAATTCCGGCGATGAAAAGGTCCCCGATCGAGATCTGAGCCAGCACACCATAGACCACGAACATCATGGACGGAGGTATGATTGGAGATAGCAGCCCCGCCGAAGTCGTTGTGGCAACTGCAAATGTCTTTTGATATCCGGCCCGCTCCATTTCGGGAACCATCACTTTGGACATGATCGAAATCTGTGCCGTGGCCGATCCCAGAATTGAGGCCATCATCATGTTGGCAAGAATGTTCACATAGACCAATCCGCCCTTCATCGTGCCGACGACTGCCCGCGCCATGCCTATCAGCCTGGCCGTGATGCCGCCGCCGTTCATCATCTCGCCAACCATCATGAAAAGCGGGATCGCCAACAATCCGTATTTGCCGATGCCCGATTGCAATTGAAGCGCATAGGAGCCGATCAGGGCGGTGTTGCCGGTATCCAACACATAGATTGCCGCGGAGACCGCAAGAACGATGCCGATCGGCGCGCCGACAAACAGCAACACGACAAAGACCAGGGCCGTAATCATCGCGGCGTATCCGTTGCCGGGGTGCCATGGAGGTCTCGCAGCAGGCAAGCTGCGCTATGGATCGTCAGTGTGAACGCAAATAGCGGCATCACCAAAAAGAACCACAAGCGCCGTACGCCGATGGTGTTGGTTACTTCCTGATACACGCTGTTGTATGTGCTCTCGAAAAATATCTGCAGGTTGAACCCACTCCGGGCCATCGTGACGGGATCGAACCAGACCCAGGTGGCATAGGCCAAGAACAGCGCGAAACCCAGGTTGACGCACTGCACAGCGATTGACATCCGGCGGCGGAGAGATTCTGAAACCGCATCCGACAGAAGGGTGACCGAAAAGTTTCGCCTTTGGGCAAACATCAGGCTGGATCCGACAAATGCAAAGACAACCATAAGGTTGATGGCCAGTTCATCCACCCAGTAGAGTGACCAGTTCACAGCACGGCTGGCGACATTCAGGATCATCAACATCAGTACGGCCGCCACCAGAATCTTCAATAGAAACGCCTCGATTCCGGCGATCCAGTCAGATGTTTTCAGCACCATCTTCATAGCGTGATCCTCTTTGGTCCCCAGGTTGACCGCCCACGCCTGAACGTGGGCGTCTGACTTAACCCGCAAGCATCTTTGCTTCCTTTTGCAATGCTGCGATGGACGGTGCCTTTGGTTCCCAGATGCTCTTCCATTCGGAAATCGTGTCCCCGAAGAAACCTGGCTCTGCATCGACAACATTGATCCCGGTACCTTTGAGATCATTCAGCCATTTCGGCTCGAACTCGACATATTGGGCGAAGAGCCAATCGATCTGCTCGGAGACAGATTGCGACAGCATCTGCTTTTCGTCGTCGCTCAGAGCAGCCCAATACCGGCCGGAAACCACGGCAACCACCGGGAACATCATCTGGCTTGTGATCGTCAGGTTGGGCGCCTGGTCATAAAGCTTGAGCTTCCAGGCCAACTCCAGATCGATATCAGCGCCATCGACCTGGCCATTTGCGAGCGCATCAAACAGACCGGGTAGGGGCACCGGTGTGGGGGCTACATCCATCAGCTCATAGAAGTCCCGCAGCGGTGCAAACGGCGTGATGCGATACTTGCGTCCGGCCAGATCAGCCGACGACAATCCCGGCTCGCGCGATATCAGGTGACGCATTCCACCCAGTCCGAAACCAAGACCCTTCATGCCCAATGTTGAATACTGTTCTAGCATTCCCGTTGCCGTGGGACCGGTCAGCAGCTTGGACGCCTGGCTGACATTTTGCACCAGATAAGGTGTGAATAGGGCTGCCATGTCATCAAGACGGTTTGAGAACTCCGCCACCGTCAGGAAGCCCATGTCCAAACCACCGGACTGGAGCTGTTGGATCATGGTTGCCTCGTTGCCCAGCTGGCCCGACGGGAATACCTGAGTGTCGAACTTGCCGCCGCTCTTTTCCGCCATCGACGCCCCGACCCGGTCCATGGTCTGTGTCCAGAAGTGGCTGCCAGGCGTGATCGTGCCGATGCGGAGTGTTTTTTCCGCGGCAGCGCTGGCGATGCCCGGTGCGGCAAGCATTGCGGCTGTCAGTGAAGTGGTCTTCAGAAAGGTACGACGGTCCATTTGATTTCTCCCCTTTTGGTTTGGTTCTTGTCAGTGAAAATATGCTCCGCCATCGACGACCAGGGTCTGGCCGGTCATGAAGGCGGAGTCCTGCGATGCGAGAAACGCCACAGCACCAACGACGTCTTCAGGCAGTTGGTCGCGCGCAATTACCCGTGCCTTTTGCGAGATTTCCTGAAGTTTTGTGATCTGATCCGGGTTCGCCTTGACACCGTCGGACATGGTAAAGCCAGGAGCGACACCATTGACGCGAATACCGTCTGCACCAAGCTCCTTGGCCAAGGCCTTGGTCATGGCGTTGATCGCGCCTTTGCTGGCGACGTAGTGCAGCAGGTAGGGCACACCCTTGAAGGGGGTGCCCGAAGACATGTTGACAATCACTCCAGCGCCCTGTGCCTTCATCGCCGGCAACACCGCGGCAGTAACAAACGCCTGACCCATGACATTGACGTTCAACACCCGTTGCCATTCTTCAGGCGATATGTCGGTGAATTCCGTAGGCTTCAGCGTGGAATAGAGACCGGCATTGTTCACCAGCGTGTCGATCTGTCCGAAGGCTTTCAGGGCTTCAGCGACCATCTCGTTGCATGAAGCCGGATCGGATATGTCACAAAAGACACCTATCGCGGCTGCGCCTGTTGCCGAGATTTCCGCAGCCGCTTCACTCGCTCCCGAAACATCGGCAATCACGACGGCAGAACCATCCCTGGCAAACCGGTCGGCGATGGCGCGTCCAATACCCATGGCTCCACCGGTCACGATGACAACATTCTTTTCATCCATTGCTCTTCTCCCGTAAGACTTGAGGCGTTTACTGGCCTGGCGAGGCGCGCCGCAAGTCTTCGATGGTTTGTGTCGGAGTGATCAGTTCAGGATCTACCTGAAGCTCAATCAGGCTTGGCCCGGGATAGTCACAAGCACGCTCCCAAGCTGCCGCAAACTGTTCAGTGCGCGTCACTGTTTCGCCGTGACACCCGTAGGACTTTGCCAACATTGCAAAATCGGGGTTCACCAGATCCGTCGCGCTGACCCGGCCCGGATAGCTCCGTTCCTGGTGCATGCGGATCGTACCGTACATTCCATTGTTGACGACGATCACTTTCAGATTGGCGCGATACTTCACGGCGGTTGCCAATTCCTGTCCGTGCATCAAGAAACATCCGTCACCTGCGAAGCACACGACCTGCCGTCCTGGATGGGTTCTGGCAGCAGCCACGGCGGCGGGCAGTCCATATCCCATCGACCCGGAGATCGGTGCGAGTTGGCTTCGGTATTGGCGATACTTCAGGTATCGATGCAGCCATACGGTGTAGTTGCCGGCACCATTGGTCACGATGGCATCATCCGGCAGAACGTTTTTCAGGTGACGCATGACATCGGCCATGGCCAGTTTCCCACGACCCACGGGCAGCGTCGACCATGCGCGATAGTCGGCATTGCAATGCGCGACATGGGCTCGCCTTTCAGGTGATCCCTCCACCGGAGGGGCCTGGTTGTTCAGTACCGCGATAGTTTCTGCTGCAGGTGCGGCTATACCTATGTCGGGCGCGTAAACCCGCCCGATCTCTTCCGGATCCGGGTAAACGTGGATGAGTTGTTGAGCAGGTTTGGGAATATTGACAAGTCGGTAGCCGCCGGATTCCATCTCGCTGAACCGAGTGCCCAGCAGGACCAGAACGTCGGTAGCGCTTATCCGTGCGGCAAGACCCGGGTTGATCCCGATGCCGGCATCGCCTGCGTAGCAGGGGTGTGCATTGTCGAAAAAATCCTGACACCGAAACGAAGCGGCAACCGGAACATCCCATTTGGCTGCGAAGTTCTGAAGGTTCTGCCGCGCGCTCTCCGACCATGCTCCCCCTCCGACAATGATCATCGGGTTTGAGGCTGTCACCAGTGCGTTGAGAGTGTTCTGGACGTCTGTATCTGTCGGAGCAGCTTTGGCTGGTCGGGCAACAGCCAATTTCGGCGGGATCACATCCGTTGTCTCGACCAACATGTCTTCGGGAAGCGCCAGAACCACCGGTCCGGGGCGTCCGGACATGGCAACGTGAAAGGCGCGCGACACCATCTCGGCAATTCTGTGGGGGCTGTCCACCTCCGCGACCCATTTGGCAACCTGGCCGAACATCCGGCGATAGTCGATTTCCTGAAATGCTTCGCGTTCGCGCATGTCTCGCGCAACTTGTCCTACGAACAGGATCATCGGCGTCGCATCCTGACGGGCAATGTGCAGCCCGGCACTTGCGTTGGTTGCGCCCGGTCCCCGTGTGACCATGCAGATGCCGGGCCGGCCTGTCAGTTTCCCGAATGCTTCGGCCATCATTGCCGCGCCGCCTTCCTGACGGCAAACCGTGATGTCGATTTGAGGGGCATCGGTCAGTGCATCGAGCACGGCCAGGTAGCTTTCGCCGGGAACCAGAAAACACCGGTCAACTTCTTGTTGAAGCAGACAGTCCACAAGACATTGTGCTCCGGTAAGCGACCTTGTCTGGAGCATCTTGTTCACAGCAACAGTCCTGTTTCACCGAAATTGCGATAGCTTTGGGACTTGGGTTTTGTCCGATCTTCTTCATTTTCGTAGTGAATGGAGGATTTTCCGCGCAACTCGTCAGGCAGAATCATCGCCCGGATGAACCGGCTCTGGATTGCGTGATCAGCCTGAGCAAATACGGGAAGAGGGCCACTTTCAAACCAGGCACCGCCAGGTCCGAAGGAGATCGACTTGCCGCCGGTGTCAATCCTGATGCCTCCCTCGCGCAGACAGCGGATACCCGGACCTTGATGAGTGTGCAGCAGCGCCGTGCCCGAAGGCGGAAATGTTACACTGTCAAGCCGCAGAAAATTGCCTGCCCTTGCCAATTGCGCCGGGACTTCGCCGGAAAGTTTTTTCGTCGTGTGCTGGGGACGGGCGGTAGGTGGCGCATCGGAAAGGTCCCAACGCCAAAGCGATGCGCCTTCCGTTCCCGCGACCAGTGTAACCGGCCCGCTGGCAACGAACCCCTCATCAAGGCCATAGCTGTTGCCTTCGACCGTGACTTCACCGGCGGTCACATAGATCGCCCTTGAGCATGTGTCGCCGAACGCAACGGTTTGACCGTTCGAGAGATTGTCTTCAAACAAGTGCAATTCCATCGTGGCTTTCCCTCGAACGCTAGTCTCGTGTCTGCATGAACGGTGCAGGCAGCAGCAGCTTGTTTTCCTGATGCCTGACCAACGGCCGGATTTTCTTGACGTAACTTGTCCATTCGGGATCGCGGACCAGTTCCTTGCGACGGGTCTGACGATCAGCAAAATCGGCATAGGACCACATGTGCACGATCTGGTTCTGGGGGCCGAATTCGACCTGGTAGTATCCAAGAAGATTTCCCAGTATCCGGGTCTGAACGGCCAGACCCTCAGCTTCGTAAAGCTTCAGATATTCAGGAACCTTTCCAACGTGCAGGGTGTAGATGCGCTCTTCGACGATCATGACGCAGCTCCCAGCCCGGCCAGGCAGATGTATTTCAGCTCGGTCCAGTCTTCGATGCCGTATTTAGACCCTTCTCGTCCGATGCCGCTTTCCTTCACACCACCGAAAGGCGCGACCTCGGTGGAAATCAGCCCGGTGTTGACACCGACAATGCCCGTTTTGAGGGCATCTGCTACGCGGAAAATTCGTCCTACATCACGGCTGTAAAAGTATCCGGCCAGGCCGTATGGCGTGTTGTTCGCCATATCGATCGCGTCCTGTTCCTTGCGAAAGCTTGTGATCGTTGCAACCGGACCAAAAACCTCTTCGTGAGCGATATCCATTGCGGGTGTGACACCTGTCATGACCGTCGGCTGGTAAAATGTTCCGCCAACCGCATGTCGCTGACCACCAATGCGGATTTTTGCCCCTTTACCCGTCGCATCCGCGACCAGGCGTTCCACCTTTTCCAATCCACGGTGGTCGATCAAGGGGCCCTGGCTCACGCCTCTTTCGAGGCCATGACCCACCTGGATCTGTTGAGCTCTTTCACACAGAGCCTCTACAAATCTGTCGTGAATACTTTCTTGAACGTAGATGCGGTTTGCCGCGATGCAGGTCTGACCGGAATTGCGGAACTTGCAGATTTGTGCGCCGTCGAGAGCCGCATCAATATCGGCATCATCGAATACAATGAATGCAGCGTTGCCACCCAGTTCGAGGCTCACCTTTGTCAAATCGCCTGCGCAGTCGCGCATCAACTGTTTGCCGACGGCCGTTGACCCGGTGAACCCGATCTTGCGCACGTGCGGGCTGTCGATCAACGCCCTGCCGATATGCGGCGCTTCCTCCCGGCCACCGGTGACAACATTGAATACGCCGGCAGGGAGACCTGACTGTTCGGCCAACGCGGCGATTGCAAGCGCCGATAGCGGTGTCGCTTCGGCCGGTTTCAGCACCATGCAGTTGCCGGCGGCCAATGCGGGTGCTGCTTTACGCGTCACCATTGCCGATGGAAAATTCCAGGGTGTTATTCCACCAACAACGCCGAGTGCATTCCGGGTGACCAGTATGCGTGCGTCGGCACGGTGCGGGGGGATGATATCTCCGTAAACTCTGCGGCCTTCTTCGGCAAACCAGCTAAAGAAGCTGGCCGCATACTCGATTTCAACCAGAGATTCACTGAATGGCTTGCCCTGTTCGAGCGTCAGCAGACTTGCAAGCGCTGCTGCATTGGATCGCATCGCAGCAGCCCAGGCAAGAAGTACAGTTGCCCTGTCCGCCGCCGTCCGGTTGCTCCAACCTTCAAACGCCTTTTGTGCCTCGGCAATCGCATGAGATGTTTCCACCGCGCCCATCCGCGGCACCGTTGCCAATGTCTCGCCGGTTGCAGGGTCATTGACTTCAAGGCGTTCACCTGATTCAGCCTTGACCCACTGTCCACCTACATAACTCTCGGTTTTCAAAAAATCAGGCAATTGGGCCAAGATGACTTTCCCTGTCTTTGCTGGTGGCGAAGCACGATTTCATTGACCTCAGGATGGCACGCTCCTGCTCAGTGGTCTTTGCCACGGTTTCGTGCTATTTACCTTTTTGTCCGATTAATTGAGGCAAATGCCGAAGGGATGCCGTGGCTGACGCACTTGGGATCGCTGTAGGAGCGTTTGGGCGCGTCGCCTTGCTGTCCGCAACGGAGCCGGTTCTGGATCACGCCCATTCCCAGGTTCATGCACTCATCAAACTTACAGGGCCCGACACGGTCTACAGCGTCGACGGCAAAAGCGCGCGGCTAACCGATACCCAAATGGTGCTGGTCAATCCCTGGGTCGTTCATTCCAATCAGCGGTCTACGGGTGTAGAGCCGACGGTTCTCTTGGCGCTCTACATCGACACGCTGTGGTTCGGTGAGAACGGCAATCAGATACTTGCCGGCTTCAAGAACCTTCCTTTCGCGAAATCAACGGCGACGGTCAGCTCCCGCTTGCAGGAGCAGGCCGTGAAACTTGCGGATCAGATGATGGACATGCATAGCGATGAAGAGCAGTTCGACACATTGCTTCGTGACCTGGTCTGGTCAGTACTCCAATGTTCGAAAACCGACGCTGTGTCGGAGCAGAGCACAAACTGCCTGTTTGTAAGCGACCACCGAATTCGAAGAGCGGTAAAGGCATTTCGCCAGGAACCTTCCAAGGAACTGGACCTGAACGATGTAGCACGGGATGTGGGATTGTCGCGGTCACAGTTTTATGCACGCTTTCGCCAATGCACTGGCCTGTCGCCACGAACTTATCTGGATACCCTGTGCTGCGAACGCGCATCGCACCTTCTTAGTGACCCTGCCATTACGATTGCGGAAATATCCGAACTGTTGGGGTTTTCTGCTCAAGGGCATTTCACAAGGTTCTTCAAATCCAAAACGGGCGTGTCGCCGAACAGCTTTCGAATGGGGCATATCGAAATCGGACGCGTCTTGAGGTAATGCCTTTCCGGCAAGATCCAGACTGACTGGACATGCAGCGCAATCACTGATTTGCGCGCAGCCTTGTCGCTTTGTCTCAAGTTTTCAAATCAGTGGTTTCATCGGGGCAAAACGCCGAATGCTCTAAGAGTGGCAATTGCGTTGAACAACAAGAACGGCTGAGTTGTCCAAAACCCGATCGTTCGTTCGTCAAGCAATGAATGTGCGGATCTGTGTTCGAACCTCAGCAGTTGAATGATCAACTTGAGGACGCGAAGCTGTCATCAAGACCAATGGACGCGCGGAGTTCGTTGTCAGCCAATTCGCGCGAATTATCTGGCAGCGCCTTCGTTGACCGCGGATTTTAGCTGCCGGACGACCAGATGGCACACCTCACATGGAAATCGGAGTGAGACTCAGCTGCTGACACCCGGCTTGAAACGGTAACGGCCGGTGATCGGGAATTCGAGCAACCTGTCTTCCAGGCGGGTACCGGCACCGATGTTGTGTATGACAAGCTGACGGTTGCCATCCTGTGAGCGGTAGTGCGAGACGATCGCAATATGCGGCAGGTTGCCAGGCAGCATCTGCGAGACAACGTCTCCGGGCAGATAGTCTGACGCGCGGTTGCTGACCGGGAGCGCAGCGTCCTGTCTTTTGAAAAAGGTCTGCAGGTTCGGGACCCGTCTGTGATCGATGTTCCGATCCGGGCGCCTGAGGCCCCACATCTTCGGATAGGCCCTGAAGTGCGATTTCATATCGCGATTGACCTCTTTTTGAAGGTCGAAACCGAAGGCATCGCGATAGGCCCGGACGATGACGTCGGTGCAAACGCCACGTTCGCGCGGCAGGTCACCATTGGGAAAACCCAGTCCAACATAAGCCGGGTCGTAGATCAGCGTTACTCCGATCTGGTCTTCGGCGGCTGTTATCAGTTTTTCCGCCCAGGGCTCGGCCTGCTCAAGATCCCGTTGAAAAGTAATCCTGACCAGTGGCTCGTCGTGACTTTCAATCGCGTTTTGCGCAAGTTGCAATCCGGCTTCGAGTTTGCCGGGTATCATCGCAGCTGCAGTCAGGCCGCTGCCTGCGGCAATACCTGCCCCGATCAGAAATTCACGCCGATTCATCCGCCATCCATAGTTTCTCGCCCGCTGACCTGAATATGCGGATTCTGAGTCAGGAATGGGGCAGGGGCCGGTTTTGTTTCTCAGGCGAAGCTTTCTGACGAAATAAGTTGTTCCGGCTCCTTCGATCCGGACCATTCAGGCGTATGACCCGTTCAGTTTTTGCATTGCCACCCAAGCAATAAAGTCGCCGATGGAGACGTCAAAGGAGAAACGTTACTTGAAACAGCAGAAACGGCATTGCAAGTCTTGCTGACATGACATCTGGGCTCGATGTGAGCGAAGCGAGGGCCAGGTTTCCTCATGCTTTCAAAATTCCTGCCAGCAGTTTCTTGGTTGCCTGTTCGTAAGCCTCGCTGTCTCCTCCGTTTGCAATCGCCAAAGCCGCCCGGTCAAACGCTGACGAGAGCAGGTCTGCTAGCGGCTCCAGAGGAATGTCTCCTATGGCACCCTGGGCAGCTGCGTGGCGAAGCCCCTCGAGCAGGGTTGCACCGCCGGTTTCCCGGTCTATTTCAGCCATTTCGCCCAGACCAAGCACTGCGGGCCCTTCCAACAGCAGGATCCTTGCCCGGCCCGGCGCCGACATTGCCGAAAAATAAGCCTTTGCTCCTGCCATGAATGCATCAAGCGGGGATTGATCCGTACTCGTATCCGCGTTGATTTCCGATGCAACAGCGGCTGCCTCCTGGTGCACAAGCGCGCGCATCAGGTCTGCCTTGTCGGAAAAGTGGTGATAGAGCGCACCTCTCGTCACGTCCGCATCTTTCACGATTTCCGGCGTTCCTGTCTCGGCGTAGCCTTTGGCAACGATCAGTTTCCTGGCGGCGTCCAGAAGGGCGCGTCTGGTCTCCGCCCTGCGCTCGGCCTGTTTTCGGCGTGGTTTTGCATCTTGCATACATGCAGCCTGTATGTTAATTCAAGTTACATACAAACTGTATGTCTTTTTAGAGCGCCTGAAAAGCCCCGGCGTTCCAATGCCGGGATTTGAATGCGACTCACGAACAAAGGGAGAAATGCCATGAAAGCCACCCAGTACTACCCGGTTCTGATGACAGACGATGTTGCCGGGACGGCCCGGTTTTACCGCGATCATTTCAAATTCAAGGCAGCCTTTGAGGCGGACTGGTACATTCACCTGCAGTCGGAAGAGGACGAGAAAATCAACCTGGCCATTCTCGACAAGGATCACCCGACCATTCCCGAGCCGGGTCGCGGCAATTGCACAAGAGGCTTGCTGTTGAATTTTGAAGTCGAAAACGTGGACCCGATATACGACCGGCTCAAGGAAAAGGGGTTACCCATTCTTCTGGCCTTGAAGGACGAACCTTTCGGCCAGCGCCATTTCATCACGCAGGATCCAAATGGTGTCCTGATCGACGTGATCACGCCCATTCCGCCTAGCGCTGAGTTTCTCGCGCAGTATTCGCCGGACGCTGTCCCGGCGTGACCGACTGAAGCAGAAGAACGTTTTTTTCGGCAGCGAGACACTCAAGTCTTCTCCCGGATTGCCGCTTTCGGCAATCCGGTTCCCAGTTTTGGAACATCTGTGGATCGGAACATGCGCGCGACTGCAGGAACAGCCGTCGGCCGCAGGTGCAATGCGCAGCCCTGTGAAGCTGTCGGCGATCCGTTACATGCCGGGTACCTGATACCGCGATTGTTTCATCCTGGCGTTTCAGGCAATTCAGACGAAACCAACTCGACGCGGCATTTGCCTGGGGAAGAAAGAAACCCAATGTTCGAGGCAGCAAATCGGCTTTCGTATATAAAGATGGATGTTCCTGCGCAGAAGTAAAACGTCTCAAGCTTCTGAAAATGTTTACTTATCTTGCTGTCTGATCAACCTTCGTTTGTGGCGGCGCGGTCGGTTTCAAGTTCGGGACAGCGCTGCCGGAAATTGCAATCCTGAACCAAATGGCCACATGAAGTGCGGCCAACCGGCAGAGGCAGGACACGCTTTGGATTGGATGATGAGGGGCACATGAAGCGAATTGGGACAGCTTTGCTGCTGATGCTCATTGCCTTGGCAGTTTTTGTCTGGATCAGTGATCCCACGAAACTCAAAACATCATCGGCGTCGCTGACACGGTTTGAAACCGGCGCGATGTCCGGGACAGAAGAGGGTATTGCTCTGTTCGGTTTCGCCGACTTCGGCGGTCTGAGTTCGGACACGCTGCGAACGTCGGCGGCACCCTGGAAACTTGCAGTTTCAGCGTTGGCGCTCCAGGAAACCGCCGGCGATGTTGCAGCATTGAAGCAAATTGATATTGCCGCGATCTATCGCAGGTTCGGATTTCACAGTCCGACGCAGATCGCCAACTGGCCGCCGACACTTGCCAGGCCGGATCTCTCGAAACCGGTCGGGATCAATACCGGTCTTGCGAAGCATGCACTCCTGCCGATTGCCGTGACCATTGGAAACACCGGTTGCGCAGCCTGCCATTCGGCCGTGACCTACCGGGAGGACGGCACACCGGATACGACAAGAATCTGGTTGGGCATGCCAAACAGTTCGATCAATCTGGAAGCCTATACCGCTGCGCTCTACGCAGCGTTCCGGACTTACGGACATGACGATGCAAAGCTGTTTGAGGCTGTCGAGATCCTGTTTCCGGAGACAGGCTGGAGTGAACGGCAAACGCTTCGTTTCGCGATATTGCCAATGCTTCAACAGGAAATAGACGAAAGGAACAGGACTATTGGTCGACTTGTTCCGTTCGTGGCCGGGTTACCCGGTGCAACAAACGGTCTCGATGCATTGCGCAACCGGCTGGGGCTTATTCCCGAGGGTACCGTTGTCGACAAGAGCGTCTTCAATTCGGTTCCCGAGCTTGGTGGGAGGCTCTGGCGGCGCAGCTTCCTCAACACCGGCTCCTACGTGCCGCCGGGCGTTGATCCCCTCTCGGAAACCGTTCCGAAGGATCTCGATGAAAACCATCTGAAGGAAATGGCATCCATCGTCGCCTATTTCACGGTTCCGAGTATGGGGGTAAGCGCTGAAGTAGCCGAGGCCCATATTGCGGATGCTGAAGCGGTACTGCGTTGGCTTCAAGACTATGAGCCGCAGAGATTTCCTGGAAAGATCAACCGACATCTTCTAACCGATGGACGGTCTGTTTATGCCGACAACTGCAGTCAATGCCACGGCGTATACAACCAGGATCTCACCAAACCGGAGTTGGTCGCATTTCCAAACTGGCAGGGAGATATCGGAACCGATCGGCGCCGTCTGGAATTGACCGGTGAAAACGTCGCTGCCGCCGTCAATTCCGGTCATTTCGGACGCTATATCAGTGCAAGAAGCACCGGCGCCTACGCGGCGCCGCCGCTGACCGGTATCTGGGCCAGCGCTCCCTATCTTCACAACGGCAGTGTTCCGACACTGTGGCACCTCATGCGTCCGGACAAGCGGCCTGAACGTTTTGTCGTCGGCGGCCATGCGCTTGACATGACACGGGTGGGGCTCCGTGGATCGGACGATGCGCAAGGAGGCTGGATGCCGCCGCCTGATTATCAACCCTGGGCGCTTTCGGCAGAAATCGACGTCAGTCAGTTTGGCCTGGGGAACGAGGGTCACGAGCTTCCGTTCTCTTCCCTGTCCGAGGACGACAAGGCGGCACTTCTGGAATATCTCAAGCTTTTGTGACGAGTTGGTCGGCTGGCAGTCTGGCTTTTTCCGGCTGCCTGTTTCCAGGGTGGGGTCCGACACGCAAGACCGTAATCAGTTCGCGCTCCTCGGCGAGCTCAAACAGTTTCATCACCTCCCGCCGTGCCGTGGGATCGTCGGCGAGGACGGCCATGGGCCAGGCCGCGAATCCGGCGGCGGTCAACGCGAGCCAGAATTCATAGAATTTGCCGCCGCTTGTCCAGCGATCTTCTTCTGCCGGACGGTGAAAGGCGACGAGCCCGGTAGCCGTGACGGTTTTGCCGTGTTCTGAAACGATCGCCTTGCCGAACCCAAGCCGGTCGAGAATTTCAAACACCGGACGTCCAAGCGCAATTCCTGCCATACGCGCTTCGAGGCCTGACAACGCCAGAGATTCAGCGGAAAGACCATCAAGGGCCCAGCGCGGGTCCGAAGCGCGAAGCCGCATCCAGTCTACCAACTCCTTACGAAATGACGGAGAGCGCATGACATTGAGGCTTGCCTGGTCGTTCAATTCCGAGAGCATCGCAATCCGGTGTGCGTCCTGCGTGAGCGCCGTGTCGGAACGGCCGGCACACATATCACTGAGTGACTTGCGCAGCTCCGGGCTGGCCTGTGCGAACCCTGCGCGGAACGTGGTCCGTCTTTTCAGTGTTTCGATCGGTTGGACAGGTCCGGGTGGACCGGCGATGGCGAGGCGGGCGACGTCGTCAGAAATTTCCCAGCCCGACACTCCGTGGCCATGGCGGGCAAGGGCAAGCATCGTTCCGTAAAGTGCGGCACCGCCACTCAATCGTGCATCCTTGTTTTCCGGGTCACCCACAGGGAGCATGCGGGCGGGGTCGAGGGACAAAACAATGGTTTTTTGACCGTCCATCGCCCAGCGGGTCGGCTGGGTGTTGTGCGCCGAGGGAGCGAGATTGGCTTCCGCCGCGATCTTTTCTAGAAATTCGGGGGTCACGTCAGCGTCTTCCGGTAGAGGTGCGCGCGGTGAAGCATGTGTGCACCGGCCTTCGTCTTCTGGGCCAGGCTCGCGGCGTTGACGTCAGCGATCCAGGTGTTGCCGAGTGTCTTGTAACCGGCCTTCTTCATCGCCAGGATCACATGCCGCAGAACAACGGGATTGATGCCCTTGCCCTGCATGTCCGCGCGGACCGCTGAATAGATCAGCACGGCGCGCTTGTTGGCAAACCTGTGCCGGAGAAAATGCCACGGCATCGTGGGCCCTGGACGGGACCGGATCTTTTTCAGGAAGGGGTTGAGATCCGGGATGCACAAGATGGTCGCCACCGGGTCGCCTTTGTAAGTCAGGAGTGCGGAAATACGCGGGTCTATTATCCAGACCATGTCCTTGGCCTGAAAACTGTATTCGTCGGCACTGACCGGGACGAACATCGGATTTTGCGCAAAGGCCGAGTTCAGCAGGAGTCGCGCCTGTTCCATCCGTTCGCGGACATTCCAGCGTGAAATTCGGGCAAAAGCAAAGTCCGGATCGTCAAGTACCTGCTGTTGTTTCGGTCCGATTGCCGGAGGTTCGCACGACGTCAGATCAACTTCGAAAGTTGCCATTGGAAAGTCACGCGCATATCCGTTTTCTTCCAATAGCCGCGGTATGTGGGGAGGGTTCCAGACCTGGTCCGTGTAAGGTGCGTTTTCGAACCCGTCCGTAACGACACCAACCTGCTGCATCGCTGTCAGATTGATGTTTCCGACAATCTCGTCTAACCCGCGGGTGTGTGCCCAGGTTTCGGCAGCGGCCAGCAGGGCGCTGGCAGCGACCCCGTCATCTGTGCAATCGAAAAAGCCGAAATAGGCGCGCCGCCAGTCGAACTTCTTGTTGGACGCGTTGTGGACATGTGCAGTGAGACGGCCGACGGGTTTCTCGCCTTGAAAGGCTGTGAAGATCGAAATGTCGTCAGGACCGGAAAACAACGGGTTCTTGTCGTGTGAGACGAAGCGAAGGAGATCCGCGCGCAGAGGAGACACATAAAGACTGTCGGGTCCATAAGCATTGAAGGGTGCTTGGAAGAAGGCGTCGAAATTGCCGGTCTCGATACGGATTGTCATGAGGTTCCCCTCCGGACCATGTCGCGTTCCGCGATCACCCGTGCAAAGCCGAACGCGGAGCGCAGGCTGCTGCTTGAAGTTGCTGAAAAACCGGCAGGGGACCCGACCGCGACCATCAGCGGTTCTTCTGCCACGAGCAAAACCTCGTTTCCACCGGTGCGCGCGATCAATTCCCTGATCTGGCTTTGTGCTGCCGTGTCCAGCGAGCGGTTTTTCGGAAGATCGGACATGTTCTGGGATCCCGTCGGTTTCAGCACCTGCACCATTAGATCGCCGTCATAGTCCTGAAGTTCGTTTGTTCGCAGAATTGTATAACCGGCCGTCAAGCCGTTGTTGTCGAGAGCGGCCAGGTAGTCGTCGAGACGTTTTGCATGTCGCATGGCGGCAAGGAGGGATGTTTGACGGCGGTCGCGACGAATGGCTGCGGACGAAAGGCCGAGGACCAGGACAAGCATAAGCGAAACGACAATCGCCGAAGTCTCAAGTGTCTCTTCGGGAGACAGACCCGTCTGCAGTTTGACAAGCCAGGCGGCAAGGCAGCCTATGAAAGCAATCGAGGCGACAGCAGAAAACACGCGTGCGGCACTGGCTATCCTGGCTTCCAGCGTCACGGTGACCCAGGCGATCGTCAGCGCCCCAAGTCCGGACAGATAGGGCAGGTTTTCCGGTGGCAGCAGATCGTAGTCCGACAACAGCAGGATCATCACGATCGGGATCGCAATGGCAAATCTGTTGATCGCCGTATTTTCAGTTGCAGTCAGGCTGGATCTGTCTCGCGTCAGAAGCATCACGAATATCAAGGTGAAAGACATCAACTGGTACGCGGCCAGGAGAAGCAGAAAACCTGGAGAGGACGCGACTGAGCCGGGTAAAAGCACCGCGGCGCACCCCGTGGCTATCATTCCGGCGGCAACGACCAGTTTCACGAAACGGGGTGCGTGACGGCGCAGGAAACCCTCCGTCAGCAATAACGCGGCGAACGGTATGACGGCCGCGGCAACGAAGGTTGCCGTCCTGAAAAGACCGAAGTCTGTCAGCCAGTCGGCAGCGCGCACGAAATAAAAGACAGCGACCACAAGCAGCGCAAAACGGAACCTGCCGGCAACACCACCACTGGCCGGATCGATCTGCCAGCGAACAACCAGCAGACCGACAACGGCCGACAGGGTGACCGTGAGGTCTGTGACCAGTTGCGATTCACCCATCGGCTGCCTCAACCATGCCCGTCAGCTTTCGCCGCACGAACGGCCTCAACATTCCGGACAGGAGGCGAGGGAGCGGACGTTCGATTCTGGCCGTATAGGGGTTGAGGAACCAGCCGTTCTCGTCGGTATTGCTCGTCCTGCCAAGCAACAGGCCTAGCGTTTCATATGCCATCAGTGTCCCCGTGCTGATCACCATGGGCGCAAATGACATCCGGCTTCGCCTGCCGGCAGCGACATCGGCTGCAAGATCAAGATCGATATGGTGCCTGGATGAAGAGTTCAGCATGACATAGACGGCTTCAGCGAAGAAAGACGCATCGCACTGGTCTTTCGTAAGCGCATTCCAGTCGGTTCCGATTGTCGGATAACCAAGACGCTCCTCCGGCATCGGTCTTCCGGGACGGGTTACATAGATCGATGGCAGCGGGGAAGCGTAAGCATCTATGACGGCACGGCCAAGTTTTCGTGACGTGCGATAGAGCAGGAGCGTGGCTGCAAGATCATCGGTACCGTTGATGACCACGTCAGCCTTCGAGACAAGCTCGGTGGCGCTTTGAGTCCAGGTCTGGTCGTAGACGTCGATATTGGCATCGGGATTGATGTTGAGGCACTGGGCCCTTGTTGCTTCGGCCTTGTCCCGGTCCAGGTGATCGAGATTGGCGAAGACCTGGCGGTTGAGGTTTGACGTCTCGAAGGAGTCAAGGTCCGCGAGGATGAGGTTACCGACACCTGCCCGAATGATCGACTGGATCGCAGCTCCACCCATTCCGCCTGTCCCGCACACGAATACGCAGGCCTGTTTCAACATCTGCTGTTCGGCTTCGGTGACAAATCCGATGTTCCGTGTGGTGAATTCCGAGTAGGTGAATGTCATCGTGCCCGCAGTAGACCGTAGTCTTTTTCTGAATTGAACCAGTGCGCCGCGGGAAGAAATACACGCCGCGCAAATACCAAAGTGCCCAGCGCCGCCAGCTGCATCAAAGATCCTCTGGGAACCGCGCGCGCTACGTACCGCTGAGCTGCCGCCAGATCGATCAGACCAATCTGCAAGACATCGTCTCCACGATCGTAGTTGAGTTCGTTTCGACACCAGGCATTGTATTTTTCGTCGCGATGCCTGGTGGTTTGTTCGATTGTTTTTTTCAGGTCGTCAGATCCACCGGTATAGGCATTGCGAATGACAAATCGCTTTTCGTCGAAATCCGCGTCAGCGCCCACGCCAAACACATGACGATGGTTCTGCATGATTTCGCGCGCAATCAGGATTTTTCGGAAGTCACTCGGTTCCGGTTCTTCTGGGCTTGGGCACACTTCGGAAAACGTCTCGCAAACCATGCCGACCACTGCCGGGACCTGCGTGACATTAGAGACATAAAGCGGCCGCAAGCCACCGCGTATGAAGAGCAGGAGACACGTCAGTCCGTAGAGGATCCAGGAAAGCCCTTTCTGACGTTCCTGCGGATCTATCATGACCAGACCAAGGTGAATGATCCGGCATCTTGAGGCTGACAGATTGCAGTCCATCAATGAAAGTGCATTGAATGCAACGGGTTTGCCGTCGCTGGTTCGCCTTACCAGCGTTACGATCGCATTTTCCAGTCGCTCCCGGTTGCCTGACAACACTCCGTAGTCGAGTGCCCCGGTTTCAAGTGTTGCCGTTGCGATCCCGGTCAGGTCCGACCGGAGCTTCTCCAGACGGTCAGCGGTCATCCAGCGGCCCGGACGTTCGACGATTTCAACGGTATTGGTGCCGCTCTGGAACGACACATCGAGATAGTCCTTACTGACAGCTTTGGCGATCAGCCTCATCAGCAATCTCTCATGGCTGCCCTGTACGTCGCGAACGCTCAGGCAAGCCTGTTATCCCGTTACCATCGTACCGGGACCAGTTGCACCTTCAGTCAGATGGACCGCAAGATCTGAAAATTCAATGAAGATGCCAAGAACTGCCGTGTGTTCAGCCGGATTGTCAGGAAGCGACAGGCGGGCACGAACTACTCTGTTCGGCTCTCGACTTGAGGCCCTGAAGGCTTTGCATCGTGTTTGGATTGCCCGGCAGGACGAAACTCTGTTCCAGCGCGGTGCGCACGTTGTTGATGACGGCAAGATCCTGTACCGCGAGGGTCTGGCACTGGTTTCCGGTGAAACGCACACGGATACGGATCACCCTGTCGCCGTTGTCGGAAGGTCCGAACTCTGAATCCAGAGCGGGGTTCTCGCCGGCCATCGGACGTTCCAGAACAATCATGTTCGGCTGATCCTGCAGCACCACCGTCCCTCTTTCCTTTGCGCTGGAGACCAGGGCACTGCGAACGGTAACCGGGTCCGCAGCAATATTCACGCTCTGGGCCCCTGCGGGAACATCCAGTCTCGGCTGATCACCGAGAGAGGCCGACCGGTTCGAACCGGACTGGCATGCAGCAAGGGTTAGGGCGCAAATGCTGAAGATTACTGTATGTCGCATCGGGTGGTCCACAGTCCAAAGGGGTTTCAAAGGTCCGGTATTTACCGTGTTTTAGTCCAGGTCCAACCTCAGACACAACAAGTCAGAATCTCTTCCTGTCCCATGTCTCAAGTCTTCTACAAGAGTGCTAACGAAACCTTGTGGCAAAGACCGGGCAGATTTCCAACTAAAACTGGTCGCCCGTTTTGAAGCCGCCGCCGCCAAAACTGCCACCTCCCTTGAAGCCTCCACCGCCGAATTGTCCGCCAGATCCCGAAGACCGGCGACCCGAGCGTCCGAAACCACCCATGGACTTCGGTAATCCGGATCCATTGGGAAAGGCAACCTTGCGGCCGCGCGGTTTCCGGCGACGATGAGATCGTTCCGCTCGCGCCCAGTAGTCGGCGCCCGTGATAGCGCCCTTGACAAGTTCGCCGAGCAGAACCGTCGTGAGCTTGTCATCGGAAAATGTCGATTCCCAACTACCGTAGTCTTTCGATCGAAAGCGCTTGATGACATCAGCGAGTTCTGCTCTCCGGCGGCTGATGTCACGCTGCAGTTCGCGGTCCTGCCGGATTTCCCGGGCAACCTGCTCGACGCGCTCCCTGAAGTCCTCTATGCGCTGGACGATCTTTTCGTCCTCCGGAGAGGGGGTGTCCATTGCGGCTCGCCACAGGTCATTGAGATCGTCGGCTTTCAGGGATTCCGACAAAAACCCCTCGGCCTTCTGAAAATCGGAATCCTCGCCGCTGGAGAATTCCGCGAGTGCGCCAGCGAGTGTTTCAATCTGACTGTCAAGTTTTTCAAGGTCCGTGTCGATCTGCTCGATCTCGTCACTATAGCCTTCGATCGATCCGACCAGATCCGTGCCCGCAGCATCGTTCATGGCATTGCGGCTGAATTCGGCAAGCTTTTCTTCTTCCTGCGCGGCAATCTCTGCGCAACGTTCGGCATGTCTTGCCATGCGGTCGGGAATGCCTGTCAGCATGGCGTAGTTTGCCCGTGCATCATCATAGCGGATCAGTCCGGCAACCCAACGGTCAAGTGACCTGGTCAGTCCCCTGTAATTGTAGTCAGGCGTCCCGTAACCACGCTGCCACAGATAGACAAATAGCGGATCGGCATCATAGGATTTGCCCTTCTGTTCCTGGTCCTGCTGGGCGGTACGCGCTTTTTCGGCCGCAGCCTCGGCGGTCGCATTTGCCTGTTCTGCGGTTTCGCGCTGAGCCAGGTAAGCGCTGTCGTTTTCCAGGCGACCGTCGACCGTTTCCATCAGGTCATCCATCTGGTTTTCCGCCGTGTCGCGCGACGTGTCCAACTCCTGGCGCTGCTTGTGCTTCTGGTTCCGTTCGGATTCAGACTGGCGAAGCTGTTCGCTCAGAACCTTGTAATCGTCGCTGCGCTTGTCGAGCAGGCGTCTTGCCTCACGAGCAGCACTGTCGAGGCGCGTGTTAAGTGTTCCGGCCGCATCAGTGTCCAGACGAAATCGGGCGAGGTCGCGATAAGCCTCGCTTTGCCGTTCCTGCAGGTCCGTTACCGAACGCGTCGAACGTTCGATGCGCTTGCTCAGCTCTGCTTCTTCCCGGCGGAGATCTGCCATGGACTGCTCAATCGTTCCGAGTGTTTGCCGTCCCGTCAACATGAGATGTCCTCCGGCAAGAATGACGGCTTAACCTGCGCTACCATGTCGTAATCGCTCCGCCCTGAACACCGCTGCGCCATTTGACATCGAGTTCGCCACGCCGTTTTTGACCGAGAACTCCCTTTTGAACGATGCCGTCTTCGATCTTGTCGCGCCGTACAGCGTCATAGATCGCCTCCGATACCCGTTGCCCCCATTTGTCAACGGATTCAGACTTGCCCGTTTCTTCAGACTGGATCGTCTGCTTGAGAACATTTCCGTCCGGATCGATGGCTTCCACGACAATGTAGAAATTCTCGCTGTTCGGATTGGCTTCCGGTATACGTGTGAGGCCGGTCGGTTCACCCTCGCGCGAGACGATCTGGACCTCGAACACCTGTTGAAGCCGCCCGGCGAGTTGGCGCAGATCCGCTTCCGCCTTGAAGGCCGCTTCGTTTTTGCCGTCCTCCAGCGCAAGGCGGCCATCTGCAGCAAGCGAGTTTGCCTCGGCTTCAACCTCGGTATTTTCGGTCAGCGTCTCCACGCGCTCCACGAGTTCGGTGAACGTCGCAGGAAGAGCTTCAAGCCGCGCGGTCAGCTCCGCTTCGGCGCGTTGCTGTGGCATTATGACGAGGAAATACCAGGCGGCGATAACCACAAAAAGCACGGCGGCGGCCGCCGCAAGCCACTTGGACCAGGTTCCTCTGGAAATGTAGATCATCGCCAGCGTGCGCTGAAATCCGGTTTTGGGCGGCGAATAGACAAAGCGATCGCGCTTGAGGTCTTCGACACCGGCTTTCAGGATGTGCTCGGGGACCTCGATACCTTGCGAGGCATACACATGACGCAGCCGTTCAACCATCGCGGCGTCACGCTCATCCGTCTTCAGCTCCCGCGCAACCTGACCTTCTTCGTGACGCAGCGTATCCACCACGTCCATCACCATCATCAGATCGTCGAGAGGCGCGTCGGATTTGTCAGTCCTGCTTGCCATCAATACCTGTCTTCTTGCATCGGTCGGGCCGACCTCTTGCCGGCCCGATAAAGTCTTTCGTGATCAGAGACCCTGACCCTGTGCAGTCAGTTTTGCCAGCCGACGCTTGCCTTCTTCGACCGCGTTGCGAATTTCCTCGGAATTCTTGGTCGACATGTCCCGCATTTCGGAAATGATCTCGCGGGACTGGACCTGGAAATTCACCACGGAATCGACCAGTTTTTTCACTGATGCTGCGGCGACGGTCGGGCCATAGCCTGCCTTAAGGGCTTCTTTTTGCACGGCGTCGCCGATTTCAGCCAGAGTTTCGAGGCTCTTGTTGATACCTTCCTTCATGGCATTCAAGGTTTCGGTGGACTCGTGCAGGCCCTGCAATCCGGTAAAGGACGCGTTGAGAGCTGTCAGGACGGATTCGTTTGTCGAAAAGAAACTGACGGACTGCGCGTAAACACGTTCCTTGGCGTTGGTGGTCTGCACAAGACGCGCCATGATCACTTCCGAGGTGTTGTAGCCTATGGTCAGGTTGTCGGATAGGTCCTTGGCAATCTGATAGCGCTTCTCCTCGTCCTGCATCTCGCGCATGCGTTCGTCGCGCGTGAGCTCCAGCCGTGCCTTTTGCGCCGGATCGTCACCGGCATAGCCTTCCACTTCCTTGGAGGCGGCTTCCAGCGCGAGTTTTTTGCCATTCAGCTTTTCGGTTGCCATGTTCAGCAACTCCAGCGCTGTCACCTCGGCCTGTTTCAGGGCGCCGCGAAAGTCGCGATAAGAGTCCAGGATTGTCTGCTCGCGCTCGATCTGGTCCTTGGTCGCAAGGGCGACTTCCTTGTACGTCCCGCGAATATCCTGAAACCGGTCAGAGATGGTGCCCCGGCGCATGTCACGCCATTTGTTCGACAGGTTTTCCGTGAAGGAGATCTTGCCGTCTGCCAGCTGATCCACCAGCGACTTGGCGTCGTCCCTGATGGAATTGAAGGCGTTGGTGATTTCCTCGTATCGCTCACCGATATCCATCTGCTGGACCTGCGTGCGGACAACCTCGTTGAAATTGGAAGCCTGGCTGAGCGTGCGCGAGATGACCAGCACCTTGTCGGGAGACAGCTCCGAAATCTGTTCAAGAAGCGCGTTGATAGGTGCGTCCGCTTCAGATTCCGGCGTAATTCCAATATCGCGCAGTGTCGACAATGCGCGATCGAGATACTGAAGCGGCGAGAAGCTTCCCGCCGGCGTTGCTGCCGTTCCGGTGGTTTCCGGTGTTGACGCGTCAGTCATTTTCGAGCCTCCTGTGCGAAACGGCTTTTACAAATGGTGAGGGCACATTCCCTGAGGTTCGCCCTGCCGTCCCGTTGACAATCATATGCTGCAAGTAAGGGCAGGCTAACGCCGCTCTGTCAACGGCTTAGCGTCGGTTGCCAGGAATTTTGCCGCCGGTCACAATCTGCGCGCACACAACCCACAGGCGACAATTGCGACGGCGTCATATCGAACGACCGGGATTGTCAAAAGGGATCAGGTGTCTCTGCTGCTCCGATTGTGAAACCGGGTTGGATTTCAGCCAAGATTGGCAGCGATCTTTGCCGCCAGCCGCGCGTTGTTACGCACCAGGGCGATGTTGGTGTCGAGGCTCCTGCCATCGGTCAGCTCAAGAATTGCACCGAGGACAAAGGGAGTGACGTCCTTGCCCCTGATTTTTTCTCTTTCGGCTTTTTTGATTGCTGCATCAATGTACCCGGACATTTCATCGCGCGGGATCTCGTCAGCTTCAGGGACCGGATTGGCTATAAGTACGCCGCCGTGATCAGTGAATTTGGCGCGCATATTCAAAAGCCGGCCGATTTCACTTGCCGAGTTCAGTGAATAGGGAGCGACAAGTCCACTTTTGCGTGACCAGAAAGCCGGAAGCTCTTCTGTTCCATAGGCGATCACAGGAACGCCCTTGGTCTCCAGTACCTCGAGTGTTTTCGGAATGTCGAGCAGCGCTTTTGCTCCTGCACTGACAACGCAAACAGGCGTCCGTGCAAGTTCGTCGAGATCGGCAGAAACATCAAAGGTCTCTTCGGCGCCCTTGTGAACGCCGCCGATGCCGCCGGTTGCAAAAACCTTTACGCCGGCGAGGTGCGCGGCCATCATCGTGGCTGCAACGGTCGTAGCGCCAAAACGGTCTGTCGCCAAAGCAAAAGTCATGTCTGCCCGTGAACACTTCATGACGTCTTCCGCCTGTGCGAGACGATCGAGATCCGCATCACTCAGGCCAACGTGAAGCTTGCCGTCCATGATGGCGATTGTCGCGGGTACGGCGCCTTCCGCGCGAATATCAGCCTCAACCTGCCGCGCGGTTTCGACGTTGCGGGGAAACGGCATGCCGTGGGTGATGATTGTCGATTCCAGCGCAACAACGGGTTTGGCGGATGCCAGGGCCTCGCTGACTTCTTCGCTATAGACAATCAACGTTTGGACGGCGGCGGCGTTGGAAGGTTGGGTCACGTTGTGAGGCCTTTGTTGTTGAGGCTGTCCCATCCAAAATTGTTGGGACGTGAGTTGAGCGCCTTATAGGGAGATCGTGGCGTTGCGCCAAGGCTACAATTTGTCCGCCTGGTCAAAAAGCTCGAGATTTTGCCAGGACAAATCGCCGGCAAGCGCACCGGTAGTCCTCAGGGTCAGCGCCGCCGCCGACAATCCGAAGCCCGTCGCATCGAGGAGGTCATACCCTCTTGCCAGTGCTGCGATCGTTCCGGCGGTCAAGGCATCGCCTGCGCCGGTTACATCCACGATTTCGGCTGTTTGAGGAGCGAAGCTGCGCAGCGTTTCGCTGAAAAATACCCGCAGTTCGCCGCCACCGTCGGTCAGGATGAACGACTTCAGGCCGCTGTCGATCAATGCCTGCGCCAACGCTTTGGCGGGTGTCTCGGTAGGCCTGTTAAGGAGAGATGCTGCTTCGCTTTTGTTGAGCGTGAGGCAATCGAGACCCTTCAGAACAGGTCCGAGACGCGGTGCCTTGGCGTCCGAGACGGCATTGGCGATGACAAACTGGCCGCCGATACGTTCGATGGTGTGCAGCAGCATCGCTTCGGGCAAGTTCGCGTCAAGAAACCAAAGGGTCTTTTCGGTTGAAACCTTTGTTTCCTTGTCCAGGAGAGTGTCGAACAGATTGTCCGGTGCTTCGGACAAGACACGATCGTCGACGCAGGCCGCGGCAAGTTCTCCGCCAGGGTCATGGAATGCGAGATATTGTCCTGTCGAATGATCCAGGCGCTGCACCAGGTTCAGACGAAGCCCTTCCCGTGTCAGCTGATCTTCAAGCGTATGAGCAGCGCCGTCTCCGCCGACCGCTCCGATCAATGTCGTTTCAACACCAAGCCGCGAAACGGCACGGGCGATGTTTGTGGCAACGCCGCCCGGTCTGGCGCTGAAGCGGGCAGGGCTCGATGTCTCGCGATGAATTTTGGTGACCGCATGCGCAATCGTATCGTAGTGAACCGCACCGATGGAAACCAAACGATATTCGGGTGTGGAGAACACAGGTATGGCACTTCCGTCTAGAGCAGGCCGGTCTTTTGACCGGAACCGTGAAAACCTGCGGGCTAGCAGATCATCAAGACCGCGGCAACCTGTTCGGCGGGTGACGCGATTCTGCCGAAAGACAGAATCACGATATGTTTCCATTCTTTTCTAACGCAGCGGTATCTTATTTGACAAAAATGGGAACATATTGGAAACGAAGTACAATTTCCGTATTAAAACCAAGCAGTTTGTGGTTCTTGTATGTTGAGAACAAATAGGGTACAAACCCATCCATTGAAACAATGCGTCCGTCGTGGAATAAGGAGCGTAAGCTATGTCGCAAAATACACTTCGTCTCGTAGAAAGCAGCCAGATGGATAAGACAAAAGCGCTGGATGCAGCGCTCAGCCAGATTGAACGCTCCTTTGGCAAAGGGTCCATCATGCGGATGGGGCAGGGACAGGTTGTTGAGGTTCAATCTGTTTCAACCGGGTCCCTGGGTCTTGATATTGCACTCGGGATCGGTGGATTGCCGCGCGGCCGTGTTGTCGAGATTTACGGCCCTGAGTCTTCCGGCAAGACAACGCTTGCCCTGCATACCGTCGCCGAAGCCCAGAAAGAGGGTGGTATCTGCGCTTTCATAGATGCAGAGCATGCTCTTGATCCTCTCTATGCCCGCAAGCTTGGTGTCGATATCGACAATTTGCTGATATCGCAGCCGGATGCCGGTGAACAGGCTCTGGAGATCGCCGACACGCTGGTCCGGTCGGGCGCGATCGATGTACTGGTCGTTGACTCCGTTGCCGCTCTGACGCCGAAGGCCGAGCTGGAGGGCGAGATGGGTGACAGTTTGCCCGGCATGCAGGCCCGCCTGATGAGCCAGGCCCTGCGCAAACTCACGGCGTCGATTTCCAAATCAAAGTGCATGGTCGTCTTCATCAACCAGATCCGTATGAAGATCGGTGTGATGTTCGGGTCTCCCGAAACCACAACAGGTGGTAATGCGCTGAAGTTCTATGCTTCCGTCCGCCTCGACATTCGCCGGATAGGCGCGATCAAGGATCGTGACGAGGTCGTCGGAAACCAGACACGTGTGAAAGTGGTCAAGAACAAGCTTGCCCCTCCCTTCCGGCAGGTTGAATTTGATATCGTCTATGGCGAAGGCGTTTCCAAGATGGGTGAGCTCATCGACCTCGGCGTCAAAGGCAATGTTGTCGAAAAGTCCGGTTCCTGGTTCTCCTACAACAGCCAGCGCCTCGGTCAGGGCAGGGAGAATGCCAAGCAGTTTTTGAAGGACAATTCGGAAATTGCGGAGGAAATCGAACTGGCCATCCGTCAGAATGCGGGCCTGATTGCGGAAGCGATCATTGACCCTGAAGCGGCTGAAAGCGCTGAAGATCTGGTTGACGATCAAAGCTAAGATATTGTTTTTGCATACTTAGTATCGGTGACTTGCGCGATTTGATAGAGGCTTTCTCCCGTTTCGGAGAAAGCCTTTTTCATTGTCTCTCGGAAAAGGACCAGCACTCATGGAGTGCTCTGACTTTGTCAGGACGTGCTCAATTGCTGGACAGGGTTTGAGGTCAAAGTTAAAAGGCTGTTCCGGTGCGGACCCTGAAATGGGGCATTCGCACCTATAGATTTTCAATTGGCCCGAATTACCAAGGGCAGGCACTGATGTGAGACCCGAATGACCGGCGTAAATGAAATCCGTTCTACCTTTCTGGACTTTTTCAAGAAAAACGATCACGAAGTGGTTGAGTCCGGACCGCTGGTTCCGCGCAATGACCCGACCCTGATGTTCGCGAATGCGGGCATGAACCAGTTCAAGAACGTTTTTACCGGGCTGGAAACACGCCCCTATTCGCGCGCCGTGACCGCCCAGAAGGTTGTCCGCGCCGGCGGGAAGCATAACGATCTGGACAATGTCGGTTACACGGCCCGTCACCACACGTTCTTCGAGATGCTCGGCAATTTCTCCTTTGGAGACTACTTCAAGGAAAGAGCAATCGAGCTTGCCTGGAACCTGATCACGAAGGAATACGGGTTGCCCGAGGACCGGCTTCTCGTAACCGTTTATTCTCAGGACGAGGCAGCTGCCGGATTCTGGAAGAAAATTGCCGGCCTCAGCGATGACAGGATTATCCGTATTCCAACGTCGGACAATTTCTGGTCCATGGGTGATACGGGACCCTGCGGTCCGTGTTCGGAAATCTTTTACGACCACGGCGATCATATATGGGGTGGTCCTCCAGGTTCCGCCGAAGAGGATGGCGACCGTTTCATCGAAATATGGAACCTCGTCTTCATGCAATACGAGCAGACGAGCGATGAACGTCTCGACCTGCCGCGTCCCTCGATTGACACGGGCATGGGTATCGAGAGACTGGCGACCATATTGCAGGGCGTCCACAACAACTACGATATCGACCTGTTCAAGGCGCTGATCGCCGCGTCGGAACATGAAACGAATGTCGAAGCTGCCGGTGCTGCGCTCGGCAGTCATCGGGTGATTGCTGATCATCTGCGCTCGACAAGTTTTCTGATTGCTGATGGTGTGTTGCCCTCCAATGAGGGCCGCGGCTACGTGCTGCGCCGTATCATGCGAAGGGGGATGCGCCACGCACATCTCCTTGGTGCGGCTGAACCCCTCATGCACAAGCTGGTGCCGACACTCGTGCGTGAAATGGGACGTGCCTATCCGGAACTGTCTCGCGCAGAGGACCTGATCACCGAAACGCTGAAGCTGGAAGAGACCCGGTTCCGCAAGACGCTGGAACGCGGCCTTGGGTTGCTCGACACCGCAACGGACGATCTGACGGCCGGTGGCCAGCTTGACGGTGAAACGGCCTTCAAGCTTTACGACACATATGGCTTCCCGCTCGACCTGACACAGGACGCGCTGCGCGCGCGCGACATATCCGTCGATACCGACGGTTTTGATGCCGCGATGGAGCGCCAGAAAGCCGAAGCGCGCGCTGCCTGGTCCGGGGCCGGAGGGGCCGCTACCGAGGCCGTCTGGTTTGCCTTGAAGGAAAAACACGGCGCGACGGATTTTCTCGGCTACGAGACCGAGCGCGCGGAAGGTGTTGTTGTTGCGCTTGCCTCTGAAGATATGGAAATCGAAAAACTGTCCGCAGGTGAAAGCGGCTTCGTCGTTCTGAACCAGACACCGTTCTATGGTGAAAGCGGTGGTCAGGTCGGTGATACCGGAGAGATGCTTGCAGCCGGTCTGAAAGCTACTGTGACCAACACGCAGAAAAAAGCCGATGGTCTTTTTGTCCACAGTGTCACGGTTGAGGAAGGAGAGCTCGTCCCCGGCCTGGCTCTGGAGCTGAAGGTTGACCACGCCCGGCGCAGCGCTGTGCGGGCAAACCATTCCGCGACACACCTTGTTCACGAGGCTCTTCGTGAAGTGCTCGGCACGCATGTGGCACAAAAAGGGTCTCTGGTCTCGCCGGACCGTTTGCGGTTCGACTTCTCTCACCCAAAGCCGATGGATGACAGCGAACTGGCGACAGTCGAGACCTATGCAAACGAGATCATCCTGCAAAATGCTCCGGTCGAGACACGCCTGATGGCGGTCGATGATGCCATCGAGGCCGGTGCGATGGCGCTTTTCGGTGAAAAATACGGTGATGAAGTGCGCGTTGTCTCGATGGGAACGGCATTGCACGGGTCACGGGAAGGCAAGCCCTATTCCCTGGAACTTTGCGGCGGTACCCATGTCAAGCGGACCGGCGACATCGGACTGGTGACGCTTGTTTCCGAAGGTGCAGTTGCCGCCGGTGTGCGCCGGATCGAGGCACTTACGGGCGCTGAAGCACGTTCCTATCTGGATGCGCAGGACAAGCGCATGCGCGCAATCGCGGCACTTTTGAAGATCGGTGCCGATGATGTGCCGGCCAGGGTATCCCAGCTTGTGGATGAACGCCGCAAGTTGGAAAAGGAACTTGCTGATGCCAAGAAAAAGCTCGCGATGGGTGGAGGCGGCAACGGAACTGCACCGATCAAGGATGCTGGTGCCTTCAAATTGATGGCACGCACGGTTGAAGGCATCAATCCGAAGGACTTGAAGGGCATGGCTGACGAGGCCAAGGCCCAGCTCGGGTCAGGGGTGATCGTACTGATCAACGTCGCCGAAGATGGCAAGGCGGCGATCGTGACCGCAGTCACCAAGGATCTGACGGAAAAGGTGAACGCGGTGGATCTGGTGCGCATCGGATCGGAAGCGCTTGGAGGACGGGGCGGCGGAGGCCGTCCGGACATGGCACAGGCCGGGGGACCGGATGGCGCAAAGGCGGACAGCGCGATTGCGGCGATCGAGACTCACTTGAGCGCAATGTGATTTGGTATCGATGACATTGAGAAATGAAAAAGCGTGCCAACTGGGCACGCTTTTTTCATCAGGACCGTAGTGCCGGTCAGTTCAGAGCTGCGGTGACGGCCATCGCGATTGCGGCCAGTAATGTCGACACGATCAGCATTTTCAGCACGATGTGGTGAGGTGACGTCTCCGCTGCGCGGACCTTGTTGGTTTCAATTGTCATAATTCCCTCCTGACGAGTTGTGTCGCCCACATCCATAGAAATGGGGCCTGCGACAAATTTGCCCAATCACGTTCGCGGAACCGGCTCTCACGGAATCGCGCGGTATGCGTGAAGACCCGAACGGATGATTTTGTCCTGAAACGATATTCGGCTATTCATGAAATCGCTGATTTTTCAATACGGAGCGCGCAGTGCAGGACGAAAGTTTCAAACGGGCTCTTTATGAAGTGCTTGAGGACACGGGCAAACGAAAGGTCGCAGCCCGTACTTTGAGTCATTTCCTGATTTTCCTGATTCTGCTGAACATAGGTCTGGCGGTGTTGGAAACGGTGCCTCAGGTGCGCACAACTTTTGGCCACCATTTGCGGTTTCTTCAGCTCGGCAGCGGGTTCATTTTCCTCATAGAGTACATATTGCGGCTTTATGTTGCCGATCTGCACCCGCCGCTTCGTCGTTATGGTCCGTTGTGGTCTCGACTGCGTTATGCGGCTCATCCCGATGCGATCATCGATCTGATCGGAGCCCTTCCGCTTCTGTTCGTTCTCTTCCTGCCCAATCAGGCCTTCACAATCGTTGTCATCCTTCGATTGCTCAGGTTCCTGAAACTCGCACGCTATTCACCGGCGCTCCGGTCGCTGATTTCGGCTGTCGTCGGTGAGAGGAAGGCGCTTCTGGGTTCAAGCATGATCATCAGCGGTGTGATCCTGTTGTCGGCGACCCTGATGTATCTCGTTGAACATGACGTTCAGCCCGAGAAATTCCGTAGCATTCTTCACGGCATCTACTGGGCTATCACGACGATCACGACTGTGGGCTATGGGGACGTCGTACCGGTCAGCAACCTCGGGAAAATCGTTGGCAGCGTGGTCATGCTGATGGGGTATGGCCTGATTGCGCTGCCCGTGGGAATTATCGCTTCCGCATTCGCGCGCGAAATTCACAGCAGGGATTTTGTTGTCACCTGGTCGATGGTCGCCCGTGTCCCGCTGTTCGAAGACCTGAAGGCAACCGAAATCGCGGAAGTTTCAAAACTCTTGCAGGCACAGGCAATTCGCAAAGGCGGGGTGATAGCCGAAAAAGGCGACGTGGCTGACCGGATGTATTTCATTTCGGAAGGTGAGGTGGCGATCAAGCTGCAGCATGAAACGGTTTATCTCGGAGAAGGAAGTTTCTTTGGAGAACTGGCTCTCATCAATCAAAGCCGCCGAACGGCAACCGTAACGGCCTACAGGGACTGTCAGTTGCTTGTGCTTGAATCCGACACGCTCCAGGAACTCATGAACAGGGACGAAACGCTTGCCAAAAAGATCATGGACGAAGCGCGCGAGCGTGTCGCTGCCGGCAAGAAGGTGCTTGGCGAACTTGCGGAAGAAGAGCTTCAGCAGGCCGGGGTCTATGCTTCTGCAGACGAGATGAGCGAAGAACCGGAGCTTTCATTCGACAAGGACGATGAAACGGACAAGGATCCCGCCCGGTAGTCTTTATTCAGAGGGCCGGTCGGATTTCAGTCCAGCCTGCAAGCAGCGTCTGTCCTTGGAGTATCGGTCACCTGGATCAACAGCAGGACACAAGGTTCATCGCCGACAACACCCGACAGGTGTCCCTCCCGTCCGTTGGCACCGGGCCTGGAGAGCTGGTCTTCACCAAAGGAAGCCATGCCGGGGCCCATTTCCACACGGGTCCCATCCATGCTCTCAACGAACCAGGTTCCCGAGAGCGGAACGATCCACTGCGGCTTCGGATTGCGGTGCCACCTCAACGTCCCGGGCTGAAGGACCAGTATCGTGATGTCCTCGGGATCAGCTGCAAGGCGTTTTACCCAGAGGTCGCTGGCCGGTGGGGCGAAACTCTGGAGTTCAAAATTGGAGAACCGGCAATGGGACTGGTGTGTGACGCCGTCAATATCGGTCCAAAGATGCCAGTAGTGAGCAGCAGGGTCTTTTGTATCGCTTGTCGAGTTCATGAGCATGGTTCCGTTGTTGCGCTCGTGCATGGCGCACCAGGAGACTTGCCGCGAGGGGAGCGCTCGCCCGGGATCAGGATGCTGTTTTCCAGGAACGTGACACTCAATATGGCAGCAGGCCTGGCGGCACCTGAGCGTAGAGCGGATCGCCATGCCAGAAAACATCGGTCGGACCCACGGCAAAGTCGATCAGGTTCCATCGATTGTACTGGTAACGCAGCAGGGCGAATGTCATGAGGCCATCCATGTATTCCGCCTGCATGGCATATGTCGTTCTGTTCAAGTCGATGACGCCGCCTCCCGGGCGCTGTGGACTGACCTGGACAAAGGCCCAGCCTGATCCGGCCCGCATCCAGTCAACGACAAATTCAACAGGTGGTCCGACGCGCGCTTCAAGCATCGGACGGATCGCGTTCAAAATGCCGCTTCGGTCCGCTGTCCCGCGTCCTGGCTCGTAGACGGATTGTGCCGAAGCCCCTAGACTGATCGAAATCAGGAGGAAGGCACCCAAGAAAATTCTCGTAAGCTTCTGAAAAAAATGATCAAAAAATCGAACTTCAGAAATTGAATCAAGCATGCTTTCCCCCGTCTGCAGAATCAAAAAGTCAGCTTCCTGAAAACCCGGAAAGGCTAACATGAAAACCATCGGTTTGCTTGGCGGAATGAGCTGGGAAAGCACGGTCACCTACTATCAGTTCCTGAACAGAATGGCCCGCGAAAAGCTGGGCGGACTGCATTCGGCGCAATGTCTCATCTGGTCCTTTGATTTTGCCGAGATCGAGGCTGCACAGGCATCGGGAGACTGGGACAGGGCGACTGACATGATGGTGAACGCTGCCCGTCAGTTGGAGCGGGGCGGGGCGGATTGCCTGGTCATCTGCACAAACACGATGCACAAGATGGCCGGAGACGTGGAGGCGTCTGTCAACATTCCGCTTCTTCACATTGCCGATGCGACGGCACCTTCGATCACGGAAAACGGCTGCAAGACACCTCTGCTCCTGGCAACCGGATACACGATGGAGCAGGACTTCTACAAGGGACACTTGAAAGACATACACGGCATCGACGTGCGTGTGCCGGATGCGGACGACCGAACGGAAATTCATCGCATCATCTATGAAGAGTTGTGCAAGGGAGAGATCTGGGCCGACTCAAAGCAGACGCTCCTTGAAATCGTCGCAAAGGAACACGAAGCCGGGGCGGACGGTGTCATTTTCGGCTGCACGGAAATCGGGCTTCTGGTATCAGCCGATGACTTCAGCATTCCCTCATTTGACACAACAGCTCTGCATGCTCGGGCAGCGTTGAAATTCGCGCTGGAAACCGGTTGATCGTGTGAATTTCAAGTGTGACAGGCCTGCTTCACGAATAGGGATACGCCAAGCTGCATCACTGCTTCTGACGACCGCATTGATCTGCCTCGCATAATGAGTGTTTTGAAAGTAATTAAGAAATAAATTATGAAATTGGTATGTAGGATATTGCATTTATATCTTTCATATATAGTAAAATAATTTAGACTTTATTTAATTCAGCAACGCCAATTCTTGAGATTTCTGCGGCCATTTCATGGGGAGCCAATTGTACGGTGGGCCGAGATCGGTTGGCCATCGGGCCATGCGGACATCTTCGGACTGCGTCAGGGGAGCGGTTGGCCTGTCGAAAAAAGTCGACCGGATGCCGAAGCGCCTCCTACTTTAGGCCATGTATATTCAAGGTTTAGCAGGTCGCCGGAATTCATCACCTGGTAGAAAGTTACCTGTCAATTTTTGCAGGTGTGTTTGAATATTCAATTAGCTAAAGTTGAAAATGTTAATCCGTAAGGAAGCGTTAATTTCTTAGGTGCGAATTTATCCTCCATCTACGTAAGCGCTTACACGATCGCTATCGATTCGCTCAGTTCGCTAGTCATTCTTTCGTATTCCGAGGTGGAAAAAATGCTCAAGAATATACCCGTCACGCTGAAAATTTTCGGCGGCTTCGGAATAATACTATTGCTTCTTGTCGTGACAGGGGCGACGGGTGCATTGAACCTGAGCAGCGGCAATGATCAGTTCAAACGATACCGCTCAATCGCCTTGCAAGCCAACCAGGCGGGTCGGGTTCAGGCGAACCTTCTGGAAACACGGCTGGCGGTCAAGAATTTCATTATCAACGGTTCCGAAGACGCAATTGCGACAGTGGAAAAACGTGCGGCCAGCACGCTGGATCTCGCCGGAAGACTTGGTGAAATGGTCGATTCAGATGCCAAGAAACAGACGGTCACCGTAGCGTCCGAAGAAATGCAGGCTTATATCCAGGCGTTTGGTGAAGTCACAGCGCTTCAGGAGCAGCGAAACAAGCTGGTTCTTGGTTCCCTTGATGTTCTTGGACCGCAAATTGAGCGCGACCTGACTGCCGTGATGAAAAGCGCGCATGATGACGATGATGCGACGGCTGCCTATTACGCCGGGAACGTGCAACGCAATTTGCTGTTGATGCGTTTGTATTCCGGCAAGTTTCTGATTTCCAACAAGCAGGCGGACTTCGAACGGGCAATCAAGGAATCCGAAGAATTTACCGCCAATTACGAAACCCTGATCGCTTCGTTACAAAATCCGGAGCGCAGAGAGCTGGCGCAGGAAGCGGAACAACTCTTCGTACAGTACGTTTCTGCCTTCAACGACGTTCGCGAGACAATACTTCAGAGAAATGCCATCATCGCCGGGACGCTTGATACGGTTGGGCCAAAGGTTGCTTCGGAAATGGAGCAGTTAAAGCTGGGCGTGAAAAAAGAGCAGGATTCGCTCGGCCCAAAAACAACGGCCGCCCTTGAAACTGCCGTTACCGTAACGATTGCGATCGTCACCGTCAGTATCCTTCTTGGTTCCCTGGCTGCCTGGTTTATCGGGATGGGAATTTCCAAGCCGATCAATTCGATTACAGTCTCGATGAAATCCCTGGCGGAAGGCGACAAGACCGCAGAAATTCCGGATCAGAACCGCAAGGATGAGGTTGGTCTGATGGCGGCAGCCGTTCAGGTCTTCAAGGAAAACATGATCAAGGCGGACGAGCTTTCCGATCGAGAGGCCAAGGAGGCTGAAACGCGGGAAGCCCGTTCCCGAGCAATCGAGAACCTGACACAGGAATTCGACACTAGTGTTTCCGACTTGCTGGGAGGAGTTGCTGGGGCCTCCACCGAAATGGAATCAACCGCTCATTCCATGTCGAACATTGCAAGTGACACAAACGACCGGGCATCGACAGTCGCAAATGCTGCAGAAAATGCCTCCGCAAACGTTCAGACGGTGGCGAGTGCGACCGAAGAACTGAGCAGTTCAATTCAGGAAATCTCCCGCCAGGTGTCTCAATCCGCTGAAATTGCAGGACGGGCTGTCGAGCAGGCCACAAGTACCGACCAGCAGGTACAGGGACTGGCGATAGCAGCGCAGAAGATTGGCGATGTCGTCAAACTGATTTCCGATATTGCGGAGCAAACCAACCTGCTTGCGCTCAATGCAACTATCGAGGCAGCCCGGGCCGGAGAGGCAGGCAAGGGATTTGCCGTTGTTGCGGCTGAAGTCAAGGATCTTGCCAGTCAGACAGGCAAGGCGACGGAGGAAATCGGTCAGCAAATCGCGAGCATTCAGACAGAGACAGAAGGCGCGGTGGCCGAAATTCAGAGTATCGGCAAGACGATTGCGGACATCAACGAGATTGCTTCGGGAATTGCCTCGGCTGTCGAAGAGCAGACCGCTGCAACTCAGGAAATTGCTCTCAGTGTCGAACAGGCAGCAGCTGGAACCGGTGAAGTGACCTCCAACATTCTGGAGGTGACCCGAGCCGCCAGCGAAACCGGATCGGCCGCGACACAGGTGACAGCGACGGCATCTGAACTCAGCAGCAAGTCCGAACAGCTCAAGGCACAGGTCGAGAAGTTCCTGGCCGAAGTCAGAGCTGCCTGATCCAATGGAGGGAGTTGTGGATCTCAACTCCCTCTCAAAATTCTTCCTGACAATCGATCGGGCGAAAAATCTGGCGAACAATAGGATGGAATGATGGGTGAAGTGGTTTCAATCCTGGGATTTCTGCCTTCTGATGATATCGACAGTTCCAAAAATGAAATGTTGATCGCCGGTTTTCAGAGATTGGTGGATTGTTGGGAAGCCGATGGTGTCGACAGCTATTTCGACAAGTCCGGCGAAGTGGTTGCACTATCGCGCAACATTATTGAAATGCTCGAATTGTCAAAAACAAATCCGAGCGAGGCGGTGATCGTCCGAAAACTGGCGAAACAGGTAGCAATCGTCATTGACAACTACTCCAGCAGTGTTTGCGTGCTTGGAAAAAACCGATGAAATGCAATGCAGGCTTCAGTCGGGTTCTGTTCAGATTGACCTCAGGCTGAACGCGCCGAGCCAGTACCGCTATCGTCATCTGGGTTCCTCTGGAGCTGACCAGATCGGATCCTGCAGCCTGGCTGTGGTCAGGTTCGGACCGGAAATTCCTTGGGCCTGCAAGAGCGCATTGCGGCTTTTATAATCGATCGAATTTCCTGCTTCTCATCCAGGTGATCAGCGACATTCAAATCATCATACTGCGATCTAGTCGCCGGCAGTCGGCGCGGTTTTTACAAAACTCGCTCTCGATCTGAACATCTCAAGCCAGCGGGACAACCCCGGAGCGCTCTTCAGGAGCAGGGCACCTTCTTCCGCCTGCTGAAACAGATGCATTATCGAGGCCGCGTGACAGTCAGCGAGGGTCAACTGGTTGCCGAGAAGAAACGGCCCGGACCGCGTCAATTCTTCAAGCGCCGTGACAATTCTCCGGGCCTGGCCGATTGCCGATGAGATCCTGACCTCGTCCGGAGCGCTGCCGTCGCGCGGCTTCACCACACGCTCGACATAGATCTCCCAGACAAGCGTCGAATAGGCATAGGCGTCCAGGATGGACAGGATCTGGTTCATCCGTGCTCGCACCTGAATGTCGTCAGGCTGAAGCGCGGGGCCTGCAAGCTGCTCATCGACATAGCGCAGAATGGCGCCGGTCTCGTAAATGACGAATGTGCCGTGCCTTAGAGTGGGGATTTTCGCAAAGGGATTCAGCGCCAGATAGCTGTCCGGTGGGCCACCGGGTGCGAAGACATCAATCGGACACAGGGTGTAGTCGATGCCCTTTTCCTCAAGCGTCAACCTGGCTGAGCGCACATAAACTGAATAGTCCGAGCCGAATAATTCGATCATCTGTGTCCGCTCATCTTGTTGGCCGGCATCAGCCTGGTGGTTCCGTCGATGTTGCATGTCCCCGGAGCAGGGACCGGTCAATAGAGACATTAGCTTGCGTCAAATGACTGAACAACGGGCCTCAGCCCTGTTAATTTTCCGGAGGGGCGCGACGCGATTGTTTTCCGTGTCTTGAACAAGCCGAAAAATGCTGTTCAAAGCCTTTGCTCGCGATCTTTTTCCAGGTTGTGGCGCACTTGTTTGTTATCGCCAAGCAATCACGTTTCTTTTTTTAGACGTTCCCGAGATGAACAAAACTCAGGACTATCCTTACGTGTAATTGCGTTGCGTTCTTTTGTATTAATAATATAAAATTATAATAGTTTCGAAGAATTTTGTTCTCGAATAATACTTTTATTCTCTAGTTCGTGTTGAGCTCTCTGGTACTGTTAATAATTGTACCCTCCTGCATCATTTCTGCAGGTCTTATATTTCATGGAAAAACGACTTTTATAGGGAGATTTATCATGAGCAATGGAGAATATGAAGTTATTGCCACGGTTTCACCTCGCTCGCTTGGCCCGACGACATTATTTGACGCAGAGGAAGCGATCACCAGTGACAATGTAAAACAGTTCAACTCCGATCCTTCGGACGTCCGCGATACAAAGCGCGCCTTGAGCCGGGCGGGGTTCCATGTCTTTGAAGAGGCGTCGAACGAAACAACAATATCAATCGGCGGTACCGCGAAGCTCTTCAAGGATTTTTTCGGAGCAAAACTGACTAAGCAAAAAGCGGAAATCCGTCCGGAGACGACTGTCGAGTTCATGGCGACAAGCGAGGAGCCAGAGGCAGCCCTCATGAATGCGCCCGACGAATTCAGCAAGCTGATCGAAGGCGCAGTTGTTGCACGTCCTCCCACCTATTTCGCGACTCACCCGATCCCGCCGCTCGCATCGGTTCACAAGGATGCTTACCCCTATCTGATGGTCCCCGATGGAGTTGCCGTCGTGTTGAGAGCGGCCCGGGTTCACCGGCTCGGAGTGACAGGCAAGAACATTGTGGTCGGGATGCTTGATACCGGCCACTACCGGCATCCGTTTTTCAGTTCCCGCGGCTACAGGCTTCTGTCCACGATCCTGGCCCCGGGTGCGACGGACCCGGCCGATGACACCAACGGCCATGGCACAGGAGAAAGTGCCAACGTGTTCGCCTGCGCGCCGGATTGTAAATTGCGCATGACCAAGATGGGTAACGATACAGTCGGGGCGATCAACGCGGCGTTGAATGCCAACCCCAAACCACAAATTCTGACAAACAGCTGGGGTTACAGCGTCGATACACCCGGGACCACGATCCCGAACTGGCTGAAGCCCCTGGAAGCAGCGGTTGCCAATGCGGTATCCCAGGGTGTTGTCGTGTGTTTTTCGGCCGGTAACGGTCACTTCGGGTTCCCGGGAAGTCATCCGGACGTGATATCCGTCGGTGGTGTCCACGTGAACCTTCCCGATGAGAACGACTTTGAAGCTTCCAGTTATGCCTCAAGTTTCAATTCAACCTGGTATCCGGGGCGCCAGGTGCCCGACCTTTGCGGGCTGACCGGCAAAGGCGTCAATATCGGCGGAACCAAAGCGCCAAGCCTGATGTTGCCGGTCCAGTCGGGAGCGTCTCTGGATGGCATCGCACCGTCAACCGGCTCGAACACGGACGGGTGGGGACTGTTTTCCGGAACATCCGCCGCGTGTCCGCAGATCGCAGGAATTTGCGCCCTGATCCTTGAAAAGGATGCGTCGCTGACGCCTGCACAGGTAAAGGACAGCCTGATCAAGAGTGCCCGTGACGTCAAAAAGGGCACAACCCAAATGGGTCACACCGCCACGAGCGGTCCCGATCTTGCGACCGGAGCGGGGCTTGCAGATGCCAAATGGGCATATATCAATACGATGGGTGACGTTGCAGCTACGTTCTTCAACGCCACACGCGAGAAACAGCTGGCAATGGTGACGTCGGGCTCCATGCCGGAATTTTCCAAGGAGTTTATCGACGACATGATAGATACCTTGCGCTCAAGGTAAGGCCTGTAGCAGGCTGAGGAAAGATCGGCATGCGCACGGTGCGCATGCCTTTCCCGGCAATTTGTCCTGAAAGTGGAGACCAATGACGGACGACGACACAGTCTACGGCGCGCAGGTGGTGCTCAAACGAGCCGACGGAACGTCCATCCTGGATGCACAAGAGGCGCTGACCGCCAGCGTGATAGACAAATACAGGGTCCCCCCGGAAGTCCGCGACACCGCGCGCAAGGCGCTGGAAGGACTTGGCTTTCGGGTCACCGGAGATGACGGGACGACGATTTCAATCGAGGGGTCCAGAACGAAATTTGTCGAGACATTCGGAATTGAGGCCGGTGCGGAGGCGGTGGGTGTTGCAGCCCACGCCACCCGGATCCCGGCCAATGTCAGCGACTATGTCGCGGACGTGATCGTACCACCATCGCCTTCATTCTTTTGACATTGCGACGCGGATTCACGCACTAGAGATCCGCCATTTCCTTCGCCAGGTTTTCATCGATCTTGTCGAGAAAACCCGTTGTCGTCAGCCAGCCCTGATCCGGACCCACGAGCAAGGCAAGATCCTTGGTCATGTAACCGGATTCAACGGTTTTGATACAAACGCTTTCAAGCGTCCTGGCAAAACCGGCCAGCTTGTCATTGCCGTCTAGTTTCGCCCGGTGGGCAAGGCCACGGGTCCAGGCGAAGATCGAGGCGATCGAATTGGTCGACGTGCTTTCGCCCTTCTGATGCTGACGATAGTGACGCGTAACCGTGCCATGGGCAGCTTCCGCTTCCACGGTCTTGCCGTCTGGTGTCATCAGAACCGAAGTCATCAGACCGAGAGAACCGAACCCTTGCGCAACTGTGTCGGATTGGACATCACCGTCATAGTTCTTGCAGGCCCAGACATAACCGCCTGACCACTTGAGTGCAGAGGCGACCATGTCATCGATCAGGCGATGCTCATACCAGATACCCGCATCAGCATATCCGTCCTTGAATTCGGCATCGTAGATCTCCTGGAAAAGATCCTTGAAACGCCCGTCATAAGCCTTGAGAATCGTGTTCTTGGTGGAAAGATAGCAGGGCACCTTGCGTTGCAGCGCGTAGTTCAGTGACGCGCGGGCGAAATCACGGATCGAGTCATCAAGATTGTACATGGCCATTGCGACACCGGCGGAGGGGGCGTCATAGACGTCGCGCTCGATTTCGGTTCCGTCCTCGCCGACAAACTTGATTGTCAGCTTGCCCTTGCCCGGGAACGTGAAATCTGTCGCTCGATATTGATCTCCAAAGGCATGGCGGCCGACGATGATCGGCTGTGTCCAACCGGGAACCAGCCGAGGGACGTTCTGCATGATGATCGGTTCGCGGAAAATGACGCCTCCCAGAATATTGCGGATCGTGCCGTTGGGAGACCGGTACATGCGCTTGAGGGCGAATTCCTCGACACGGGCTTCATCGGGCGTGATGGTTGCGCATTTGATCCCAACCCCGTGCTCCTTGATGGCATTGGCTGCGTCGACGGTGATCTGGTCGTCGGTTTCGTCGCGCTTTTGAATGGAGAGGTCGTAATATTGCAGATCGATGTCGAGATAGGGATGGATCAGCTTGTCCTTGATGAAGGTCCAGATGATACGTGTCATCTCGTCGCCATCGAGTTCGACGACCGGATTTTCGACTTTGATCTTTGCCATGGACGGATGTGCCTCGCGGGATTAGGTGCCGGGATCGGCGAACGAAGTCTTGCGATACAGAGTTGTACCGGAAAACAATTGTGCGCGCTTGTATACAATCGAAGTTTGCAATGCAACACGCTCCATTCCCGCTCGACTGAGATTGCGTATTTTTTTGCCGGTTAGGGCATATGACGCTTCGAAACAGTGCGTCTACGGAACAAAATGAAAGATAATCTGATTTTTTTTGCCTCTGACATGCTTTGAAAGATATCGAATGAACAATGGGTGAAGCGCTTTCATAACCTTTATCAGTGGTAAATTTGCGGGTGTTCCAGCCCGAAAGAGATTTTGCTTCAAAGTGTTTACTCTTGTTCAAATGAATGTATTTTGATTATTTACATTTTGTTAACTTATAGAACTTGAAAATATACACAAATAAAATTCAAATTTTTAAAAATTATACTTTGCAATACTATTTTTTATATACCCCAAGTTGGTGGATAGCTTGCTTTCCGTAACCCAGAGTATGGGCCGTCTGCTGCAGGATTTTTGATTTTGCGGATCTAGGGAAACCTGTTTTGAGAGGCTTCATGCATCCGGCATTTAATTTTGGGTTCAAAAACGGTCCAGTCATTCCACAGGCTGTCTTCGGGTCTTCCGTTGCCGCGAGTTTCAAGTCGGGGCGGTGGTCTTCAGAGATTTCTCAAGGGACACCGGCGATCGACCCGGAAGACACGGACATTTCCGGCGCAACTTCGTTCGGCGCACGTTGGATACAGTTTCTCGGATCAGGCCCAGCGTGGAAATCAACGCGATCCCGCAAGGAAGATCCTAGCGACACTGATGTCGCTGAAGTGGAAGACGACGCTTCTGGTTCTTCTGTTGAGCCTGACATGAGCGATGCCGGAAACGACAGCCCGCTCAAGGCGCTTTTCGATTCACTCTTTGATGGCGAACCTGACGCGAACGGTGAAGGCAACCAACCTGCGAGGCCGGACACAAATACCCCGGTAGCTGAACCGGGGGTCGCTACCGAAAACACCGGTCATGATGCCCGTTCCACTGAGCAGGCTGCGCAGCCGGGGGAAGGCGACAGCACGGCATCGGTTTTCGAAGCCTTTGCTCCAGCGGTCGGTGACGACGGCATTATCCTGCACGATCAAACCTGCCCGTGCCCGGGATGTGGTGCCCGGGAAGAAAGCAGCGTGACGCTCAATGCGGATTCTGAAGCGGATCTGAGCTCGACCGGAACAACTTCCGCGCCGTCTACGCTGGGAGATATGGCAGACTATCTGACCAGCGGTTACTGGGCGGACAAGGGACTGAATGTTTCCAATTCGGAAGGGACATTGTCCCACAATCTTGGAACATCCGGAACCGACGCCAACAATGGCGTTCTCCATTACAACCTCTCCGGTTTTTCCTCCGACAGCAATGGCATCACCGAAGAACGCAAGGTTCTGGTGCGTGAGGCCTTCAAGTTGTTCGAAGCGACGCTTGGCATTGAATTCGAAGAAACGACTTCGACAAACACGTCTGAAGTCGATTTCTTCTTCAGCGACAATTCCTCCGGTGCCTGGGCCAACTACAGCTACTACAGCAGCGGTACAATTGCGGCGAGCTATGTGAATGTTGCAAGCTCCTGGTCGGGGGGAACGTCGACCTACAACGACTACACGCTGCAAACGATCTTCCACGAGATCGGTCATGCGCTCGGCCTCGGTCACCAGGGCAACTACAACGGCTCTGCGACCTTCGGTGTCAGCAACAATTTTGCAAATGACAGCTGGCAGGCATCGATGATGTCCTATTTCAGCCAGACAGAGAATACGAATGTAGATGCGTCGGGTGCGCTTTTGCAAACACCGATGTCCGTCGACTGGATGGCGCTGGATGCGATCTACGGGTCACAAGGTTACGGCGTTTCGAATGCATTTACAGAAAACACGACCTGGGGCTTCAACACGACGGTAACGTCCGATGTGAGTGATATCTGGGCGCAATGGTCGAGCTATGCGCACAAGACCGCGTCAACAATTGTCGACAGCGGTGGCATCGATACGCTCGACCTGTCGGGCTATGGCAACAATTCCGTAATCAACCTTGCGCCAAGCGACAGTCAGTCAACGGGACCTTCGGTATCAAGCATCGGCGGCAGAACCGGAAACCTGACAATTGCGGAAGGCACGATCATTGAAAACGCGATCGGCGGTTCGGGAGCGGAGACGTTCCATGGCAATAGTGCCGACAATACCCTGACCGGGAATGGTGGCAACGATACATTCCACGACAGCGCGGGCAATGACACTTATCTCGGTGGATCGGGAACGGATACGGCTATCTTCTCCGGCAATTTTTCGGACTACAGTTTTGCCGTGAGCGGCTCGTTCCTTCAGGTCATCAATGTTGCCGTGGACCTTGTGGAGTTTACGGTCGAGTGGCTTGGGTTTGCAGATCAGACAGTCAGCCACCAGTCCATCCTGGATTCGCTCGAGGCGGACACGAATTCCGCGCCCGATGCTGAAAACGACGGTTACACCGTCGGTGAGGATGGGCTGCTTTCCGGCCAGAACCTTCTTGCCAATGATACGGATGCAGATGGTGACGGCCTGTCGGTTGCCTCGGTCAATGGCTCTTCCGCTTCGGTCGGCTCGCAGATCGTGCTGGATTCCGGTGCGCTGCTGACGGTGAATGCCGACGGCACGTTCTCCTATGACCAGAACGGTGCATTCGATCACCTGGGCGATGAAGAGACTGCAACGGAGACCTTCAGCTATGTTGCCAGTGACGGCGAGGGGAACTCCGAACCGGCAACGGTGACGATCACCATTGAAGGATCGCATGACAACACGGCACCGGTCTCGGCCGACGACAGCTACACTGTCGGTGAGGATGGTCTGCTTTCCGGTGAGAACCTTCTTGCCAATGATACGGATGCCGATGGTGACGGCCTGTCGGTGGCGTCGGTCAACGGCTCTTCCGCTTCGGTCGGCTCGCAGATCGTGCTGGATTCCGGTGCGCTGCTGACGGTGAATGCCGACGGCACGTTCTCCTATGACCAGAACGGTGCATTCGATCACCTGGACGATGAAGAGACCGCAACGGAGACCTTCAGCTATGTTGCCAGTGACGGCGAGGGGAACTCCGAACCGGCAACGGTGACGATCACCATTGAAGGATCGCATGACAACACGGCACCGGTCTCGGCCGACGACAGCTACACTGTCGGTGAGGATGGTCTGCTTTCCGGTGAGAACCTTCTTGCCAATGATACGGATGCCGATGGTGACGGCCTGTCGGTGGCGTCGGTCAACGGCTCTTCCGCTTCGGTCGGCTCGCAGATCGTGCTGGATTCCGGTGCGCTGCTGACGGTGAATGCCGACGGCACGTTCTCCTATGACCAGAACGGTGCATTCGATCACCTGGGCGATGAAGAGACTGCAACGGAGACCTTCAGCTATGTTGCCAGTGACGGCGAGGGGAACTCCGAACCGGCAACGGTGACGATCACCATTGAAGGATCGCATGACAACACGGCACCGGTCTCGGCCGACGACAGCTACACTGTCGGTGAGGATGGTCTGCTTTCCGGTGAGAACCTTCTTGCCAATGATACGGATGCCGATGGTGACGGCCTGTCGGTGGCGTCGGTCAACGGCTCTTCCGCTTCGGTCGGCTCGCAGATCGTGCTGGATTCCGGTGCGCTGCTGACGGTGAATGCCGACGGCACGTTCTCTTATGACCAGAACGGTGCATTCGATCACCTGGGCGATGAAGAGACCGCAACGGAGACTTTCTCTTATGTTGCCAGTGACGGTGAGGGGAACTCAGAACCGGCAACGGTGACGATCACCATCGAAGGATCGCATGACAACACGGCACCGGTCTCGGCCGACGACAGCTACTCTGTTGGCGAGGATGGTCTGATTTCCGGCCAGAACCTTCTTGCCAATGATACGGATGCAGATGGTGACGGCCTGTCGGTGGCGTCGGTCAACGGCTCTTCCGCTTCGGTCGGCTCGCAGATCGTGCTGGATTCCGGTGCGCTGCTGACGGTGAATGCCGACGGAACATTTGACTATGATCCGAATGGCGCGTTTGACGAACTCGACGCCGGTGAAAAGGGCGCCGACAGCTTCACCTATCAGGTCTCGGACGGTAACGGCGGCCTTGATACGGCGACGGTGAACCTTACCATTGACGGTGAGACAACACCCGATGAGGACCCGATTCCAGATCCGGTTCCGGGCACCAACAAGCCGGTGGTCATCGATTTCGAAGGTCTGGCGCCTGGTGAATACATGGGCGAGGCAGGATTCTCGCTCGCGGGGATCAACGTCACGACAGATGGCCAATTGGCAGGCTCCCTGTCCGGGGCGACATCAGGCTTCACGATTTCGGCAGGTGGCTCGGATTTCGATCTTGACGGCATTTTGCTTCAATCCGTGACCCGCAGGGCGCGCGTGACCGTTGAAGCCTATGATGACGGTGTTCTTGTCGGATCGATGAAGGTTCGCATCAACTCAAAAGGCACTTACGAACTTGAACTGGATGAAAGGTTCGACAGCGTCGATGAAGTGGTGGTGAGCAGCCGAAGGGACAAACCCTTTTATGTCGACAACATCTCACTGGTGACGCAGACGGAAGGACCGTCCGGAGGCAATCAGGGGCCCGTCGCGTTCGATGACAGTTTCGCGACGAACGAATCTGGTGCTGTGAGCGGTAACCTTCTGGGCAACGACAATGATCCGGACGGTGGCGAAATGTCCTTGCAGACCGTTGCCGGCCGATCCGACGGCACGGCAGTTCTCGCTTCAGGCGCCATTGTCACATTCGCGAGCGACGGCACGTTCAGCTATGATCCGAATGGTGCATTTGACCATCTTTCCGACGGTGAAACGGCAACCGATATCTTTGTCTATGACGTTGCAGACGGCAATGGCGGAACCGACACGGCCGAAGTGGAAATAACCCTCAATGGCGAGGGAACGACACCGGTGGAGACCCACATCGGTTTCGAAGGCGGCTCTCCGTGTCGCTGGTTTGACGAAGAAGATGAATTCGTCTTCACCAACACCTACGTGACGGCCCGCACTCGGGGTGTCTCGGAAGGAGATTACGCAGGACGCAGCTATGGTGACAGCCTGTCATTTGCGCGTGCCGACGGCGAAAGCTTCGATTTCGAAGAGGCAACCTTCACGGCTTTGGGCTGGCGCAAGGCGACTGTCACCGTAGAAGGTTATCTGGATGGCGAACTCGTCGGTGTGGAAGATTTCCGAATTCGCGCAAACAAAGAAAAGACGCTTTCCCTGTCCGATGAGATCTTCGATGAAGTTGATGAGGTCGTTGTAACGTCCAATTATGGCGTCATACTTGACGATATGACCCTTATGGTCTGATCCGTTTATCGGCACTGCGATACCGTGGACCGGGCAGACAGGTGGATCTCCTGTCTGCCTTTTTGCGTGATAGGAGGTTGGCCAGGTCGGCTCCCGTGACTTCCGTCATGCGTCAAATTTGCATCAGCCGGCTTCGTACAAGACATGACCGGGCAACGCCCGTGGAAAATATGTGACGATGCCGCATTTCGACGGCTCACGGCAAAAATGCGCTTGCACCTGTTCCTGGAAAGAGGCAATCCTCGCTTATGGATGGTTCCGCCGATACGAACGTGAAGGCGGATGAAATGGGAACACGGTGAGGCGTACCCAACAGGGGCCTAGACCGTGGCTGCCCCCGCAACTGTGAGCGGCGAGCAAAGCCCGACATGCCACTGGCCGATAAGGCCGGGAAGGCGGGCTGCGCAAGGACCCGTAAGCCAGGAAACCTGCCATCCAAACGGTCGATCCGACCAATTCAGGAAACCTATCGCGCACGGAGGGTGCGCAAAGGAGAAAAACATGCATATCGAACCTGGCATCGTTGATGGTGCCAAAATCGTACTCAGCTATGGCACGGCTGCTGCTTCCTTCGGTCTACTCGGAAAACTCGCGCTTGATACGGTGCGCAAAAGTGGTGTTTCCGGTCTTGCCGTCCGTTCCCTGATTACCTCGCTTCTGGTCTTCAGCTTTTTCGAGCTGCTGCCGCATTACCCGGTTGGAGTGTCCGAGGTGCACTTCATTCTCGGCGCAACCCTGTTCCTGATGTTCGGTGCGGGACCTGCGGCGATCGGCCTGGCCGCCGGCCTTGCCCTGCAGGGTTTCCTCATCGCTCCGTTCGATCTGCCGCAATACGGAATCAACGTGACAACTCTGATCGTGCCGCTCTGGGCCGTGAGCCTGCTGGCAAAGAAAATCATCCCCGAAAAAACGGCCTATGTGGATGTCTCCTATGCGCAGGCCCTGGCGCTGTCGACGACCTATCAGGGCGGGGTTGTCGCCTGGGTCGCCTTCTGGGCATTTTACGGACAGGGTTTCGGCGCAGAAAACCTGGCGTCAGTCGGGACCTTCGGAATTGCCTACATGCTGGTCGTTCTGGGTGAGCCCCTTCTGGACCTGGCCGTTCTTGCGGGAGCCAAGACATTGGCACCATTCACAAGAACGATGGCGTTCAACAGCCGTCTTCACCAACCTGCTGCCTGACACGCAGGCTGTTTTCAAATACGGGAAAGGGCGGCAACGGGCCGCCCTTTTTTTGGGGGCGATGGTACCGGTGGTATCGGTTCAGGGGAAAAACCCGATCAGGTCGGCTGCACTTTCCAGAACAACATCCGCATGCGGCGAAAGTTCCTGCCGTGCGCTCGTTCCCGTCAGAACCCCGATCGTCAGGCCGGCACCGGCAGCATGAGCCATTTCAATGTCGTGGGTGTTGTCGCCGATAACCGCAATTCCAGACGTGGGAACGCCGATCGCGTCGGCAAATCCATGCACCATGCCGGGTTCAGGTTTGGGACCGTGACCTGTGTCATACCCCGTCACGAAGTCGAATTTCGGTGCAAGGTTCGTGCCCTCCAGAAAGGCGCGGATTGCAGCTTCGCTGTCGCTTGAAGCAACCCCCAGCCTGAAGCCACGCGCCAGGAGCGCATCCACTGCCTCTCGAATGCCAGGCAGAGGGGCGGCATCATGCATTTTGGACACAAATATGCGGTCGAGCTCAGTGGTCAGATCCGCGAGGCCAAAGTCCGCACCTCCGGCTATCCAGGCCTCGGCGATTTCTTCAGAATTGCCCGCAGCAAGCAGCGACCCGGCCTCCGATCTGCGCGTTGCAAGATCCAGTCCGGTCAACCCAAGAAACCGCTCTGCATCGGTTGTCACACCTCTTGAAGCCAGCCTCGCCGCTTCCTCGTAGGCAGGGGTCCATGTTGCGTCGAAGTCGAGCAGGGTGCCGTCCTTGTCGAAGAGGATCGCTTTTGTTGCGGCTTTTTTTCTTCGCAGTTCTTCGGACGTCATGCGGGCCTCTGATGTGTGCTTTGACTCTTTGGGTGACAACGGCACTCTATTCGATTTTCTCTCTGCAGGGAGATCGCAAAAGCGGCATTTTCAGATGTGAAAAAATCAGCGGCTGCGACAACAACGGCAATTCTACCGGCGAGCAACCCCAAAGCTCGCCAGATCAAGATTTCCACTCCAGCGCCATGCACCGAGAAACGGTTCGGACAATGTCCTGCGTCCGTGTACTGCCCAGGCCGGATGATGAACAAAAGACCCGGGCGGCACCTGCCCATATGGCGCGCCTTCGAGAACCCACTCGGCCTTCCCGGCGATCACGAAGTATGTTTCTTCCGCGGCGTGGCTGGAAGGCGGGTAGTCGGTCCCGGCCTCGGAGACGAGCAGGCCAACGCGAACCTCGTTGTCCCGGACATGCCCGTCCGGACCGAGCAACTCCGTGGTGTAGAGGCTGTTTGAAACGTCGTCGGCAAGCCCGGTGCCTTGCCAGTGTTCCCAGTCGAGACTGGCCGCGCATCCGAGCACAAGCCTTGCGCAGTCGATGGCGTTGTCGAGTGCACATACCTGCCGAAGCAGTGCACCGGGGTGGTCTCGTGAAGGCCTTGCGTAAAAAGGCCGCTTCGACGCAGCTCTAAGCCTGACTGCGGCTGCGTCACCGCCCGGTCTTCCTTCCGCGCTGAAAGCCGATGCAATTGCCAGAAGCAGGGCGTCGTAGGCCAGGCGTTCCTTTGCTGCTAACCTCATCTGCGGCCTCCTGCCTGATTTTTCATTTCGGCAAAACCTTCACCCTTGAAGACCCTGACGGGATTGCCGCGCTCCAGCAACCTGTGCAACTGGTTCTGCGCCGACCGGTCCCGCGCAAGGCTCTCCTCTCGCTTGAGGATGAACCGTGCCACCAGCCGGTCAAGGGCAACTCTACGGTTTCTGTGTTGTGAGCGTTCGTCGGTGGAGACGGCAACCAGTCCGGTCGGCAGGTGTGTGACCCGGACTCCACTGTCGGTGGTGTTCTGGTGCTGACCACCGGGACCACCGGAGCGGAAGGTCTCGATCCTGAGCGCACTGGTCTCCAGATCGATCTCCGGCAGGTCCGAATTGTCGATCGAAAACACGCCGACATACCAGTTCTGCCGTCTGTGATGTGCGCGGAAGGGGCTTTTACAGATCCATTGGACGGTGCCGATCCAGGTGTTCGTGAATTCCGGTATCTGGTTTCCGGACAGTGTAACCAGCGCGGATGACGGATCCGCGCCGTCGCAGCCACCTGACATATCTGAACTGAACCGTAAGTCGGCTCGCCTTGCCTCGTGTTCCATTTGACGAAGAACGTGGGCGGCGGCCCTGCGGCATTCACGGGGACCGTCACCGCTTGTCACCAGGAGGTGCTTTCGACTGGAAGTGTTCATCGCTTTGCCCTCCTATCCTTCAGGCGACCGTGTTTGTCCCGCCGCGCGGCTGCAAGTTCCCGGTTCACCGCCTTCTTGAACGTCAACAGCGGTTTCAGCGTTGCAACAGATTGTGCCAAATCGGACGTCCGCAGGTCGTCCAGCACCTGGTTAGGATCCTTGTACGCGTTCGGTGCTTCCTCGATGAGGAGCTGGCGATCCTCGCAGATGACGTGTCCACCAAACGATGTCCGGATCAATCCGTCCCGGTCGGAACGGGTCGTTCCGGCGCGACCGGCCATCGACCGGCGATCATATTTTCGGCCTGAGCCGTGGGCAAGCGAGGCGAGTGCCTCCGGCCTGTTGGCCTTTGGCACCAGCAGATAGCTAAGGGCATCCCGGGATCCGGCGAGCGGAACCAGCGGCATGTCGGCTTTTGCCGCGCCCTTCCTGTGCAGAAGCCCGTCGTCGTGCTCCTCAATCAGGTTGTGGGGTGCGTCCGCAACCAGCCGAAGGTCCGAGCGGAGCGCACGCGCGGCTCTTTCGGCAATCAGCCTTCTATTGAGGCTCGCCCAGCGAACCGCGTCGTTGTGCGCTGCCAGGTAGGTCCGTCCGACGGTGCTGTCGAGGTCCAGCCCGGAAAAACTCTCCAGAACCGTACCGAACACGGCCATGCCAAGTGATCTGGACCCGGAGTGCACCAGCAGCATCAGGTCGCCTTTCCTGATATCCGTGCCCGCAAGCAGGCAATCATCGGACAAGCTGTCGAGCTCCTGCAATTCACAGAAATGGTTGCCGCCGCCAATGGTCCCAAGCGCGACCGGATGAAGATCAGTCGGCAGGCCATCAGCTGCAAGACAAGCGCCGGGGTCTCCATGCCACGGTTCTTCCAGCACACGGATTTTCTGTGCGGCCTTGTCGAGCCGCAGTTTGCGGGCCGGCAGGTCGAGCGCAAACAGGCTCATGCCACAGCCGATATCGTTGCCGATCAGCTGAGGATAGATGCGGTCAGCCAGAATTGCGCTGCCGACCGGGCCGTATTTGCCTGGGTGGAGGTCCGGAAACGCGGCGACATGCGACACACCGGCCAACCTGGAGACAAGATCGAGCTGTTCTTCAGCCGCGCCTTCGATCCAGGTGGTCCTGGAATAGAAACGATGGATGGGCGCAGCATCACTTGAAGACGCTAGCCCTTCCTTTTGAGAAGTGCCCATTTGGGAACCCTTTTGAAAACAGGAAATACATCGGGTGCAAGTCGGTCTTGCACCGGATTGCCTCCACCGCACCGCGAGCGCGGATCAGTACAGGTTTGCCGCCGTCCTGGGCGCGCGCAACATGATCGTCATGTCTTTCTGTCCCGTCTTCAAAAGTCATTGTGCCGCTTGGCGCGATGGCTGTCACATAAGCCTTGGCCACGCAAACCACAACCCGCCAGCCTTCAGAGCGGACAGTTCGCTGGTGAGTGTTGTGGTTGTGCAACGAGGTCAGGCCGGCCGGGCATGCCCGGGGACGAAAAAGATCAGGCGCACCACCGGGCGCGCCTGAAATCGTCAGGGAGTGACTCTGTTTCTTGCCGTCGGGATCAAAACCGATCAAAGATCCTTGGCGGCGGTTGTGCGGATCTTTTTCCAGTTTTCGTCGGCCTTGGCGATGGTCCCTGCCTCGTCCTTCTGGAATTCACGAAAGATCTCCTCGTTCAGGAAGAGATAGAGCTTGCCGTCGACGATGGCCGCAAACTGGGGATCGCCGTCGAACTTCTTGCCAACCGAAACGCCGAACGTGCAGAAGCCGCCGTTTTGCGGCAAGTACCCAGCCGGCTTTGCGGTGAACTTGTCCATGGTCTCCTTGGAGGAGAAATAATAGGCCACACCGTCGTGAACCGCCGTGTGACGGGCCGCGCCGTCAATCCGGTTGCCGAGATTGACGAAGGTGACGGGATCGACACCATGCATGCCAAGCGGGGCACCTGCAGCCGTAAGGCCGCTGGATGTGTTGTATTCGTCGGCCGAAAAGGCCGGGCTGGACAGGTTCGCAATGCTCAGAAGCGTTGCGGCGACAAGCGTCTTGGACAGGGACATATTGAATTCTCCTAATCTGGATCTGTAAGTCGTTCGGCCGGTCTTTGCACCAGCCATGTGTACTTTGCGTTCAGAATTTTGATTGATCCATGCTCAAAACCCCTCCAGAATTTGCTGATCGTCCGGCTTGTGCGCAAAAAGAAAACACCGGCGGGGAGCCGGTGCTTTTCAGGTTCAGATGCCGGGAAGGCGTTGATCGCAGGTGAGGTCATCACATTTTACGCGACCTGCGGTTCGGCGGCTTCCGGCTTGTGAAGGGAGACGACGGTCAGAACGGCGAGGGCGTTGACGACGTAGTAGGCGAAGTCGATGCCCTTGAAGCCGAGGACGAACGGAGCGGCCAGGAAGACGACACCGACCGCAAAATCGACGATCAGGTGAAACGAATAGGGTACGACCCGGATCAGGCCGGTTTCGTGATCGGTCAACATGGTCAGGATCAATGCCGCAACGCCGGTAACAACCGACAGCCAGAAAGCGAGCGGGTTGGACTGGCCGAGATTGAGGACCACCGGCAAACCAATCAGGCCGAGCGCGACCGGATAGTCCAGATAGGCATGGATGTTTTTGGTGACAAAGCGAATGTTCATGTCAAGCTCCTGGATAAAGGCTGGTTGGAGGCGTGTGCCTCTCGTGGCTTAAGATGATCCGCACCATCCGATTGATCCATGCACGAAAGTCCCTGAAAATTGACTGATCGTCCGGGACACTTGCGAAAGATAGGTAAATCCCGCACAACAGGGGGAGACACTACCGAAGATGGAAACGCATGAGACATGACGCCCTTAGCCAGATCCTTGACGCGCTGAAGCTGCGTGGGTCGATCTATTTTCACACCAACTTCTCACCGCCCTGGGCAGTGCAGGTACCGGCATTCGGCAATGTTGCCCGGTTCCACATGGCCATGCGTGGAGCCTGTTGGCTCAAGGTTGAGGGCTATGCTTCGCCCATCTATCTTGCGACCGGAGACCTGGTGGTCATTCCGCACGGTGCAGCCCATGTCCTGTGCGACGAGCTTGGCCGGGAACCCACTTCCGTCGACCGGGTGCTTGAGGAGACCGGCTATACGGGGGAAGGTGCGCTGTATTTCGGTGGCCCGGAAGAAGAGCAGAGCTGCAAGCTTTTTTGCGGGCACTTCGAGTTCGAGGACGGCTCGGTTCATCCGATTCTGGAAGCGCTGCCGCAGGTCATTCATGTTCCCAATACGCAGACGATGAACGCCTTCTGGCTGGAAACGGTGATGCGCTTCGTTGCAAGCGAGGTTCGCGCGACCATGCCCGGCTCCGACGCCATCGTCCACAGGCTGACGGAGATCATCTTCATCCAGGTTGTGCGTACATTTGTCGACCAGCAGGGTGACAGGGCAGGGTGCCTCGCCGCAGTGCTCAACCCGAAGCTGGGGCGGTCGATGTCCCAGATCCACCTGGCTCCCGAACAGCCCTGGACCGTGGAAACGCTGGCTCGTGAGGCGGGTATGTCACGTACCGTGTTTGCCGAACGCTTTACCGATCTCGTCGGCATGACGCCGCTTGCCTATGTCACGCATTGGCGCATGGAAAAGGCCCGCCGGGACATCCACAACACCGACCTGCCGCTGATCGATATCGCGGAGAATATCGGCTACGCCTCGGAAGCTGCCTTCAACCGCGCCTTCAAGCGCCAGTTCAACCAGACACCGGGCCAGATGCGGCGCATGGGGGCGGACGTGGCTGCGGAGCGAATATGATGGTTTCGTGCTGATGGCCTCCAACCCATGTCCGGCAGTCGACAAAGGGCTGTAGTCTTCCCGATTTTGAGCTCATCCTTCGAGACAGTGCTGTCACCAATCCCCGGGGACGCGCAGAAACACCGTTGTTCACCTTGTCCTTCAGGGGTGACCCCGGACGCGGCGGAGCGAAGATCCGGGACGACGCGAGTTGTGACTGTCCGCGATGTGCAGGATTTTCAAACTTCATCCTACAAGACAAAGGGGCGGAAAATTCCGCCCCTCGCGATCGCAATCATGTTTTGTTGCTTAGCCGATAATGCCGTTCAGCGTTGCGCTCGGGCGCATCACTGCGTCGACCTTCGCCTGCGGCGCGTGGTAGTAGCCGCCGGTGTCTGCCGAAGAGCCCTGGACGCTGTTGAGTTCGCCGACGATCTTGTCTTCGTTGGAGGAAAGCGCCTCGGCAATCGGTGTGAAGTGAGCCTTCAGCTCCGCGTCCTTGTCCTGGGCGGCAAGCGCCTTTGCCCAATAGAGCGCGATGTAGAAATGGCTGCCCCGGTTGTCGAGGCCGCCGACGCGGCGCGCGGGCGACTTGCCGTTGTCGAGCAGGCCTTCAATCGCCGTATCGAGAGCATCTGCCAGGACCTGTGCCTTGGCGTTGTCCTTGGCATTGGCGAGATGTTCGAGCGACGCGCCAAGGGCACAGAATTCACCGAGTGAATCCCAGCGGAGGTAATTTTCCTCCTGAAGCTGCTGGACGTGCTTGGGAGCGGAGCCACCGGCACCGGTCTCGAACAGGCCGCCACCGTTCATCAGCGGGACGATCGACAGCATCTTCGCCGACGTGCCGACTTCCAGGATCGGATAAAGGTCGGTCAGGTAATCGCGCAGGACGTTGCCGGTAATTGCAATCGTGTCCTCGCCGCGGGCAATGCGTTCGGTGGTGTATTTTGCCGCTTCCGTCGGAGCCATGATTTTCAGGTCCAGACCGGACGTGTCGTGCTCCGGCAGGTAGGTGTTGACCTTCTTGATCAGCTCCGCGTCATGGGCGCGGTTCTCGTTGAGCCAGAAGATGCCCGGCATGCCGGAAAGACGCGAGCGGGAGACGCCGAGCTTGACCCAGTCACGGATCGGCGCATCCTTTGTGCGGCACGCGCGCCAGACATCACCTTCCTCGACTTCGTGTGAAATCAGCGTGTTGCCGGCTTCATCAACAATGCGGATGGTCCCGTCGGCAGGCGCCTTGAAGGTCTGCGGGTGGGAACCGTATTCCTCGGCCTTCTGGGCCATCAGGCCGACATTCGGCACTGTCCCCATCTTGGATGGATCCAGCGCACCGTTTTCACGGCAGAAATCGATGACGGCGGAATAGACGCCGGCGTAGGAGGAATCTGGAATGACGCATTTGGCGTCTTGTTCCTTGCCGTCCGGGCCCCAGCCCTTGCCACCGGCGCGGATCAGCGCCGGCATGGAAGCGTCGATGATGACGTCAGAAGACACATGCAGGTTGGTGATGCCCTTGTCGGAGTTCACCATGTAGAGGTCCGGGCCGTTGTCGAGTGCTGCCTTGATATCGGCTTCAACCTCGGCGCGCTTGTCCGCCGGCAGCGTCGCGACCTTGGCTTCCAGGTCGCCGACACCGAGATCCGGGTTGACACCGAGTTCGGCAAAGGTGGCGGCGTGTTTTTCAAAGACGTCCTTCAGGAAGGCCTTGACGCAATGGCCGAAGAGGATCGGGTCGGAGACCTTCATCATGGTGGCCTTGAGGTGCAGCGAGAACAGGACACCCTGGTCCCGGGCGTCCTGGATTTCCTTTTCAAGAAACGCTTTCAGCGCCTTGACGCTCATGTAGGTCGCGTCGATGACGTCGCCTTCTTCCAGCGGCCAGTCTGTTTTCAGTACCGTCAGGTCGCCACCTTTTGCGTCGAACTCGATCTTGGCGGCACCGGTGGAAACGGCCGGGACCGTGACCGACTTTTCGTTCGAGCGGAAGTCATTTTCACCCATCGTGGCGACATGTGTTTTTGAAGATGTCGCCCATGCCCCCATGCGGTGGGGGTTCTTCTTGGCATATTCCTTGACCGCCTTGGGTGCGCGGCGGTCGGAATTGCCTTCGCGCAGAACCGGGTTCACTGCGGAGCCCTTGATGGCGTCGTATTTCGACTTGATCGTCTTTTCTTCCTCGTTCGCCGGGTCAGACGGATAATCGGGCAGCTTATAGCCTTGCGACTGGAGTTCGGCGATCGCTGCATTCAGCTGAGGCTGGGAAGCGGAGATGTTCGGCAGCTTGATGACGTTGGCGTCCGGCTGCTTCACCATCTGGCCAAGTTCCGCAAGAGCATCGGACTGTTTCTGAGTGTCGGTCAGATACTCGGGGAAATTCGCCAGGATGCGGCCTGCGAGAGAAATGTCCCGGGTGCCGATGGTGAGCCTGGCCGCCTTGGTGAAGGTGCGGATGATGGGCAGGAACGAGGCGCTTGCCAGTTCGGGCGCTTCGTCGACCTTGGTGTAGATGATATCGGCCATGGTGCTCACATTTCCCAGTGTTCGAAGTGGGGTCGGCGAGGACTTTTCGGCGTCCCCGGACGGAATTTCGACCAGCGTATACAATTGTACGCAATCAAAAGCCAGCCCTTCTAAAGACAAAGGCCGTTGATCGGGCACGTTCTAGCAAACGGGCGGGAAATGTCTATCGACAACGTTCAGAGCGGATGGCTGCATGTTGTCTGGCGGGTGGCGCCAAGCGGATGAATATTGATCAAGAAGAAAACCTAACTTTTCGCGATCAAAGGCCATCCCGTCGAGCGGATAAGAACCACTGGCACCAGGCCCTTGATTGAACCACGTTTTGAACAGTATCCGGTAGCGCGGAAGAAGATAAATCCTATCGGTTACTTCGATAAAAAGGGCACCAAAAAATCCAAACTCATCAACACGTATTTCAGTTATTTGGTGCCAGGGAACTGCTTTCTCGAATACACGCTTATCGAAAAAACCGTCCGGCCCGATCATGATGACTGGTCTGTCCGCATTCCACAGTTGCGTAATACTGAAAAAAGCAATCGCACCAAAAAAGAGAGTTCCAAACGCCGTAGACAGCCCTCCTTTGGTTAGAAATTCTCCTGTTGCAATTGAGTGATAACAAGCAAACGCACACAGTATTGATAAAGGCAACGATATTACAAAGCCAAGTAAGAGATATCTGACTGAACGTCTGATCTTGATGGTCTCGCTGGGATCAATTTGCATTTTCGGAGTTCATGTTGGGGCGATTGTGGTCGATGTGCCATATAAACTCCAAGTTTTAATTGTGCGTTACGGTCTCGTGGAACGAATCCAAAATGGTTTTGCCGTCAATTTGCTTAGATAGTCTTCCTACAGCATTTACAGTATGAAAGCGCCAAACTCCGGACGCGATTTTTCAATGCCAACTTCATGCTTTTGGCGTCTACTGGATCCCTGCCTGCGCAGGGATGACAAATTGGAGAGAGTTGTTGTCTTGAATTGGAGCAAATAGTCTTTTCGATTGTTGTCATCCCGGCCAAGCGCAGCGCGAGCCGGGAACCAGTAATCAGTAATCAGTAACCCGCAGAGTTTTGGTTCGAAGCGATTTGTGTTTACTCGATGCCTGCTTTCGCAGGGATGACAAATCTGGGTATTCTGAGACATTCCGGCGAAGAGGCGAGGCAGGCTTGCATCTCGATCAGCAGTACTACGTTTACATTCTGGCGAGCGACCTTGGCGGAACGCTTTATGTTGGTGTTACCAATGCCTTGTTAAATCGCCTTTATGAGCATCGTGAAGGAAGAGGCAGCGCGTTTACCGCGAAATACGGTGTCCATAGGCTCGTTTATTTCGAAATCCATGAGGAGATCGAGCAGGCGATCAAGCGTGAAAAGCAGATCAAGCGCTGGAAACGGGCTTGGAAGATAAGCCTGATCGAAGAACGCAATCCCAACTGGGATGATCTTTCATTAGGGCTTTGGTGAAAGTCCTTGTCATACCGGGAACAGTGTTTTTTAGACGCGGTCCTTTATCGGGCCAAATCCTTGATGAGCCTTGAGGTTGGTGTCTACTGGATCCCTGCCTGCGCAGGGATGACAAGATTGGGTCCAGGGGCATTCCTGAACTCAAGGGAACGGCTCCTTCCCGGGTTGTCATCCCGGCCAGGCGCAGTGCGAACCAGTAAATCGACGGGATTTGGTTCGAAACGAAGGGTCCATGTCTTCTGGATTCCTGCTTTTGCAGAGGTGACAAGATTGGGTCTTGGGGCATTCCTGAACTCAAGGAAACGGCTTTTTCCCCGGTCGTCCTGGCCAATCACAACGCAAGCCGGGAACCAGTGACCCGTGAGGTTTCGGTCTGAAAAGGAGGTTCTGCGTCTACTGGACCCCTGCTTTCGCAGGGGTGACAAGACAGGATCTTGTTTTTTTGCTGGAGTATTTCGACCTCGCGATTGTTGTCATCCCGGCCAAGCGCAGCGCGAGCCGGGAACCAGTATTCCGTGGGGTTTCGGATTGAAACGGTGGATCCCTATTTAGTTGACCCTAGCCTTCGCGGCGAAGACAAGCTTGGTGAAGGTTATTTTATCAAACTGAAGACAAAAATGCCGACCCTTTTCCCTTCGGGCACAGCAGTGCAGTGATGCTTGGTCCGGGAAATACCGGTGTCGGCGGCCAGAGGCGGGTGCTGCGCGTTTCGGTTTTCGGCCTTGGCATCGCTGCGCCGGGATGACTAAATGAGTTTCGCGGAGGTTGCGTCACCTGGAGCCGTCGATGCCAGACACACAAAAACTCGAAGATCTGTTCTTGTGGATGCTCGATGGTGCGCGGCCGAGTGCGGATGCGCGGGAGATCGTCTCCGGGATCTGTGAAGGGTTGCTGGCGGCCGGTGTACCCGTCGAGCGGTTTGCGCTTTTTATCTATACGCTCCATCCCAACCTTCAGGGACGCCGGTTCCGCTGGCTCAAAGGTGAGGGCGTCGATCAGTCAGATGCGGACCTCAAGGCCTTTGACGGGGCCGAATACCACGACAACCCGCTACCGACAGTTCTGAGAACGGGCAAGCCCTTGCGGCGAAAACTCTGCGATCCGGGCAGTCCGGATGATTTTCTCATTCTGAAACAGTTCCGCGAGGAAGGCGTTACCGACTATGTCGTTCAGCCACTCTTCTTCACGACCGGTGAAACGCATCTGGTCAGTTGGGCGACGAAGGCCGATGGCGGCTTTGACGAAGAGATGATAGCGGCGCTCGAAAAGATCCGCCTGCCACTCGCCCGTCTGGCCGAAACCTACATGCTGCGTCTCAACGCCGCCAACCTCTTGTCCGCCTATGTGGGCCGGGACAGCGGCAACAGGATCCTGTCGGGCCGCGTGCATCGCGGCGACATAGAGGAGATTTCCGCCTGCGTCGTCTTTGCCGACCTGGTCTCGTTCACGCGTTTCTCCAACGATGCGTCTGCCGAAGAGGTCCTTGCACGTCTCAATCTCTTCTACGACTGTCTTGTACCGCCGATTGTCGAAGGCGGTGGCGAGATCCTGAAATTCATGGGCGACGGCCTGCTCGCGATTTTTCCGATTTCCGATGAGGTTGACGAGAGAACGGCTTGCGAACGTGCCCTGGAGGCGCTCAGCGTTGCCTCTGGCGGTGCGTGGACGCCGGTCTTTTCCGAGACCGTTCCTCCTTTCCGGGCTGCCGTCCATATCGGACCGCTGCAATACGGCAATATCGGAGCGTCCGACCGGCTGGATTTCACGGCCATAGGGCCGACAGTGAACCTTGCCGCGCGCTTGCTCGCCTCTGCGGTCCTTGTCGATGGTCAAACAGTCGTCTCTGAGCGGGTTGCGGATCTGGCTGGACTATCAAAAGCCGGAGCGCCGTCCTTCGAACTCAAGGGTTTCGACAGGACGCAGGTGATCGTGCCGGTCCGGGAGATGCCGAAATCATGAAAGCCGAGCCCGGCAAGACGTATGGGTGTCTTGCCGGACGGTCAAAAGGTTCGGAAAGCGGCCGGTTCTAGCGCCCGCTGACGGCGTCGCTCAGGGCTGGGAAACGGACAATCCGGTAGGTCCCGAGCGAGGCGTCCTCGCCGCCGTTCAATACCGGCGAGCGGTGCAGTTCGTTGATGGTCGCATAGACATAGCCGTCCGCACCGATCGAGAACCCGTCCGGCCAGGGCAGGTCTTCGTCGGACTGGAACAGTACCTCGTAGCTGCCATCCGGCTTGGTCACGCCGATAGCGTTGTCGGTCATAGCCGTGATGTAAACATTGCCTCCGGTGTCGACCGTGGAGCCATCGGAGATCGGCTTGTCACCATACCGTTCGACGCGCGCGGCAAGGTCCTCATCGCCCAACTCTTCATTGAGAAGATCGGATGTCCTGACCCGGTACATCGCACTTGCGGTCATCGGCGCGAAATAGACCCAGGTATTGGTCGGGTCGACCGTGATCGGGTTCACGCCGATCTTTGCCGGATTGCCGCCGAGCAGGATTTCACGTCCGTCGATCACCATGGGTGTGTCTTCAGGCGTTGTGAATTCGGAGCCCTCCAGAACACGACGGGCGCGGCCCGTTTCAAGGTCGACGACGATGAGCGCGGAATTCACGCCGTCTCCGGTGTCGGAAATGTAGATCGCCTCATGATCCCGGTCGACGGCCAGATCGTTCAGGAAGGAGGTCGGCCGGGAAACCGGTGCACCGATATAGTGGATTGCGTGCAGCTGTTCAGTCTTCGTGTTCCAGCCAACGATGCGGCCCGTCTGGTTCTCGCCCTGGCCGTCGAGCATCCATAATATGCCGTCACGGTCCGCACGCAGGCCGAGAACCCCGTTGAGGCCATTGCCGTCTTCCTTTGGCGCATGTGCCCAGCTTTCATTTGGATAGGGCCGGGTCGACCCATCCTTCAGGACTTCGACGACGCGCAGTTCAGGACCGTAGAATTCATGGACGGACATGAACATGCGTCCGTCCGGAGCAATCGCCAGGTTTCCCGGCGGCATAGACTTGTCAAAACTGAGATAGGTTTCCAGTCCGTCTGCGGTTGCTGGAAAGGCCAGCGCGGTGCTGATGCCGACTGCAGCCAAAAAGCGTTTCATGGGGTCCTCCGGATGTTGATCAGGAGGGTTTAGTTGTTCTAGATTTCGAACAGAACTCCCTGAAATTCAAAAGCAGCGTTAGAAAAATTCGAATGTACAGTATTCCGGATCTGCAGACCTTTGTCTCTGTTGCCAAAACCGGTGGCATCACGTCCGCCGCAAGACATCTCGGTATCTCGACAGCAACGACCAGTCACCGGATCGCAAAGCTGGAACGGGTTCTGAAAGTGACCCTCTTTCACCGCAACAGCCGCACGTTTCGCCTGACGGACGAGGGGCAGGTATTCCTGGAGCGTGTGGATACCGTTCTGGAGGACCTGCAACAGGCGGAACTCGATGTCGGCAGTGGAACTGCATCCCTGCGTGGCCATCTGCGTGTGACGATGTCGCCCTGGATCCTGTCGCGCTTCATCATGCCGGAGATGCGCGAATTTCGTGAGCATCATCCTGATCTCACAATCGAGTTCCTGGCCGTCGATCGTTTTGTGCCGCTGGTTGAGGAGGGTCAGGATTGCGCAATCAGGGTTGGCCAGCTGGATGACAGTTCCCTGGTTGCCCAGAAGCTCAGCGACAACGAGCGGATCATCTGCGCATCCCCGGATCTTTTGTCGAGCTCGGGAGACCCGAAATCCGTGGAGGACCTCAAAGATGCACCCTGGGTCTGCCTTCCCTGGCAGACACGTTTCGATGTCAACGACGCAAGAGGCCGAAAGCGTTCCTTTTCGGTGGGCCGGAGTGTTGCCGTTTCCAATTCAGACATGCTGACAGCCGGTGCGGTCGAAGGACTCGGTCTTGCGATCAAATCCCGCATGGCCGTCAAGGACGAACTCGACAAGGGTATCCTGGTCGAAATTCTGCCCGGATGCCTTCATTCTCCCGAAGCACCTGTCTGGTTTGTCTTTGCACCGGAAAGCCGGACGGGGCGCAAGACGAAAGCGTTTCGGGATGTGGCAAGGCGTTCATTCCGGCGTTGAAATCGAACGCGGCCAGCTTTTCATTTTCAGGAAGACGGGCTAAACCCCGGCATTATGAGCAAAAACGCAAAAATCAGGGACGAAGCCAGGACGGTGACTGCCCGACCGCCTGCAGTGATCCTGTGCGAGCCGCAGCTGGGTGAAAACATCGGAACCGCAGCGCGGGCAATGGCGAATTTCGGTCTGGTCGACCTTCGGATTGTCAACCCGCGCGACGGCTGGCCGAGTGAAAAGGCGCGTGCTGCGGCAAGCCGGGCAGACCATGTGATCGACAAGGTGCAGGTGTTTGACAGCGTTGAGGCGGCGATCGCGGACCTGCAGTTCGTCTTTGCAACGACAGCGCGGTCTCGCGAAGTGCCGAAACCCGTTCGCAGCCCTGACGAATCTGCAAGGAAATCGGTCGAGTTCGGAGAAAATGGTCACGCTACCGGTTATCTCTTCGGACGCGAGCGTTGGGGTCTCAACAATGAGGAAGTCGCGCTGGCCGACGAGATTGTCACGCTGCCCGTTGACCCCGATTTCGCGTCTCTGAACATTGCCCAGGCTGTGCTGGTGTGCGCCTACGAATGGCGCAAGACGGCAACGTCCGGCGCGTTGCCTTTCATCTTGTCGAAGGATGAACATCCGCCGGCGAAAAAAGACGATCTCCTGAGGTTTTTCGAGCATCTGGAAGGTGCGCTCGACGAAGCGACATTTTTTCGTCCACCGGAGCGGCGCCCGCATATGGTGCGCACGCTTCGAAACATTTTCCAGAAGGCGGAGCTGACGGAACAGGAGGTCCGGGCGTTGCGAGGTGTTGTCGCGTCCCTGGAAAAACGGCAAACCCGGGTGCGCAAGGAGCGCAGCACTGACGGCGGCGAAGAGTAGGAGAAGGCATTTGGGCTCGAACGGTCCGGTTCTGATTTTCGATTCCGGCCTTGGCGGGCTCACGGTGCTGCGCGAAGCGCGCTACCTGCTTCCCTACGAAACCCTGCTTTATGTCGCCGATGACGCGGCCTTTCCGATCGGCCGCTGGCCGGAAGCGGACCTCAGGGACCGCATGCTGTCGCTTTTCGGTGAGCTTATCGCCATCCACCGGCCCAAAGCGATCGTCATTGCCTGCAATACGGCCTTTACGCTGGCAGGCGATGCGCTTCGCAAAGCCTACCCGGATGTGCCCTTTGTCGGCACAGTGCCTGCGATCAAGCCGGCGGCAGAACGAACGTCTTCAGGTCTCATTTCGGTGCTGGCAACACCTGGAACCGTGCGCAGGACGTATACCAGGAGCCTGATCGACAGCTTTGCCAAGCAATGCCACGTGCGTCTTGTCGGTTCGGATAACCTTGCGGAACTTTCTGAACGCCATTTGCGCGGCGAGACTGTTTCCAACGAGGAGCTGCTCACCGAGATTTCGGGTTGTTTCCTGGAACGCGACGGGCGGCGGACCGACATTGTCGTGCTGGCCTGCACGCATTATCCGTTTCTGGCAAACCGTTTCCGCAGGATCGCGCCCTGGCCGGTCGACTGGCTTGATCCCGCAGAAGCGATAGCGCGTCAGCTTGTTCGTGTGCTTGGAGCAAAGGCTGCAAGCAGCCCGTCGAGTGATCCGGATCGCGCTCTGTTCACATCAAATCCCGATGATCCGGGGCTTTCGCGGTTGCTGGCAGGTTTCGGCCTGATGCTCAGCGCGGCAAACGGAGCTTAGGCGGCCAGTTTCTTGACGACTATTCCGTCGTCGGCCCGCTTTGCTTCCAGTTTCAATTCGCTGATCTCGTCGTTCAGCTTGTCAGGGTGAATGACCATGCCTCTTGGCAGGCTCAGGATCGAAATCGAGCATTGCAACAGTGGAAACTGGCGGGTCGTTCCGAAGCGGTCCTGCGCCTCGATGTAACCCAGTTCCCTGTGCCCCGTTTCGTAAAAGCTCTCCACATCGACACGAAAGGCACGTTTGAGGGCGAGCATGCGGGTGGCCACATCCGTCTGGTCGGTGTTTTGAAATCCGGCGAAGAAATCGTCGCCACCGATATGCCCGTGAAATGTTCCGGACCCGGAGACATGGCGCTGCAGCAATTCACTGAACAGGATAATCGCCCGGTCCCCCTGGCGATAGCCGTAGGTATCGTTGAACGGCTTGAAGTTGTCGAAGTCCAGGTAACACAGATGACGGTCGTGTGTGCCTTTCCGGGCGGTCTCCGAAATATAACGCGAGATTGCGCCGTTGCCCGGCATACGGGTCAGCGGGTTCTGGTCCTGGGCTTCCTGAAGGCGTTTTTCGTGAATGATCTTCAGCAGAGACGTGGCTGAAAGGAAACCGGCGTAGCGGAAATTCTCCGTGATGATGATGCCATCGGAGTTGATCGAGGAGGCAAAGGTTACCAGCAGCATGTCGGCGTTGGAATCTATGTCTGCGATCGGGCAGGCGCGTACGAATGAGCGCAGGGGGAAATCGAGTGCGATCCGCGTATCGGTGTCGTCATCCTTGCCACCGGCATAAAGATACGCCTTCAGATCGCGTTCGTGGATCAGGCCGCGCGGTTCCTGGTTTTCGTCCAGGACGGGAATGACGTTTCCTTCCTGGTTGTGAACGACCATGTCGAGCAGTTCGGTCATGGTTGCGCCGAACCCGATGGTGGGGAGCTGCAGCAATTCGTTCCGAATCCTGTCCTGTTCCACGCGCCGTTTGTGTCCGGCGCCCGGCTCCCGGACATGATCGTAGAACAGCTTTGCCGACGCCGCCTTGTGAAAGGGCCGGGCAACGAAGGAGCCCTGGACCAGGTCACAGCCAATATTCCTGCAGGCCTTGAATTCCCGCTCGGTCTCCACCCCTGAAGCAATCACGCGTGCACCAAGAACATGCGCAAGATTGGCAACGGTTGTGACGAACAGGTTCCGTCGCGGATCGCTGTCGACGCCGTTCAGGAAAAATCGGCCGATCTTGACGTAGTCCGGAGAGACGTCGTGCAACAGGCGCAGCTCCGACGATCCTCGTCCGAAATTGTCCAATGCGACGAGAAAACCCATCTGGCGCAGATCGCTGATGGCGTGCTGCGTTGCGTCGGCGATGGAGTGCTGATGGCGTTCGGAAAATTCGATGCAGACCTGGTTGTTCTGCAAACCGGCCGCTGCAACGAGCTCTGTCAGGTGCATGCGTGGATCCGCCTGCAGTCCGAGATCGCGTCCGTCAATTCTGAAAAAAAGCTTGGTGCCCTGTGCCGTGCGGAGCTTCCCGAAACGGCTCAGAGCCTTTGCGAACAGACTTGCTTCGAGATCGGGCAGGAATCCTTCCGCATAGGCATCATCAAGCAGTTCATCAATCGTGGGTGCGTCTTCACAGTCGCCATTATCAAGCTGTGCTTCATAACCATAGACGACGCCTGTACCAATGTCGGTAATCGGCTGAAGCGCGTAATCCAGACCTTCAAGAATGGCGTCGCGAGACCGCGGAAACGGTTTCACACTGTCCTTGCCAGTCTCTGGTTCTGAATTGCGTTGTGATGACATGCTTGATCCTTAGTCCAAGTCGGGCTTCCATTTTGATGCTGAATGGATGGGAATAATACTCACTATGGCCACTGGTATTATTATCCATAGTTGTGGCGCGGATTGCATAGTGAAAAGCTGCAATTAACATATTCTAAATGTATGCATTGTTTTTCCGCAAATGTGAACTTTTGAAGCAATTCGTGTAGTGAGTCCGCCAAATTTCGTGCAAATTTGGCGAAGTTCTGCCAATTCTTACGTGTTTTCACTTAGGCTATGGGATTGGTGCCGAGCAAAGCGCAGCAGCCCGAATCGCAACTGCCACACACGCGGAGTTGCCAGAAACCCGTTTCTGATAAGATCAGTCACGAGTTGTCCGGCACTTGGTTGTGTCGCCCGATTGCCCGAAATGGCTGGTTTCTATTGCTGACGCCGGCGCAAAAGGAGATGCCGGCGTTGACATTCTGAAGTGCACGCTGTATCTCCGCGCGATCCGGCAGGCTCAGGCCTTCCGGGTCTACGCACCCGTGGGTATTCAGCCGGCGCCGTCTAGCTGGGTCCCTGTCGATCCGAGCAGGAGCTTAATCACTTCTGCAACGATAAAGGAGGGCGCGTTTCCTTTTAGAACAACAACGCGAATTCAAAGGAAACCGCGATGTCAAAGCGCCACAGCGTTAAGTACAAAATCGACCGCCGGATGGGCGAAAACATCTGGGGTCGTCCGAAGAGCCCGGCCAACAAGCGTGAATACGGCCCGGGCCAGCATGGCCAGCGCCGCAAGGGCAAACTGTCCGACTTCGGTGTTCAGCTCCGCGCCAAGCAGAAGCTGAAGGGTTATTACGGCAACATCTCCGAAAAGCAGTTCCGCAAGGTTTATTCCGAAGCATCGCGCCTGAAAGGTGATACTTCCGAAAACCTGATCGGCCTGCTGGAGCGTCGCCTCGACGCGGTTATCTACCGTGCCAAGTTCGTTCCGACCGTGTTTGCGGCCCGTCAGTTCATCAACCACGGCCACATCAAGGTCAACGGCAAGCGTGTGAACATCCCGAGCTACCAGTTGCGCCCGGGCGATGTCATCGAAGTTCGCGAAAAGTCCAAGCAGCTCGGACTGGTGCTGGAAGCTATCCAGTCAGCAGAACGTGACGTGCCGGACTATGTCGACGCCGATCATTCCAAAATGTCCGCGACCTACAACCGTATCCCGGGTTTTTCCGATGTGCCCTATCCGGTACAGATGGAACCGAACCTGGTTGTCGAGTTCTATTCGCGCTAATCAGCGTCGAATATGGTTCAAGGAAGGCCCGCCATTCGGCGGGCCTTTTCTTTGGTGATTGACGAGCATCCTTTCTCCTTCATCGCCGTTCCAGGCAAACGATCGTGTCTGTTACTGTGCCCTTCTGACCTTCAGGGCCTGTTGCGATGCGGTCTTCATTGCCGACGAAAATCTCCTTCCAACCGGACATATTCAGGCCAAGTGTCTTCAGGCACTGGTGCGGGGTGGGGAAGGGCGCGGTTGATTTGTCCCATGACCATGATGGTCGCGAGCCGTGAGTGGCAGCGATGAAAAGACCGCCGGAATTCAAGCAAAGTGCCGCGTGTTTGAGAACCCGTTCTCGTGGAAAGTCGAATGGCGCCTGCAGAAACATTGCCGAAACGAGATCATACCTGTTTTCCGGGAAAGAAACTGCAAGATCATGATGCTGTAGTTCGATCCGGTCACCAACCTGCTGAGAATTCGCGTTCGTCCGTGCGTAAGACAATACGGTTTCCGAAATATCAACCGCAATGACCTTCCAGCCACGTTTTGCCAGCCATACAGCGTCGTCTCCCCTGGCGCAGCCGAGATCGAGGGCGGTACCCGGGTGTCGATCCACGGCAAATCTGGCCAGCGCCGCAGACGGATTTCCCTTCGTATCGGCGGATGACCTCTTGTAGAGGTCTTCCCAGAAGTCCTGGGGGGTTTGATGGTTTTGCGGCTTCATCATGTATTGTTTTCCTTAATGCAGACACAGGTGGCGGCAAGCAACAGGTAGATGCCGATCGGGAACAGGAGGGCGTTTTGTGCGGCGTGGACATAGTCTGCCGGATCCTGGGCCTGCTCGAGACCCGCAAAGAAGATCTGCCCGACGGCGCCGATGCCGATTGCGATGCCCACTTGCTGAAACGCCTGCAAAACACCGGATCCTGCGCCTGCATCAGATGGGGAGACACGGGACAGTGTACTTTGGAACATCGCGGCAATGGCCGTGCCCGTTCCCAGTCCGACGGTCAACATGGGCAATAAAAGATCAACGGCTGTGATCGACATCGAATTGGTGCCCAGAACGGTTCTTGCCATCGTCATGCCTGCGAGCAACACGAAGGTGCCGAAGGCGATGCGGGCCCCAAGCCATCTTTGACCTAACCGGCTGGTGAGTGTGGAGGCGACCATAACGCCAACCGGGTGGGGTGCCGTCGCCAGTCCGGATTGGAGTGCCGAAAGTCCGACCCCGGACTGCAGAAATATCGCAAGCATGAAGTGAACTCCGGCTATGCCGGAGAAAAAGATGGTGACAATGACAAGACTGCGCACGAAAAACCGGTCCTTCATGAGGTTTGCCGGCAATATTTGCGGAAGCCCACAGCGGGTACGATGCAATTGCAGTTGGATGAAAATCAGTGCAAGAACGACCGACAAGCCTAGAAGGGCGAAACACCACCAGGGCCATCCAAATTGCCGCCCCTCAGTCAGGGGAAATGTGAGGGCAGCGACGGCAAGTGCGAACAGGAGTGATCCGCTCCAGTCCGGTTTGATGTAGCCGCAAGGTTCGATGTCAGGGACGAAACGCAACGCACCCGCGAGACACACGAGCCCCAAGGGAACGTTCATCAGAAAGATCGGTCGCCACTCCAATCCGGCTACATTGGCCGAGATCATTGTGCCGCCAATCAGGGGACCCGCAACCGCGCCGAGGGCACTGACCGTACCGTACAACCCGATGAGTTTTGCCTTTTCTTGTGGCGCAAACATTACGTGCACAATTGCGAGAACTTGCGGGACCATCATCGAGGCGGTCAGGCCCTGGAGGGCCCGGGCGGCAATTAGCAATTCGATATCAGGTGCAAGGCCGCAGGCAAGCGAACTTACCAAAAACCCTGCAACGCCGAAGTTGAAAATTCGCTTGCGGCCAAAGGAATCTCCGAACCGGCCGAAGGGTAACAGGCCTGATGCAAACATAAGTATGTAGGCGATCAATACCCATTCCAGTTGAGACGTTGTGGCATCAAACTCGTTTCGGATTGAGGGCAGGGCAAGGTTTACAATTGTTACGTCCAGTATGTTCATGAAAGCTCCCAGAAACAGGGAAGCGACCGCGAGCCGAGGCTGCGCGCCATGTCCGGGATTTGCGAGAACAAGTGACATCGGGAACTCCAAAAACGGGAATGGGAGTCATTTCATGTAACTTGGTAAGTTTCATGAAATGAAATGTCAATATCTTGTAACTTTGTTTGTTGCAAATTGTAGTGTCGTGTATGCTGATCAAAAGGAGAAACCGTTGCCGACCGACAGCCGCCTGCCAAGAGTGCTTCATGTCCTTCTGCACCTTGACCAGACCGAAGACCCAGTGACCTCCGATCAGATCGGACAGATGCTCATGACCAATCCAGCACTGGTCCGGAGGGTCATGGGAGGGCTCAGAAAGGCCGGTCTCGTTTCATCAAGCAAGGGACATGGTGGCGGCTGGTATCTGGTCAGGTCGCTCACGGAGATATCCCTGGCGGATGTTTACGCAGCTCTCGGTTCACCGCAGCTTTTCGCGGTCGGGCCATCGTCCGACAATCCGTCATGTCTGCTGGAACGGGCGGCCAACAAGGCAACCGGCAATGCGCTCGAGGCAGCAAAGCTGGTCTTCAATACCGAGCTTGAGAAGATGACGGTTGCCGAGCTCGTCCGACCGCATGCGCAGACCATTAAGGCTCATCAGCGGCAGCGAAATCCTTCAACAGAGTGAGATCAAGAGTACTCAGGCACGTGCGCATTTCCGCATTGCAAAGGATCTGTAGGCGGGATGAAAAGTTGCAAAAAAGATAGTTACACGTATTTTTGTAAGCGAATGCTGCGCCATTTCAGGTCAGACGACTATCCGACTTTCTTGCGCCTGGTCATTTTTTGCAACTAGCGAACTGTTTTTCTCTCTCCACCCAGTTCATCAATCAGGACAGAAGAAGCGCCGCGTTCTTCGGCTTTCTTTTGCCGAATTTCGCCAGTGAACAGGTGCTGGAATTCAAGAACCGTATAGGGGCGTTGCCAGAGCCATTCGCGGTTTTCGACAGCATTGACGTCTGTGTCCGGTGGTGTGTCTTCTGTATAGGCAAGGAAATAGAGGCAAAATCCAAGATCGGCCAGGTCCTGCCGGGACAGATACCTCATGCCGAGTGTGTCGTGGCAGTTCATGAGCTCCGTCTCGATGTCATCAGTCCGCAGAGTGATCAGTCCAATGCGGGCCCCTCCGCCGAGGGGAAGTTCCACATTGCCTTGTTTCGTCTTTGGTTTTCCGTGAAAGGTGTGCTGGATCAGCTCGATGACATGACCTTCAGGGTCGGCGAGATGGCTCATATAGGCGATGTCGCGAAACTGCGCTGGTTCAGTGACGTCGATACCGGCGCTGCGCAGCTGGGCAAATGCGACGTCAAGGTCCGGCAGCGTGATGGCAATCTTCCAATAGCGGTCGTTCCGGTCCGGTTGATAGGGAGTGGACTGGTCGCGGCGCACCAATTCCAGTCGAGCGTCTTCGCCTGCGTATCCAAGTGAGACAGCTCCTCCGGCATTCGCGAGCAAGTTCATGCCGAGGACATCACAATAGAACCGGGAAAGACCTGATGGGTCGGAAACATTGAGGGACAGGGCAGATATCCGGGGCAGGGGCATGGGATCATGTTTTCCTGGAATATGATGACGCGGTGTCTCAGTCAGAGTTTCAATCGCCACACACAGACGCTTTGCTCTGATAGCCGACAATGTTTCCACGGCTATCAAGTGAAAAGTCGCAGCAATTCTGAAACAATGCCAAAAGCTTGGCACGGCTGCTTTGAACGCGGGACTTGAGAGTGGAATAGCTGATCCCGAGCTGTTCGGCGGTGTCCTTCTGGGAAACACCTTCCAGTTCGATCTTGCGCAGCAGCTGTCCCGCCTCTTCGGGCAGCGCGTCGATGAAGGGCGCCACACAATCTTCAAGAATGTGCCGTTCGTCATCCTCCATGGCTTCGTACCAGAGGTCCACAGTCGGCAATGATCGATCGTTCTTCTTCATGCGATAAAAATCGATGATGGCGTTGTTGGCGATCTGGAACAGCCAGGATTTCAGGCTGCTTCCGTCCTTGAGTGTGCCCAGGCTGCCGTGGGTCTTGAGAAGGATCTCCTGGAGCACTTCTTCCGCGTCAGAGGGATTTGAAATCCTCGAGTGAAGAAATGCGGAAAGTACTGAACGATAATCGGCCCACACGGCATTGAAATCCGGGGAGGATTCCGGGTCAGCGCGGTCCGTGACTGCCGTCATGATCATCTCCGAAGTCAAATTTTAATGTTGTTTTCCAATGAGTTGTAATTTTTTTGCCTGGCAGCTTCGTCTTTTTTCCACTCTCAACGTCTAACAGGTCGAACACCTCAAGAAAAGGATCGACACCATGATCAAGATTGTCAGTTTCAAAATCTGTCCCTTTGTGCAGCGGGTCACTGCCATGCTCGAAGCGAAAGAAATGCCTTACGAGATTGAATATATAGATCTCAAAAACAAACCGGACTGGTTCCTGGAAATTTCGCCGGTCGGGCAGGTCCCGCTCCTGATTACGGAGGAGGGGATACCCCTTTTTGAATCCGATGCAATCGTAGAATATATCGACGAAATCTCCGAAGCGCTGCAGGATGGCCTTTCCCCGGAAACGCGGGCGATCCACCGGGCGTGGAGTTATCAGGCTTCCAAGCACTATCTGGTCCAGTGCAGCACAATGCAGAGCGCCGACCGGAATGTGTTGAATGAACGGATTTCGAAACTCGACAAATCATTCGATCGTGCGGAAAAGCAGTTAAGCGACGGCCCTTGTTTCGCCGGCGACACTGTGGGAAATGTCGATCTGGCCTGGCTGCCGTTGCTGCACCGTTCGGCAATCGTGGAAAAGGCCAGCGGTTACGACATGCTGGAAGGTTTTCCGAAGGTCAAGGCCTGGCAAACAGCGCTGCTGAAGACTGGCATCGCAGAAAAGTCCGTTCCTGAGGATTTCGTCGAAAGGTTTTCCGATTTCTACCTCTCGGAGCGAACCTGGCTCGGACGGGGAGCGAATGAAAACGAGGAAGATGCAGACGCTTCAAATTCGAAGAGCGGTGGCTGCTGCGGCTGACGCGGACGGACGAAGCCCGACCGATAGAGATCGGTCGGGTTGCTGTCGCAACAACAGGTCAGATGTCGTTTCGCGGGATGCGAAGCAGTTGGCCGGGGAAGATCACGTTCGGATCACTCAGGATATGCCGGTTGGCCTCGAAAATCGGCTGAAAGTCTGAGTTGCCGTATTGTTGTTGCGCAATCTGGCTCAAAGTATCGCCGGACTTGACCGTGTAGGGCTGCCAGCCACCGTAACCTGGCAGGATCCGGGGACCAAAGAGAACCGGGATCACGACGGATGGACCGTTCTCGTTGCCTGAATCGTCTGCCAGTGTCAGGAATAGCCGATTCAGCTGGAATGTGTTGGTGTCCGGAATATCTATTGAGGCCTGAAATTGCTTCAATCCAAGGGATCCGACATTTGTAAAGGAAGCGTATTCATCGTGACCTTCAGAAACGCGAATGCTCAATGTTCCTTCGAATGCTGCAGCGTTTCCGGCGATCATGATTGTCGACCCGACCAGATCGAAAGGCTGGGGCTGCTGTATGTCCAGTGTAACCGTCATTGCGAACGTCCTCTTGTGCGCGACCGACCTCGGATATGAGTTCGAGGTGGACTATCTAAAGACCGCATTGTCCTGACTGGATAAAAAATGTTGCAACTTATTATGCAATCTGTCGTTGTTTAATTCGGATTTGAATTTCTATTACACCTTCTAGTTATTCCTATTATTGACGTTTTGGCTATCGTTTTATAAAGTTTAGATGATTGAACTAATATTCCTCTGCGTCATCTTCCGGTTGTTGTTTAGGTTGAATTTGATTTTTTTGCCATTTTTCTGCCTTGTTGATCGAACTTCCGCCACAAAGTTGACGCCGACTTGAGCGCTTGTCGTTCGTTGATTTCAGAAAGTTTCTTCATTGACTGAAGTCGTTGTCCTCATGTCTGCCCTGCTTTTTTCCGACTTGCAAAAAAGCGATCCGTCAGAAAGCACGGGCTCGGTGCTGGCAGCAAAAAGCCGGGATTTTAACGCGCGTTCCAATATTGATCTGGCAACGCCCAATTCCGATGCGAGCGGCAGTTTTTTTGTGACGTTCATTTTAGACGAGCGGGCCGGTGAATTTGCTGAGAGTGTTAAGTCAATCGACGGAGTTTTATCCGTTGATGTGAAGCCGGAACTCGGGCTTCCATAATATTACCGGTCGGCGCGTCTCCTATTCAGGAGGAAAGCCAATGGCCCGGAAGACCAGGAAAGTAACTGCACCACAATCACGTCAGCCGGAAATCATCGCTGTCGCGAAATCCGATGTGGGTTTGCGCATGGCAGGCGTTGCGATGCGCTCGCTTGCCGGGGCAAAAACCACAAAGGCTGAAAAAGCCCTGAAGAAGCACAATTGCATCGCTACACCTCTCTTCGGCCCTTCGGAAGAAAGGGTGGAAGCAGCAGTAGCCGCTCAGGCTCCCTTTGCGATGGCTCCTCTGGAAAACCTCTCCGGTTTTTACAAGCTGTCGGCGCCGGACGCAGATATTGAAGATCTTCAAAAGGAGCTTCTGGACAACGATCTTTTTGACGGGGTGTTCGTGAAACCCCCGGTCGAGTTGCCGGAAGAGGCTGTCGATGTTGCCTCGCTGAATGAGATGGTGGCGGTGCCGGATGTTCCACCACCTGCAACACCGGACTTCGTCGCAAGGCAGATCTATCTGGATCCCGCACCTGCGGGTATCGATGCGCGCTGGGCCTGGAATCAGGCTGGCGGACGTGGAACCGGCATTCACATTACGGATATCGAAGGCGCCTGGCGCTTCAGCCATGAGGACCTGATCGAACGGCAGGGCGGGGTTGTTGGCGGTGTGGAATTCAACGACGTTGGCTGGCGTAACCACGGGACGGCAGTTCTGGGCGAATACGGAGGTGACGTCAATCCCTTCGGCGTGACAGGCATTTCACCGGAGGCGATCTGTACGGCGGTGTCGCACAGAACACTGGGATCGGCGGGTGCGATCAATCATGCTGCTGCCCGGTTGAACGCCGGGGATATCCTGCTTCTGGAAATGCACAGACCGGGACCACGGCACAATTTCCGGCTGAGGCCTGATCAGCGAGGTTACATCGCGGTCGAGTGGTGGCCGGATGATTTCGCTGCCATTTTGAATGCCTCCAGGCGTGGCATCATCATTGTGGAAGCGGCCGGGAACGGGGCCGAAGATCTTGACGACGCGCTTTATGAAACGCCCGGCTTCGGTTTTCCGGCAGGATGGACCAATCCTTTCCGGCGGGCCAATCGTGATTCGGGAGCGATTGTGGTAGGAGCCGGTGCACCTCCTCCCGGCACACACGGGCGCAACCACGGTCCTGACAGATCCAGGCTCGGCTTTTCCAATTACGGGTCGATCGTCGATGCCCAGGGGTGGGGGCGCGAAGTCACGACGTGCGGCTACGGCGACCTGCAGGGAGGTGGTGACGAGGACCTGTGGTACACGGACACCTTTTCAGGAACCTCGAGCGCATCACCGATCGTGACCGGCGCCCTTGCTTGTCTTCAAGGCATGGCGCGCGCCCGCAACCTGCCTGTCTTCACACCGGATGAGTTGCGCAACGCGCTCAGAACGACCGGTTCTCCTCAGCAGGATGCTCCGGGTCGTCCGGCAACACAGCGCATCGGGAATCGGCCGGACTTACCGGCTTTGTCAGGGGCATTGTTCGGAGTGGGCGGCAACAGGCGGTCTGTTGCCTTCCGGCGCGAAGTGGAACGGTGGCGGCCGCTCGAAGTCAGGGCACTCATTGATATCAGTCCTGAGCTGGTCGCCTCTCATTCGACATTTACCTTGCAGCAGGCCCTGGTATCAGCGCAGCCGGTAAGGTCCGATGCGGATGGGATCTTGTCGAAAATGGCGATCATGTTCCGCATCTCGTCGCTTGCCGGTCAGGCAATCGAGATTGCCGGCCCGGTTGGCGGCTCACGATATCGCTGGTGGGGCAGCATCGCGGCGGACGGACTTGGCCAGCTTTACGTCGATGAAGGCTATTCCTCAACCGGCAGCGACAATTTCGATCTGATTGCGGAAATCAGGGGAGTCGATACGCGGTTCGCATTTGACACGGTCGCACAACGATATCGCGCGGTCTGAGCAAAGGGAGCGGCGCGAGGCGATCTGTCCAGCCAGATACTCGCGCCGCGCCTGTGCAAGATACGGTTCAAGCCGCAAGCCGCAATGCATTTTTTTGCTCGCCCCCTCTCATTGGAACTTCGCTCTGGGCTGGTGAAAAAGGCTCGGAACTGATTGTGAATTGTCATCCCGGTTTGGCGGAGCCTGGACCGGGATCGGCGAAACACAAGCGCTATAGATCAAGTGGAAACATCAGTGTTTGCTGGTTCCCGGATCTCCCAATGGTCGTCCGGGATGACCAACGGTGAACAATTGCTTCTTTTGCGACCCTGACGAGTGAAGATGTCACGAGTCTTGCTGGAGCAGCAAAATTCAAGAAATTCAGCGTTTGCGACGTTCTTACCGAGTTGCGGATTCTTGCGTGCGGAAAGGCAGTAATTTTGGTCGTGTAAAAGGGGAAGGCGTCGGGGTGCAGATTTCAGCAAATACCGGACTCCTGAAACTGTCAGGTCTTTACAATTCCGGCCCGTTCAGCTGCAGGCAATCACCAGCACCTCTCGAACCCGGACCCGCCGAGTGAACGACATTGCCGACAGTACCGATAGGGATGTTCCGGCGCTCCTGCGCAATGTATTCTCCAGCGTCGAGTTCAGGAAACTGCTTGGTCGATTGTAGTGCCAGGCGCATGAGGCAATTGAAGATTTCGGCATGCTGCCGGAAAGTGCGACTCACGAAATCAGGTACAATTAGCTGGTGTGTTTGTCGGGCGGCAAAGACAGCAACACGCTGCAGGCTGAGTTGACCGACGGGGATTGACGTGGCCCCTTGCCGATCAGCCTGAACCGCATCTGAAATCCGTACCCGGATCGCGATTTAAGTTTCGCGCTTGTTGAAAAAGCCACGGATCTTCGTGCTCAACGAAGTTCAGGGACAGGAAACTCCAGTGGTGATCCCAGCCCCTTCCATCAATATGAAGCAACAGATAAGGGCGCTTGATCTGTTCGTGCCGGTTTCCGAAAAGCTGATCATATTGCAATCAATAAAACGAGCGCACCTATGTAAGCTGGCAATATCATAAGGTGCATGGTTGGATGTGTGGTTGGTTTAATTGTAGCGCTGCGGGCAACTTCGATTGATTGTGGTATTACCCCGGTTTCCGCAGGTGGCCGTGCTAAACATCCGAATTTGTTTGATCGGTTGATGTACGGCGCATTCCCGGTGCGGCGGCAGACCTTTTCAAACCCTTTAGGTTCCTTTAAACCCTCGCGTCGATGCGAAGACAATTTGAACTGGGTTAATTGTGTGAACGATATCGCCGACAGCACCGATACGGACGTACCGGCTCTCCTGCGCAATGCGCCTTCCAGCGTCGAATTCAAGAAGCTGCGCAAGCGTCTTTTGCGGCAATCTCGCGAGGCGATTGGCGACTACGGCATGATGCCCGGTGATGCGTCGCCTGAAAGCAGGCCGAAATGGCTGGTCTGTCTGTCCGGAGGCAAGGACAGCTACACACTTCTGTCGGTCCTGATCGAGCTGAAATGGCGCGGGCTTCTGCCGGTTGAACTGATCGCCTGCAATCTGGACCAGGCACAACCGGGTTTTCCGACCGACATTCTGCCGAAATTCTTCGAAGACAACGGCATCGAGCACATCATTGTGCGCGAGGACACCTATTCCATCGTCACCGACAAGATCCCGGAGCACCGGACCTATTGTTCGCTATGTTCTCGGTTGCGCCGGGGAATTCTCTACCGGATTGCCCGGGAGCAGGGCTGCGAGGCGATCGTGCTCGGCCATCACCGGGAAGACATTCTGGAAACCTTCTTCATGAACCTCTTCCACGGCGGCCGTCTGGCGTCGATGCCGCCGAAGCTGATCAATGACGAAGGCGATCTTCTGGTGCTGCGTCCGCTGGCCTATTGCGCCGAGAGTGACATCGCCCGATTTGCCAGTGGTATGCAGTTTCCGATCATTCCCTGCAATCTCTGCGGTTCCCAGGACGGGCTGCAGCGTGAGGAGGTCAAGCGCATGCTCCAGGGCTGGGAAAAGGCGTCGCCCGGACGCCTCGGCGTCATGGCGCGTGCTCTCGGCCATACGAGACCTTCTCATCTCCTGGACAGGTCACTTTATGACTTCGCCAACCTGCGGCCTGCGGAAAGCGCGGCAGAAGACCCTGGCGGGGAGGCAGAGGAACCCTGCGGCGCCAGCCTTGCGATGACGGCGAAGCTGTTCGCGGCGGAATGAGACTGGTTCGCCTTCAAAACGCTATTCGGGGGTCGCAAACAGCTGTCTCAGCCACACCTCAACCGTCTGTGCCGCCGGTTTCTGAGGCCCCGAAGCTTCCCGGTGCAGAAGAAAGTGTGTCTGGGTGGATGGAATTTTCGTCTCAAACGGGATGGTCAGGCGTCCATTTGAGACCAGCCTCGAGGCAACACGCTCAAGCAGCAAGGCAACGCCGCCTTGCGAGGATGCCCATTCCACTGCCGCGAGGGAAGTGTCAACAGTGATGCTGGTGGACAGGCGTGGTGTATCGAGACCGAGCGCTTCAAAATACCTTGCCCAATGGTCGTCAAAACCGAGCGTGTGAATACGGGCAACGTCAGTCAGGTCTTTCGGCTTCTTGAGTTTCTTCGCGAGAGCGGGATGGCACACCGGCACAATGAACTCCGATCCGAGAGATTCGCTGCGAACGCCAGGCCAGTTGCCCGACCCAAGCCGGATTTCGATATCGATCCCTGTTTCCAAAACCGTGTCGGCCCAGATAGCGGAGAGCAGTCTGACATTGACCCCCGGATGCTCCTGCTGAAAATCGGCGAGGGCGGGGCCAATGATCAACGTCCCTTCGGAGATCGGTGCGCGGATTGTGACCGATCCTGAGCTGCGGTTGCCGAACAGTCCCTCCGTCGAGACGGCCAGGTCCTGGAGCGCCTTTCTGACGGCGGGCAGATAGGCACGCCCGCTTGCTGTCAGATCCACCTTGCGCGTGGTTCGTTCAAAGAGCTGATGGCCAAGTTGTTGTTCCAGTGCGCTGATGTGATTGCTGACGGCTGCCTGGGTCAGTCCGAGCTCGTTGCCGGCAGCGGTGAAGCTGCCCAATCGGCTGGAGGCTTCGAAGCTTCTGAGCCAGAGCAGGTTGGGTAGAGCTTGCATTGCTCCAATTAATAAAAAAAATCTCGTAATGTCCACTTATTATATCGTTTCTCTTCTCTTTCAGTGAGGCGCAAAGTGATGTGAGTGAAACAATTCGCGTCTCGGGAGGAGCTTGCGATGCATATCGGATTCATCGGTCTTGGAAATGTCGGCGGAAAACTGGCGGGCAGCATCCTGCGCAACGGCTACGACCTGACAGTTCTGGATCTCGATCCGGGTTTGATGGACCAATTCGTGGCCTCAGGTGCCAATCGTGGCCAGAGCCCTAGGCAATTGACGCAGGTCTGCGACATCGTCATAACCTGCCTGCCCAGCCCGGCGGCCTGTTCGGCCGTGGTCGAGGGACACGACGGGATCCTGGAAGGCATGGGTCCCGGCAAGATCTGGGCTGAAATGTCGACCACCGATTCAAACGAAACACGGCGGCTGGCCGAGCTTGTCATCGCACGGGGTGGTGAGGCGATCGAATGCCCGGTATCGGGCGGTTGTCATCGCGCGGCAACCGGCAACATCTCCATTTTTGCCGGCTGCACCCGCGCTACGTTCGAAAAGGCCCTGCCACTGCTGACGGTTCTCGGGCGCCGAGTATTGCACACCGGGGAAATCGGCTCCGCTTCTGTCTTGAAAGTGGTGACCAACTATCTTGCGACAGCAAACCTGGTTTCGCTCGCCGAAGCGCTGGTTACCTGCAAGGCTGCGGGTATGGATCTCAACACTTCCTACGAGGCGATCCGCATTTCGTCGGGGAATTCCTTCGTCCATGAAACCGAAAGCCAGGTGATCCTCAACGGTTCGCGCGACATATCCTTCACGATGGATCTGGTCGCCAAGGACATCGGCCTGTTCCAGTCAATCGCCGAAGCGCATGATGTTCCGCTGGAACTGTCGCCCTTGCTCAACAAGCTGTTTGCGGACGCCATCGGGCGTTACGGTCCGCGTGAGCTGTCTCCAAACATTATCCGAAGGCTTGAGGAAGCGACCGGTCTGCTTGTCCGTGCTCCCGGTTTCCCGCCGGAAATGTCTGACGATGAACCGGAAGAAGCCGGATATGAAGTCGTTCCGAAGCGCGATGACGACATCGTGTCGGGGATTCGGGAAGCGACAGGCCGATGATCGAAAAACGCAAATTCCATATCGGCGGACATTGGGTCGATCCGGTGGAAGCGCGGGACCACCAGGTGATCAATCCGGCGACGGAGGAACCTGTCGCAGTCATTTCTCTTGGAAGTGCCGCCGATGTGGACAGGGCAGTCGACGCGGCGACAGCTGCGTTTCGGTCGTGGTCGGAAACGTGTGTCGACGAGCGGGCCACGTTGCTTGAGCGGATCATCGAAATCTACGAACGCCGTTCGGATGAGATGGACGAAGCCATCCGGTTGGAAATGGGCGCGCCTGTCGATTTCGCAAGGGAACAGCAGACCCCCTCGGGAACCGGCCATCTGCAGGCGACACTTGAAGCATTGAAAACGCATGAATTCGAGCGTCCGAGTCCGCGCGGAGGAAGTCTGCTCCGGCACGAGCCTATCGGGGTTTGCGGTCTGATCACCCCATGGAACTGGCCGATCAACCAGGTTGCCGCAAAGGTCGCACCTGCGCTTGCCGCCGGATGCACCATGGTGCTGAAACCGAGCGAGATCGCTCCTCTTTCAGCGTTGCTCTTTGCCGAGATCCTGCACGAGGCGGGATGCCCCGCGGGTGTTTTCAATCTGGTCAATGGTGATGGCCCGGGCGTCGGGGCGGCGATGTCCGCTCATCCGGGCATTGACATGATGTCCTTTACCGGGTCGACGCGGGCGGGTGTTGCAGTGACGCAGAACGCGGCTGCGACTGTCAAGCGAGTGGCGCTGGAACTTGGAGGCAAGTCACCCAACCTGCTCTTTGCCGATGCGGATCTTGAAACGGCGATCCGGTTTTCTCTGGAAAGTTGCTTTTCCAATTCCGGCCAATCCTGCGATGCACCGACCCGGTTGCTGGTCGAAAGGAGTGCTTATGAGGGCGCGGTTACGGCAGCGGAGCGGATTGCAGCGGAAACCACGGTCGGCGATCCGGCCGAGGAGGGAGATCATATCGGCCCGGTGATCAGCAACCTGCAATATGAGCGTATCCAGGGGCATATCGAACGAGGCATCGCCGACGGTGCGCGTCTTGTGGCCGGAGGACCCGGCAGGCCGGCGGGATTTGAAAAGGGTTACTTCGTCAAGCCGACGGTCTTTGCGGATGTCACCAACCAGATGTCCGTGGCCCGCAATGAAATCTTCGGACCAGTGCTGGTGATGATCCCGTTCGAAACGGAAGATGAGGCCATTGAAATGGCCAACGACACACCTTACGGCCTGGCTGCCTATATTCAGACCGGAAGTCCCGAGCGTGCCAAACGCGTCTCCCGGAAACTGCGCGCGGGCAGTGTTTACATCAACGGGGCAGCTCCGGACTGGGATGTTCCCTTCGGCGGATACAAGCAATCTGGCAATGGACGCGAATATGGCGAATTCGGCCTGGAGGACTTCCTCGAACTGAAGTCCATCACGGGATGAAATGAGTAACGAATGCGTTGCAGGAGATATGCCGCCAGAAATTTTAAAGCCGCGCTAACACAATAATTTTGCACGCAGACTGGACCTACCGCTCATATCAGGTGAGGTTAGACCGAATGAATTCTGGGAGAACTTCATGCGGGATCTTCGCATCTGCTTCGTCGGCGACAGCTACATCAATGGAACAGGGGATGAACGCTGTCTTGGATGGACCGGCCGCCTGTGCGAGCGACGGTTTTCCTGGGACTACCGATTGTCCTTCTATGATCTCGGCATCCGCGGAGAAACGACGGCGGAGGTTCGCGCCCGCTGGAAAGCAGAATGTGAAGCCCGCTTTCCCGAGACTGCCGACAACCGGGTCGTCGTCCAGTTCGGCATAAACGATATTGGTGTTGTGACCGGGGAAGGCCGTCAGATCGAGGAAGATGAAACGGTGGAAGAAGCGGAAGCCTTCTTGAAGGAAGTTTCAGATCTCTATCCGGTCCTGTGGGTCGGTCTGCCTCCGGCAAACGAGGCTTGTTCGCCCATGAAACCGAGTGAGGGGCTGGAGGTTTCGTTTTCGCAAGATGCCGCCACAGCACTGAACGAACGGTTCAAGACATGTGCCGAAAAACTGAATGTTCCCTATTTCGATCTTCAGGCGCCGCTGCTGGCCAATCGGGATTACATGAGCAGTCTGACCCGGGGCGACCGGATGCACTGCGACGGAACCGGGTATGCGATGATTGCCAATCTTGTCAATAACTGGGAGGCTTGGGACGGCTGGTTTTCCGAATAGGCCCTTCAACCGCCGAAAGCCTTTCGATCCGGCATCGATGTCAATCGGCTGGACAGTTGCCGTCCGTTTACCTATCTCTTCGCCATGACCGTGCGCGTACAACAGACCTCGAACGACTACGGGATCGTGGTGGAGCCACTGTCGGGCGAAGTGATCGCCTGGCGGGGCGACCAGATGATTGCACGTTCAACGAGAGCGCGTGTCATGTACGAGACCCGGCTCTCCCCTGTGGTCTATTTTCCAGTAGAAGACATTCTGGCCGAACTTGAACCGGCCCCGGCGCACAAAACCTTCTGCCCGTTCAAGGGGACGGCTTCCTATAGCCATGTTCGCCTTGGTGAAGACCTGTCGGAAAACGGCGCCTGGCATTATCCCAAGGCCTTGCCGGAAGGGCAGGCCGTTGATGGGTGCTTTGCCTTCATGCCGGGGGTCGCGACGCGGATCGAGCACCAGGGCGCCGCGATCGATGATCTTCCCGCCGGCAATATATCCGGACCGGTCGTCGACTGGCTGCTTCGGGAAGCCTGGTTGGCAAAATCTCCCGAAGAGCTTTTGGCCGCTCTGGGGAGCAAGCTGGTTGAAGACGGCATTGCGGTCAGCCGGATGAGCATTCTCATCTGGTCCCTTCATCCGATGATTGCCGGACAGAACTGCCTCTGGCTCCGGGACGAAGACGAGGTAACCAGCCGCTACCCCTCTTATGAAATCCTGGAAAGCCCGATCTTCAAGGAAAGCCCATTCCAGCATGTTGCCGACGGTCTGGGAGGTGTGCGGCAGAAACTCGATACCAATCCGGATGAGTTCAATTTCCCGATCATGGAAGATCTGAAGGAGCAGGGTGTCACCGACTATGTAGCGATGCCGCTGCCCTTTTCCGACGGACGCATTAACGTATTGACGCTGGCCTCCGATCACCCCAACGGGTTTACCACGGCCAATCTCGGCCTGATATTCGAATGCTCCGCGCTGATCAGCCGATTGTTTGAGGTTTTCGCGCTGACCTCCAACGCAACGACGCTGCTGGAGACCTATCTTGGCAAGCGCACCGGCGCACGTGTCCTGGGCGGCGAAATCCGTCGCGGTGACGGGGATGTCATCGATGCGGCGATCCTGTTTTGCGATCTGCGCCATTCAACGCGGCTGGAAACCGAACTCGGGCGGGACAGGTATGTCGCCGTGCTCAACCGCTTCTTTGAAACTTCGACCGATATCGTCAATGCTCACGATGGTGAAGTCCTGAAATTTATCGGTGATGCGGTGCTCGCCATATTCCCTGCCAGTGCAGGGCATGCGCAGGCCTGCAGTCAGGCGGTTGCAAGCGCGGAGGAAATTGTCGCTGCACTGGCGGAGCCTGACCCGGAAATGGAGGACACGTCGCTCTCCTGCGCGATCGGCGTTGCTTACGGCGACGTGACCTACGGCAATGTCGGCTCTAAGGAGAGGCTGGATTTTACGGTGATCGGCAGTGCCGCCAACGTTGCCGCCCGTCTGGGCGACCACGGCAAGATCAACGGCAAATCAATTGTCGTCTCCGAAGAGGTGGCAAAGGTTACCGATTTTCCCGCGGAGAGTCTCGGCAGTTTAAGTCTGCGTAATGTATCGGAACCGGTCGAAGCGTTCGCAATCACTCCGGAAACGACCGAGCGTCAATAAGCGCTGGAAAGACAGCCAGCCTAGCGAACAGTTTTTTCTCCCAGGAAACCACCCATGGGCTGATTTCGAACCAGAATCACCAGACCGGACTTGCTCGGCTCAGCCCCGGTTTCGGCCACGCCGCCATAGTTGGCGCAAAGCTCTTCGGCACTCTTTCTCTGGGCTGGTGTAAACATGGTGATCGCCTGACAATCGACGCGGCGCAATTCGCTGTCGGTTCCGGGGCCGCCGGATACGACGATTCCAAAACCGGCCAGAGCCAGAGCGAAAGTAGAGGTGGTTGCAATAGCAAACTTGTTCATTGTCCCCGGTCCCATTTCCCGGCCCGTCTTCATGTCGGGCCCTGCGATATGGTCGGAGAATGGCGGAACGCACCTGTACTGACTCTGAAATCCGCATTCACCTGTTATTCATGTTAGGCGATTCGCAGTGAATTGCCGAGCCCGTGCCCCATTTCAGCCAGAATTGATTCGGCTTAACGTTGGATAACCGCAAATTCTGGCCGATTTTGACATCGCGAGTATCTCGTTCGCTCGTGATCACGCGGAAACAGAGAGTGTCAAAGTCCGGGTGCCCAGGACCACGAGGCAGGGCGGGAACGAGGCATTTGATCTTCGGTTCGGGTCAAATCAGGCACAGCATTCAAATATCCCGTGCCTGTTTTCGACTGCTGTGCCGGCCACGCGTATCCCGGGCCTGGGGGCAGGACTTTGAAATCTGTTCCTTTGGAACACCTGTTTGGGACTACTGCATGCCTGCTGTTGTGAAGATGTTCATCTGAAAACCGAAAAGGGGCGGAAAAACCGCCCCTTAACGTCAAATGTTCAGAAATTGAGTCCGCGCGTCAGGCGGATTGCTGAGCGGTCTCGATACCCTTGTCGGTGAGCAGGCCCTGCAATTCCTTGTTCTGGAACATTTCGCGGATGATGTCACAGCCGCCGACAAACTCGCCCTTTACGTATAGCTGGGGAATGGTCGGCCAGTTGGTGAATTCCTTGATGCCATTCCGCAACTCGTCGTCTTCCAGGACGTTGATACCCTTATAGGGCGCGCCGACATAGTCGAGTATCTGGATTACCTGTCCGGAGAACCCGCATTGCGGAAAATTCGGTGTGCCCTTCATGAACAGCACCACGTCGTTGGTGTCGACTTCGTTCTTGATCCAGTCCTGGATGCTCATGGATTTCTGTCCTTGTGTTTCGCGGGCGCGAGTGAGTTGCGGCCGGTGCGATAAATCAGGTTTGCCACAGCCCTCCAGATGCGCAGTTCCATGACCAGCATGATCACCAAAACCGTGAAGAGAAGCCAAACCATCCAATTTCCTGTTTCTTTGACCGCATATGTGTTTCAAAGCGGCGGAAGTTCAAGAGGCCGTGCGATATGCGCGGCAATGTGACAATCCAGTCAGATCAGTCAGGGGCCTTTGTCTGCAGGGCAAGCGCATGCAGGGCGCCACCCATGTTGCCCTTCAAGGCTTCATAAACCATCTGATGCTGCTGCACGCGGCTTTTGCCACGGAAGGATTCCGAGACGACATTCGCCGCATAGTGATCGCCGTCGCCAGCCAAATCCCGGATCTCCACCTGAGCGTCGGGCAGCGCCTCCTTGATCAGGGTCTCGATCTCGTTCGCGTTCATTGGCATTGTACGTCAGTCCTCATTTCAAGTTCCTTGAAGGCACCTGCCTCAGGCAACAGCCATATAACTCGGGAACCAATCTTCGTGTGCTTTGCGCAAGTTTGCAACGGATATGGTGAGAATGCCTTCAACATTCAAATCCTTGCCGCCCGTTTTGCCAATTTGTTGAACGTCGATTCCGGCGTCCAGAACGTCTTCCATCACGGCATCGACCTTGTCGGGAGAAACGGTCAGAACGTAGCGGCCCTGATCTTCGCCGAAGAGAGCTGCATGGGCCGGGCCGTCGATTGCGACATTCGCGCCGATATCGCCTGCCATTGCCATTTCAGCCAGGGCAACGCCCAGACCACCGGAGGATATGTCGTGGACACCGGTTAGCCTGGCTGCGCCGATCAACTGACGCACGATTGTTCCCCGGCGTTTTTCGGCAGCCAGATCAACCGGCGGCGGGGCACCTTCCTCGCGGCCGAGGATATCGACAAGATACTGGGACGCACCCAGATGTGTACCAGGACCGCCGATCAGCAAGATCGCATCGCCTTCCTGTGCAAAGGCCGCGCCCGCGCGCACCGTCACATCCGGAAGCAACCCGACGCCGCCGATCGCAGGGGTCGGCAGGATCGCTTCGCCGTGCGTCTCATTGTAAAGCGACACATTGCCTGACACGATCGGGAAATCGAGCGCTCTGCAGGCTTCACCGATGCCTTTGATACAGCCGACGAACTGACCCATGATCTCGGGTTTTTCAGGGTTGCCGAAGTTGAGATTGTCGGTTGCCGCAAGCGGTTCCGATCCCACGGCTGTCAGGTTGCGCCAAACCTCGGCAACCGCCTGTTTGCCGCCCTCGAACGGATCTGCTTCGCAGTAACGCGGTGTCACGTCAACGGAAAAGGCGAGGCCCTTGCGCGTGCCGTCAACGCGAATGACACCGGCGTCGCCGCCTGGTGTCGCTGCGGAGTTGCCCTGGATCAGCGTGTCATATTGTTCATAGACCCAGCGGCGGGACGCGCCATTTGCGCTGCTGACAAGCGTTTTCAGCGCATTGGCGTAGTCGGCAGGCTCTTCAACGTCGCTCGCAGCAAGAACGGGCAATTTCCGGGGTTCTGTCCACGGCCGGTCGTATTCGGGCGCCTCGTCTCCGAGTTTCTTGATCGGCAGGTCGGCGACGACATCGCCCTGATGTTTGACGACGAACTGAAGTGTGTCCGTGGTCACGCCGACGATGGCGAAGTCGAGGCCCCATTTCCTGAAGATTGCTTCCGCCTCGTTTTCCATGGCCGGACGCAGCACCATCAGCATGCGTTCCTGGCTTTCGGACAGCATCATCTCGTAGGCGCTCATGTGATCCTCGCGGACCGGGACCTTGTCGAGGTCGAGCTCTATGCCAAGGCCACCCTTTGCACCCATCTCGACAGCGGAGCAGGTGAGGCCGGCAGCACCCATGTCCTGGATCGCGATTACGGCGCCTGTCTCCATCAGTTCCAGGCAGGCTTCAAGAAGGCATTTTTCCGTGAAAGGATCGCCAACCTGAACCGTGGGGCGTTTTTCCTCGATCGTGTCGTCGAATTCGGCGGAGGCCATGGTCGCGCCGCCGACACCATCACGGCCGGTCTTTGCGCCGAGGTAAACCACCGGCAGGCCGATGCCTTTTGCCTCCGACAGGAAGATGGCGTCCGATTTGGCAAGTCCGGCAGCAAAGGCATTCACCAGGCAGTTGCCGTTGTAGCGGGCATGAAACTCGACTTCGCCGCCGACGGTCGGAACACCAAAGGAATTGCCATAACCACCGACGCCGGAAACGACGCCGGAAACGAGATGCCGTGTGCGAGGATGATCCGGCTCGCCGAATCGCAAAGCGTTCATTGCCGCAACCGGTCTGGCGCCCATTGTGAAGACATCGCGAAGGATGCCGCCGACACCGGTCGCTGCACCCTGGTATGGCTCGATATAGGACGGGTGGTTGTGGCTCTCCATCTTGAAGACGACTGCCTGGCCGTCTCCGATGTCGACGACACCGGCATTCTCGCCCGGACCCTGCAGCACGCGCGGTCCCTCAGTAGGCAAGGTTTTTAGCCATTTTTTGGAAGATTTATACGAGCAGTGCTCGTTCCACATGGCGGAGAATATACCGAGTTCGGTAAAGGTCGGCTCCCTGCCGATCAATTCCAGAATGCGCTCGTATTCATCCGGTTTCAGGCCATGGGAAGCAATCAGGTCGGGCGTGATCTTGATGTCGTTCGGGATCATGACGTTCCAGTGTTTTGGGCTGCTGTCTCAGGGCCGAGCAGCCGCGGTCGGGCAATGTTGCCGCCGTTTAGCAGATTGCGTGCCGAATTGGGAGAGGAACGGGGAAAGTTTGTCTCAAAGAATACGCGAACAGGCCGCTTCGATCTTCCGAGCAGCCAGCCAACGGTGAAAACCGCTTTCGTCGAGGTATGTCAGGGTTGATTGGAAACCCGCGACTGGATTTTCAAGGTGATCTGCTGCCATTCGCGGACGCGGCTTTCAAGTCGCCTGATTTCCTTGTCCTTGAAGGTGCTTTGCTGCCTGAGTTCCTGAACGGTGTGCTCAAGCTTCATGATGCGCAACAGTAACCGTTCCGCAGTCAATTCTTTTGATGCTGAAATTTGATCATTCGGTTGCATAGGAGAACTTCGTTTCTCTAAATTCTTGCCTTGAGAGCTGAGTATTTTCTTAAATAAAACAATGACTTCATCATGGGGTTCCATTGTATTCACATGGCGCTGTTTTGATAAGTTTGTCGAAATAAGTTTTTCAAAATGAACTTGGCGTAGAGTAATTGGTTGTATCTGGGTTGTAAAGGTAATCATTGTCAAAATAACTAAAAGTTTAACTATGCTTAAGAACAGGGGCACGTAGCGGTATTCGGTTGGCTCCGGGAATTGTCCAATGACCGGATATTCGCGGTTTGACGGCGATGTAGTTTGATCGGAAATCAGACGTGTCTGCGGCTCAAGAACAGCGAAGGGCTGAATGCGTCCAGGACTTGGTAAAGGGCCTGTCTATTCAAAACTGTCGTAACCGGCACCGCTGTCTTCCAGGAGATTTCTCAGTATTTCAAGGCCCTTGGCCGTTTCTTCCCGAGTGAGTGGATTTGTAATGCCGACCCGCACACGATGATAGACCCTGCCGGAGCGTCCCGACTTGAATTCGTCCTCGTCGTCAACAAGCGTGTTGAAGGCTGCGGCTGCAGCCTTGAAGGTGCCCGAAAGCCAGGGCTCGGGAACCTTGAGCCAGAAAAACGGGGCATCGGCCGCCGAAGCATGCTCGAATGGATCAAGTAGTTGCTGAACCAGACCGTGACGGGCGGCAATTTCCTCCAGCACGCCCTTGCGCAAGGTGTCGGCGGTTCCGCTGAGGACAAGGCGCGCTGACAGTTCCGAGAGCAGAAACGATATGCCGCCTGTCAGCATCTTGTGCGCCGTGTAGATCCGCTGGGCGTGAGAAACGGGACTGGAGACCCAGCCGCCGCGCACTCCTGCCGTGACGGCCTTGGACAGGGACCCGACATGAAAAGTGCGCTCCGGAGCGAGTTCCGCAAATGGAGCCAGGCCGGTATTGCGCAATGATCCGTAGACTTCGTCCTCGATGATCCAGAGATTGTGCCGGCGGGCGACCTCCACCAGTTCGATGCGTCTTTCAACGCCCATCAGTCTGGTTGTCGGATTGTGCATTGTCGGCATGACGAACAGTATCTTCGGGTGGCGCTGTGCGCAGACGCTGGCGAGATCATCCGGAAGAGGACCCTCCTCATCACTTGTGATCTGCACGGGTCTGCGTCCGGTAAGTGCCGAACCACGGGCAATCGAGCTGTAGGTAAGGTCTTCGAAGGCGACCTGGTCTCCAGGTGCTGTTGTGGCCGTTATGATCGCCATGATCGCCGCCTGGGCGCCCGTTGTCGGCACGATAGAGCCTTCCGGTGGCTGCCAGTCGCCCCGGGACAACCAGACACGTCCAGCCTCCCGCCAGCGTTCAGGTACGGACCGCGTGTAACTGGCAATATCATAAGGCGCATCGCGGGTGATCTCGGCAGTCAGTTCACGGATCGCCCGTGCCTGACCGACCTCCGGTGCGGATGTACTGTCAAAACGGATGGCTTCTGGGGACGGCACCGAAACACGTGTGCCTGCGAACGCAATGTCCTTGGGAGTTTTCATCGCGCCCTGAACCCAGGAAACCTCTGCCGGTACGGCAGATCCGGTGCCGTTGCCCGGGTTTGAAAGGGAGTTGATCGCAGGCTTGGTCCCTTCTGCGAGCGCTTCACCTTCATGGGTGCCGAGGACGTATGTACCCCGGCCGACTTCTCCGCTGACCAGTCCACGTTGACGAACGACCGCATAGGCGCGGCCGACTGTGCCGACGGTTACACCAAGATCATACGCCAGGTTTCGCTGGGGCGGCAGCTTTGCACCTGCAGCGAGTTTACCTGTCGCGATTTCCTCGGCGATGCAGTCGGCAAGACGAATGTAGAGCGGGCCGTGGCCCTCGGGGATGCTCGGCAACCAATTTGTCATGGTGACAATTTAGTATATTGCACCCGTTCAAGAGTCAATTCATATAATTGAGCCGAAACAATTCTTCAATTTAAGCAAATTGTACCCGAAATCAGGTGTCAAAATGAATTCAATGGTGACAATGCGAGTCAGCGAGTTTCCTGTGCAGCGGCGGCGGCGCCGATTTGGCCGGATTGTCTGGAACAAGCTGGTGTCCTGGGCACAATTGTACCGGACGCGCAGGCAACTGCTGGAATTGACGGACAGGGAACTGGATGATCTCAATCTGACACTGGAGGCAGCGCGCCGGGAAGGCTGCCGGCCGTTCTGGGACAGTAGCCGCTGACCTGTGTCGGTGGTGTGCCTAGGCCGGAAATGTTCTGATCTCTGCAAAAAATCTGCTTCAAGCCGGTATTTTCATTTCCCGGACCGGGAGTGGGATCCCGGTCCGGGATACGATACTCAGACCGCGCCGGTATATTCGCCGCGGGCCGGGTAGTCGTTCTTTTGGACGAAGTCGAGCGCACCGATCATTTCCTGGAAATGCGGGCGGACGAAAGGCATCGTCTGTACGGAAGCGAAGTAAAGAGTGCCATCACCCCTCACCAGGAAAACACCCGGTTCTGAGAAGAGGGCAGGTTCCTCGATACCGATGGACGTGGTGCCACGGCTCGTCGAAATGTAAAGGCCCCATTCCTTGGCGGCCGAAAGGGACAGACCATATCCGAAGCGCAGCGCTTCGTGTCCGACCTTCTCGGCCATCTGCTGGGCGCGATCCTTGGTGTCGGAAGAAATTGCAACCGTCTTGACACCCTTGGCTGCAAAATCCGGTGTCAGCCGGCCGAGTTCTTTCAGGTATGTGGCACAGATCGGGCAATGCAGGCCGCGATAAAACACGACGAGCGTGGCAAACTCCGCGCCGTCCTGTGCGAGATCAAATGTGCCTGAATCAAGGGTTTCAACGGTCAGGCCGGGAACCTGCTGGCGTGGGACTAGCATCTTTTTCCTCATACTGATTGGAGCAAGGCTTCACTTTTGCCTTTCGATGCGCTTAAAATAGCGAACGAACGAAGAAGAAACATCCCGAAAAGATGATCAGGAGTACGGAAGTGCCGGTTGCCTATCGAACGTCATTCAGCGGTAAACTCGACCGGTTGTCCTCCCTCATCGACAGACTGCGGGTGCAGGTCGCCAATGCAATGACGGACGAACCGGGTGGGGGCATGGCCAATCTGGTCATCTATGCAGACCCTTCAGGCGAACACAGGCTGGTGTATTGCCCCTTGCTGGAAGAAGAGGAAACACAGCATTTTCCCGAAACCGCGCCCGTTATGGGCGAAGCACCTTTGGTGGCCGCCAACATCGCGATATCGGGGATCGGCAAGCAACTGATCAACGCGCTGCCGGCCTGTATTTCCGTTCCCCTGTCGGAAGAGCCTTATCTGACAGCCGTAGTGACGCCCTTGATCGAAGAAGCCACCATGCCCCGCTGCGGTGGACAGGCGGCTTTCCAACGCCTGTGCGAGGTGGTGGTGATCCGGTTGTTGCGGCACGCCATGGAAGAGGGCAAGGCCAATACGGGACTGTTGAACGGGCTGGCGCATCCGCGGGTGGCCGCAGCCCTGGTGGCAATCCATGAAGCGCCGGGCGAGGCCTGGACACTTGAAAGGCTGGCGGAAACGGCAGGCATGTCCCGGACCCAGTTCGCCGTGACATTCAAGGACCTGGTCGGCGCAACACCGATGGGATACCTGTCAAACTGGCGGCTGGACATTGCTCGCGCGGAACTTGAAGGGGGCCGTCAGGTCAAATCGGTCGCAACCATTTGCGGCTTTTCGAGCCCGGCAGCGTTTTCAAGGGCCTTTTCCAGACGCTTCGGCTATCCTCCGAAGCAGAAAAGAAAGCAGGCCGCCGCCTGATGTCTCACTGCCGGTCTTCGACCTTGCGTTCCAAAGCGTAAATTTCGTCGGTGATGTCGTCGGCCTTGCGGGAGAAGAGTGCCTGCGCGTCCTTCAGGCCGAGATTGTAGAAGTGAGCGCCGAGCGAGCCGCTCAGGAAGTCGATCAGGAACTCCGCATCCATGTTGCCGACTTCGATCTCGAGTTCCTCGTCCATGTAGTTCCGGATCTGTGTGGTGAGAAGAGACCTGACTTCCTTGTCCAGCTTGAGTTCCTTCAAAGTCTCCTCCCAGAGCAATAAAATCAGGCTGACTGCGTGGCGAGGCTTTCAAACAGCAGCCGCCCGTCAAGGCCACCGTGGAGCGCTTCCACCAGGTTTTCCGGATGGGGCATCATGCCAAGGACGTTACCCTTTTCATTGGTGATCCCGGCAATGTCGTTGAGCGAGCCGTTTGGATTGGTGCCGTCGGCATAGCGGAAGACGACCTGGCCGTTGTCCTCGATGCGGTCGAGTGTTTCGGCATCGGCGAAGTAGTTGCCGTCATGGTGGGCAACCGGGCAGCGCCAAACCTGTCCCCTGGTGAATTTGGAGGAGAAACGGGTTGCGTTGTTGACTGTTTCCATCAGCACTTCCTTGCAGACGAAGGTGAGGCCCGCATTACGCATCAAAGCACCTGGCAACAGTCCGGCTTCAGTCAGGATCTGGAAGCCGTTGCACACGCCAAGAACGGAAACACCACTGTCGGCCTTGGCGACTAGGTCCTTCAAAATGGGCGAGCGCGCGGCAATGGCACCGGAGCGCAGATAGTCGCCGTAGGAGAAACCGCCGGGAACGACCACCAAATCGACATCAGGCAAGGTGCTTTCAGCGTGCCATACACTTTGGGGACGCGAGCCGGTGATCAGTTCCAGTGCGTGAAACATGTCATGGTCACGGTTGGAACCTGGGAAAACGATAACGGCGGTCTTCATGGGGTGATCCCGTTTTTCTACAGCAGGACAAGAACGGCAACTAGCGCCGCAAGGGCCGGTACCAGGATGAAGATCGCCGCCTTGATCGCCATGAAGGTTATGGCCTTGCGGGTGTCCTCGTCCATTGTCCGGACCCCGAACTCAGTCGATTTCGATCGCGTAGTTTTCAATAACCGTATTGGCCAGCAGCTTTTCGCACATCTGTTCCAGTTTCTCTTTGGCGGTGCTCATGTCTGCACCGGCCAGTTCGACGTCGAACACCTTTCCCTGGCGGACGGAGCCAACATCGCCGAAACCGAGGCCGCCGAGCGCTCCCTCAATGGCCTTCCCCTGGGGATCGAGTACGCCGTTTTTCAAGGTGACGATGACGCGTGCTTTCATGATTGGCTTCCCGCAATGGTCTGCACAAGGTGCAGCGACAAACAGTTTGGGGCTCCCCATACACGAGGAGCCCCTGAAGCGAAAGAGCAATGCGCACAAAAGCCGTGGTTTACGGCAGCCGGCGGATCGTCGTCTGGTTCAGGAAGCGGCGCAAATTGCTTCGTGCCCTTGCGCGACTTGTCGCAAAAGATGCCACCATACTACCCCTGTCGTTCTGGATGATCACCCTTGCGGCAGCATATACGTAACGGCCGTTCCGGTCCTTCAGCCGAGCGCTCATGTCGAAACCCGAAAAATTCTTTTTCACAATCCTGCGGTCTGTCGACATCCTGAAATCGCCCTTCGCGGCAATGTTCACCACTTTGTCCATTGCTTTGAGGAGTTCCGTGGAAAGAATGTCTTCGCGGATTGCAGCTTCCGCGTCGCCGCGAACTTTCATTGGTCCGATTACGACGCCTTGGGGAGAGCCGCATACCGAAGGCATGCAGAAGTAGATTGTTTTGCCACCACGGGATTCCGACTGCCATCCACTTGGTGCGAAGCTGGAGTCTATGCTGCCGGGTTTCAACCCGCTTGTCTGGCAGGCCGCCAGCAACCCGCAAAACAGGATCATCAGTCCTGTCTTCGTAAAGTTCCGTAATTTCATAAAGATAACGCCCCCTTGATTTCCAAGGAGGCGTCTTAATCAGCATTTTTGACCATTACAATCAGGCCGCGCAATTCACCCTCTGATTGTGCTGCTGTTGTGTCTTTACTGCACCAATGTCGGGCCCGAGTTGGGTGGGCGTTCGTTGCCGATCATGATGCCGAGACGCTTGGCAACTTCCTGGTAGGCTTCAAGCATACCGCCGAGATCCCGGCGAAAACGGTCCTTGTCCATCTTGTCGTTGGTCTCGATATCCCACAGCCGGCAGCTGTCGGGAGAAATCTCGTCCGCGACGACGATGCGCATCATGTCGCCTTCAAAAAGACGGCCGCACTCGATCTTGAAGTCGACGAGGCGGATACCGACGCCCAGAAAAAGACCGGACAGGAAATCGTTGACGCGGATGGCGAGTGCCATCATGTCATCGAGCTCCTGCGGTGTGGCCCAGCCGAAGGCGGTTATGTGTTCCTCGGCAACCATCGGATCGTCGAGTTCGTCGTTCTTGTAGTAGAACTCGATGATGGACCGCGGCAATTGTGTGCCTTCTTCCAGGCCCAGACGCTTGGCGATCGAGCCGGCGGCAACGTTGCGCACGACGACTTCCAGCGGAATGATTTCAACTTCCCGGATCAGCTGCTCGCGCATGTTCATGCGACGGATGAAGTGAGTCGGGATGCCGATGGCATTCAGGTGGTTGAAAATGTATTCGGATATGCGGTTGTTGAGCACACCCTTGCCGTCAATTATTTCGTGTTTCTTGTTGTTGAAGGCGGTCGCATCATCCTTGAAGTGCTGGACCAGGGTTCCCGGTTCCGGACCTTCATAGAGAATCTTGCCTTTACCTTCATAAATGCGCCGGCGGCGGTTCATGAGCTATACCGTGTTTTTCGTGAAACCTTGGGACGGGACTTGCCAACCTAGTCAAATTTCCTGCGGGACAATTTCCCGTCAACCGGCAGGTGTCAAGAAGGCTGCATTCCCCGATTTGCGGCGCGGAACTTACCCGAAGCGCGACAAAAGTACAATCTTATGTTTTTTTGGGCGACCGACGCGTGCAAGACCCGGTCATATTCGTGTGTCCAACCTCCGATAAACGCAGCTTTATCATGCTTTTGACGCAAGTGTGTATCTACTGCGTTGATTTGGCGGGCTGGCGGGGATATGCAAGAGGCCAAAGAATCCCCATATGGGGTGCAGTGCATAAGCGCAGTTCAGGAGACGAAGAGTATGAGCACATTCGACAAGCGCGAACAGGGATTTGAAAGCAAATTCGCGCATGACGAGGAGCTGCGGTTCAAGGCGACCGCGCGCCGCAACAAGCTTTTGGGCCAGTGGGCCGCCGGACTGCTGGGCTATGAAGGCGAAAAAGCCGAGGAATACGCCAAGGAAGTTGTCCGGGCGGATTTCGAAGAGCCGGGCGATGAAGATGTCTTTCGCAAGATCCGCGGAGACTTCGACACTAACAACATCGACCAGTCCGACCATCAGATTCGCCGCAACATGGATGAACTGATGGCAACCGCCATCGAACAGCTCCAGAACGAAGGCTGATACGGCCCTCGATCGTCATTTTGGAATTCGAACGCCCGCCGGAAACGGTGGGCGTTTTTAGCTTTGCTCTTTGGTCAGATGAATGCTGGCTTGGTTTGTCAGTTCCGGTCCATTCTGTGGCAGGTTCCTTGCCGCCAGACTTCATATCCTTGTGGCCTGTACTGTACGTAGCTGTAGTTTAACGTGACGACCTTTTCTTGCCATCTGCCATCCAGAAACCTAAGGCTGTGATAAACTTCTTTCCCGGCATTTGTGGTCCATGAAGTCACACCGCACTCGTTTCCATTCAGCTCTGCAAGAACCTTTTCAATTGCTGTAATTACCGGGATGTCAGATCTAGAACAGCTTTCAGTCAATATCAGCGGCTGCCTCTTCGAAATGAGCGCTTCTATCCTATTGTTGTTGGCATCTGAGGGAGTAACCTGCTGCAATTCGAATGTTATTTTTTGCTCAGGTGCAGGTCGAATATTTCCGAATAGGATATTCATATCTACACCCGGCTGCAGCAGAAACACCGTTTCGTCGGTGCAGCGATACCGGATTTCTTCGGCCGATAGCTCTGTAACGCACAGGATTTTGATGAAGAGAACTGAAAATGAGGCTGTCTGGAAACGCATGATTTCAGCTGTGTATCTAAGTGTCGAATGAATCCTCAACTGCTTTTTTCTCGACGCAATCCTGCAAAGATCGATAGCTAACCCAGCGAGGTTACATTCAGATTGGGTGTCTTTCATTGGAAAGTTTGATCATTGAAAACATGAAAACAACAAAAGCAAAACTGTTCCTTGGTGTCGATCACAATTCACAGAAGGTGACATTCCTTTTTCCAAAAGATGGAATCGACTTTGCGGTGTCACTGGTGAGACGGATTGAGGATGGAAGCAAGACCGCCTACTTCGAAATGCAGATCCGTGGCAGCAGCTTCATTTTGCAATGCCAGGAAGCTGGTTGTTTCCTGCAGATCTTTCTTCAATCAGAGGTTCTGGAAGGATGGTGCACCGCTGTTGATGACGAATTTCCAGTTGGAGAGTTGAGCACAGAGGAAGACGAACTTGTTGTGCCTTGCTACGAAGAAGAAGATGCTCCGATAGTAACTCATTTCCGGTTAATAGGTATAGAGGGGGCATGGATTTCCCGTCTGCTGCTGATCAGCAAAGAACACGCCTTACTCGCCATGAAACAAATCTACTTATTTGAACGCACGGGGACCTGGAGCAACAATCGCAAATGGGTAAATCTGGGGTTGATGTAGTTTTCTGAGCTATATCTTACTTTATTGCACTTTCAGGAGTGGATTGACTTCGGCGACTTTCATTTCTTCCGGCGTACGCTAACGTCGGGGCTGCGAATTCTCAGCCGTCCCGACACACAAGAATTTAGTTGGATACTTATCTTATGAAAATTCCAGAATACAAAATTGAACTGGTTCCGCGCTCTGATCAAGCCGAAAGGTCCCAGGGTTTTGCATGGGCGGATCCGGAAATTGGCATACGTTCCAAGATCGGAGGGGAGCCAGACTTCATTCAAGGTCAGGAAATCCCCAGTTGTCCGGGTTGTGGCAACCGGATGTCATTCTTCTCACAGATCGATTCGATTGGTGACGAATTGTCATTTGCCGATGTTGGAATTCTCTACACCTTTGTCTGCTTTGGCTGTTTCGAAGCCGAAAGCGTCATTCAAAGCGGGTAGGGATTCGGTTTTTGGCTAAAGGTAGAAAGAACAATCAGCCGCATTCGCAATTTTGAACCCTAGTGTATTGAAACCACTCGAGAATTCATATTCATACGGCCCGAAACAAAGGTTCAAGCAGAAATGCATTGGATAAGGTCTGCCCGTCGGTTCGGGATTCAGATTAGACGGGCGAAGGACTTGCGACTTGCGTTCGCTGCCGATTTGATGGCGGCAGACTGAGGGAGATCGATCGTGACAGACAAATCCATTCTTGCTGACAAGCTGCGTTCCGGACAACCGGTCGTGACAGGGTGGTGCCTGTTGTCCGCGCCCATGGTTCCGGAGCTGTTTGCGCGTGCAGGATACGAGGCGGTCACGCTGGATCTGCAACACGGCATGTTCGATTTCGAAGCGGCCGTCGATTCCCTCGGGCTGATCGCACTGGGCGGGGCGCACCGGATTGCCCGCATTCCGGTCGCGGACAATGCGCTTGCTGGCCGTCTAATCGACATGGGGGCGGAATGCATTATCGCCCCGATGATCAATTCCAGGGAAGAGGCAGAGCAGTTTGCCCGGGCAATGAAGTACCCGCCAATGGGCGAGCGGAGCTGGTCACCACGCCGTGCCGCAATGCTTTCCGGTCAGACCGATCACGAGTATCTGACGAACTCAAATTCCCAGACGCTTGCCCTTGCCATGATCGAAACGCAGGAGGCGATCGAGGCACTTGACGATATCCTGTCTGTGCCGGAGCTGGATGGTATCTTTGTCGGCCCAAGCGATCTGTCGCTGTCACTTTCGAAGGGAACTGCCCTCGATCCGAACGGGCCGGAGACCGCCCGCGCCTGTGCTGATATTGCCAGCAAAGCTAAGGCAGCCGGCAAGATCGCCGGGATATTCTGTCTCAGTGCCGAAAAGGTTGAAGAGGCTGTCGCGCAAGGTTACAGGCTGTTGTCCTACGGGATCGACACCGTCTTTATCGACGGGGCCGCACGCACCGCTCTTGGTGAAACCGCCTGGACGAAGGACAAGGCTGGCACCGGGATCGGCTACTGATTTGCCCTTTGATGCGGAATGCTTGATTTACGTCAATGTGACAGGTTTCGAAACTTCGCAAACAGGTAATCATCCCTTGCGACGGTTTTGGAACCTGGCGTAACGCCAAGCTTCCGGACGGAAGGCCGCCGCTTTCCCGGAAGGAAGGCATCATGTGGAAACTGTCGATTATCCTGTTCATCATTATCGGCCCGACATTGGCGGGTATCGGTGCGCTGGTGCCGCTCAGCATCTTTGGGGCCGCTGATTTCGACCCGCTCCTGTTGATCAGCGCAGCGGCTGCCGGAGGGCTGGTTGCAATGCCTGTCAGCTATCTTGTCGCAAAACGCATTGGCAACCTGATGAATTCAAGCCCTTCGACGCAGTGGTAGTCGGAGGCATTCAAGCTTGGGGCCGTTTGCTGCGGCAAGAGGGCACACTTGGATTCCGCCAATGTGCCATGCATGTGAGTGTACAGACAATCATATCAATGAATTCGCGAGGTTGAATGACCGCTTGGGAACAAGCGGGTCTTCGGGAGGGAGCCGCCGCCATTTTCCAAGGGAGTTCATCATGAGAAATCCGGCGTTCTATCTGTTTGTCATCTGGGCAGGTCTGGTGGCCATTGCCGCTTTTGCCGTGTCAGGTATCTATCGTGTCGATGAAGTCATTGCGCTTGCCGTTGTCGCCGGCACGACGGGCGCAGTGTTTCTCGCCGGATCCATCTTCCAGCGGACAACCGGAAGCACCCAGCATCCGGAGGCAGATGGCGCTTCGGCAGCGTTTTGAAGGCGATCACACGGAATTCCCACCTGTCGATTGCTACAGGCGATGTTTCATTCAGCCCAGACGCTTCATGAAATGTGCGAAGGACATCATGCCTTCTGGCCAGGGGCCGTGGCCGCTTTCCAGATTGATGTGACCTGCTTCGCCGGCGTCCTGAAAGGTCGCGCCCCATGCGGTTGCCAGTTCCTGAGCACGCTCATGGTCACAATAGGGATCGTTCCTGCTGGCAACGACGTGGGCAGGGAAGGGCAGCGGTTCGCGCGGGACAGGCTTGAAGTCACCGCCGTCGAATTCCTTGACCAGTCCGTCGCGGTCCCAGTCTGAAGGTGCCACGAGATAGGCCCCCTTGACCTTGTCCTTGAGCACGTGCGTTCCGTGAGCAACCAGGATGCAGCCCAGAGAATGGGCCACCAGAACGACGGGGCGCTCGGCGGCTTCGATTTCTTTGACAAGGGTTTCCAGCCACTCGTTTTTTTCGGGAGCGTGGAGTTCCGCCTGCTTGACGACACGGGCGGTCGGCATCTTGTCGCTCCAGCGCAGGATCCAGTGCCCCGGAAGAGGTTTGCCGTAGCCGGGGATAAGCAGGATGTCCGTCTCAGAAATTTTCATGATGAACCCTTGATATTGTCCGGTCAGGAGAGCGGGCCGAAAAAACCGAGCTTCAGTGCCCGGGCCCATCCGGGACGTCCGTTCCTGTCGGCCTCCCGGCTTGCCGTCTCCCAGTCATAGTCAACCATCTTGTCTTCAAAGGTCCAGTTTTCCGCCGCTCTTGTCATGATTGCATAGCGTGCCTGTGGATTTCCCATGGCCATGGTTTTTCGAAGCGGATGGTTTTCGTCATAAGAAGGAAAGCCGACGCTTCCGGGATTGACGACAGTCTGGCCAGTGGATGGTAGCCGGATAACCCGCGGAATGTGTGTATGTCCGCAGCAGATGATCGGAGACTTCTCTCCTTTGAGCTCTTCAAGAAGCGTCGCTTCACCCGGTAGATGTCCCTTCGGACCCTCGACCATTTCGCTCAGGTAACGGTCGTCATCATCCGGGGTCCCATGACACAGGAAGACTTCTTCCGTCAGTCGGATCGTTGGTTGGACCGTTTTGAGCCAGGCCATGTTTTCCGGCGACAACCTTTCGGCGGCAAACCGGTCAGTCGGACCCATTGTTTCTATCGGGTCGTCGGTAACGAACCTGTCGTGGTTGCCACGCACTGTCGGCCAGTTCGTCTCCCTCAGGATCGTGGCTGTTTCTTCCGGCCAGAGTGGCCCGGCAACACAATCGCCGAGATTGACGACCACGTCCGGGCTTTCCCGCTTGAGGTTGTCCAGAACAGCCTCCAGCGCCGGGAGATTGCCGTGAATGTCGGACACAACTGCGATCTTCATCAAATGCTCCGGCCAACTAACGTCTAAATCACTGAAGAATCGGCCCAGGCAATCGGTGCAAAACCGGATTACCAGCGCAATCCCGATCTCGACCCTGGACTTTTTTCCAGTCGCCGCTCTTGCTTCCGGCTCTGGTCATGGACGGGTCCGGGCAAGACAACACGGCAACACCGGGAACGCTTCAGCTCTCACCAAACACACGATTGAAAATCACGTCCACGTTCTTGGTGTGATAGCCAAGATCGAAACGGTCGCGGATTTCCTGTTCGGACAGATATTTGCGTACATCCTCGTCTGTGAGCAGTTCGGTCAGGAAATCCACTGAAGCCGAGCCGGCGACCTGGTAACTGTCCCAGACTTTCATGGCATTGCGCTGGACGAGCCGGTAGGCGTCCTCACGCGAGGAGCCTGCCTGCGTCAGGGCCAGCAGGATGCGTTGCGAGTGAACAAGACCTCCCAGACGGTCCATGTTGCCGACCATACGCTCCGGATAGACCATCAGCTTGTCGATAACACCCGTCAGCCGGACGAGGGCAAAGTCCAGCGTCACCGTGGCGTCAGGGCCGATCATGCGTTCGACGGAGGAATGCGAGATATCACGTTCATGCCAGAGGGCGACATTTTCCATGGCAGGGATCGCATAACCGCGCACGAGACGCGCCAGGCCTGTCAGGTTCTCGGTCAGGATCGGGTTCCGTTTGTGCGGCATTGCCGAAGATCCTTTCTGGCCTTTGGAGAAAAACTCCTCGGCTTCAAGGACTTCCGTGCGCTGAAGGTGGCGAACTTCTGTCGCAACCCGCTCGATGGAGGATGCGATGACGCCAAGCGTTGCAAAGTACATCGCGTGCCGATCGCGCGGGATCACCTGGGTGGAGACGGGCTCGGCGGCAAGGCCCATGGCTTTGGCGACATGTTCTTCAACACGCGGGTCGATATTCGCAAACGTGCCGACGGCACCGGAAATCGCGCAGGTTGCGATTTCCTCGCGCGCTGCAAGCAAACGGGTTCTGCAGCGATCGAACTCGGCATAGGCCTCGGCCATCTTCAGTCCGAAAGTGACCGGCTCGGCGTGAATGCCATGGGACCGTCCGATGCAGACGGTGTCCTTGTGTTCCATCGCGCGCCGTTTGAGCGCTGCCAACAAAGCGTCCATGTCGTCGAGAAGAAGATCGGTGGCCTTGACCAGCTGAACATTGAAGCAAGTGTCAAGAACATCCGATGACGTCATGCCCTGGTGGACAAAGCGGGCGTCCGGACCGACTATTTCAGCCAGATGCGTCAAAAAGGCGATGACATCATGCTTGGTCTCACGTTCGATCTCGTCGATGCGATCGATGTCGAAAGTGGCATTACCGCCCTTTTCCCAGATCGTCGCCGCCGCTTCCTTCGGGATGACGCCGAGCTCGGCAAGCGCATCGCAGGCATGGGCCTCGATCTCGAACCAGATGCGGAATTTGGATTCCGGAGACCAGATGGAAACCATGTCGGGGCGGGAATAGCGCGGAATCATCGCGGGCAGAACCTCTTTTTCAGGGAATTTCTGGCTGCGGAATAGCAGAGGGGCGCGCGGCCTTCAATGCGGCGAAGCGCTTTTTGCTTGCGAGCAGCACAAACAACGTGAAATTTATGTCGACGGTTCCCGGAACACAGCCTTCACGGAGATCTTTATGCCGATCTGGCGTCCCGCAAACACAATTCGGGTCAAGGCGCTTGCCCTGATCTGGCAGGATGATGCGTTGCTCCTGTCCGACGTCCAGGATGACACCGGTCGCGTAACCGGAATGCGACCGCTTGGTGGAACCATCGAGTTCGGGGAGCCCTGGCGAGATGCCCTGCAAAGGGAATTTCTGGAAGAACTCGGTGCGCGGCTGACGCTGCTCGAAAACTATTTCGTTCTTGAAAATCTCTATGAGCACCATGGCGTGCAGGGACATGAAATCGTCTTCCTGTGTCACGCCCATTTCGCCGATAACAGCTTTTACCGAAGGGACAGTATGGCCTTTGAGGAGAGTGACGAGACGGATGGACTGGCCAAATGGGTGTCATTGGCAGAGCTTGAGGCCAAGGGACTGGATCTTTATCCCGGCGGTTTGAGAGAAAAACTCTCAATTGCTGATGTCGTCTCGCGCCCGACAGCCTATCTCAGCTAGAGTTTGTCGAGTTTAATCTGGCCCGGACAGGACAAATTCGCCAAAGAGGATCTTCACCGGCTCAATCCCGTTTGAATTCCGGCTTTTCCACGGGAGCGTCTTCGACGGTGTCATACTCGCCGATCTCATCGAGCTCCTCTTCCGCAAGATAGCGGTCGAACTTGCCTTTTGGCAGACTGAGACGGTTTGCCAGGAAATAGACACCCGTGGCAAGGACAGCCACGGCAAGAATATCCGGCCCGAGCGGGATAACGTCGGACCCACCACCAAAGGATCCAAGGTAGGACAGAAGAACGAGACCGCCAAGATAGGGCGCAAGCCACATCGCCTCGCGCCAGTCCAGGCTGTCAAAGCCGCCCTGGGAATTCCTCACCACCAGGAGGACAAGCCCGACAAGAAGACAAATCCCGAGGTGGATCATCGTATCCCAGCCACTCCAGTAGATGATCAGACTGGCGACGACGAATGCAAGACAGCCGGTCACTGGAGCTGCAGGCAATACAAAGGCTCTTGGCGTGTCCGGCAGCAGGCGCCGGAATGCGAGAACCGCGATGGGACCGACAACAAAAGACAGCACGATGGACGACGTGTTCAGCGCAAGCACTTCCTTGAAGGGCAGCAGCACAAAGAAAATGGCGGCGACCACGAAATTCACGAAGAGAGCGAACAGGGGTACGCCACGCTCAGACAGCGTTTCCATGAATTTCGGGAAGAGACCATTTTGTGCCATTGCCAGTCCGAGGCGGGCATTTGAGCCGACGGAGACCAGGCCAGAAGCAAAGCTGGATATCCGGGCGCTGGTGTCCAGGATGCTGACAATCCAGAGCGCGCCGACGGCGGTTGCAAGCGAGGCCATCGGACCGAGATCGCCGGAAAAATGAAGTTCCGGCCAGCCTTTTTCCAGATCGGAGTGATCCAGGGCCCCCAAGAAGGCCAGTTGCAGCCCCCCGTAGATGACCAGGCTGATAACAAGACTGAGAACAAGGGCGAGCGGCACATTGACTTTCGGATTGCGGGCTTCTCCGGCCATGTCGATAACGTGCCGGAAGCCGATGAGGGCGAATATCACGCCTCCGGTGGAAATGGCCGACAATATGCCCTTTAAGCCCTCCGGCGCGAAACCGCCGTAGTCGCTGAAATTGGCGTAGCGGAATTCGGATGTGAGGATAACGGCAGCAAGCAGCGCCGGAACGACGATTTTCACCCACGTCAGTGCCGTGTTGATGCGCGCAAAGTATTTCACGCCGAAAGCATTCACCACTGTGAACACCAGTAGCAGCAGGCAGGCGACTGCCAGCCCGCCGGCGGACATCTTGCCGTCCGGTAGATAGAGCCAGGGGGCGAGGGTCTTTGAATATCGCAGAACCGCTTCGACTTCGATGGTCGCGGTGGTGTTGTAACCGATCCAGGCCGTCCAGCCCATTGTCATTGAGACTACCGAACCGTGCGAGAAATGCGGCACGCGCCCGATACCTCCCGCAACCGGCAGGATCGCTGCTATTTCAGCGAAGGTTGCTGCCAGAAGCAGCATGGCAAAGCCGCCGATCACCCATGCGACCAGGGCGGAGGGACCTGCCGCCTGGGCCGCGAGAAGGGGGGCGAACAGCCAACCGGAGCCGAGAATGCCGCTAATGGCGACAAAGGTCAGACTCAGCAATCCGATACTGCGATGCATATGTGCCAATGTGTCCCCCACAACCTGTTCCCGAGCATCAGGCCAGACCTTAGCCGAGTGAGGGTCTTTACGGGAAGACGGGATTTGGCTTTGTGAAGGGGAAGTTCATTGGATCAGCAGGGACAACAGGACAAGCACCGGTTTAAGGCGACCAGTGTGAAACAGTATTGTCGCGTACTAGGTCGCCAGCACAAGTGCTGCCTTGTCTGATTTCGACAGATCCAGTTTTTCGCGCCGAACGGTCGTTGAAAACACATTCCTTATGTCGCGTTTGAATATTTCGAATTTGACGTAACCCAGATTTTCAAGAAAGGAGATTAATTCAATCCCCTTGCTGTCGCTGAGTATTTCACAGAGCAAGGGTATCCTGAATTCAGAAAGCGTCGACGCGCCGCCTTTGATGACGCTTGTCTCGTGGCCCTCGACATCAATCTTGATCAACCTGATGTTCCTGGCATTGATATCGTGGGATTTTACGAAGGAATCCAGCGTTGTGCATTCTATGTCGGTTCGGTCCACCGCAATGTCATGATGCTGCGCATCGAGTGTTGCCCAGCCCAGGTTGCCGTTTTGCGGGACAAAGATCGGCACCTGTCCCTCTTCGCTCGAGAGCGCCTTGTTTATTGCCTTGATGTTTCTTGCCCCTGTCAGCACGAAATTCGCCTTCAGTATTTCGTAGGTCACGGGGTTCGGTTCAAACGAGTAGACCTGCGCGAAATAGTCCCGAAGCAGAATGGAATACACGCCGATGTTGCCACCAACGTCGAGAAAAATTGCGTTCGGGTCGGGAGGGAAATCGTCAAGATAATCAAGGACGCCATCCAACTGCGTTTGTTCAAAACTTCCGGTGCTGAACAAACGCATTCCGATGACGTCGTTGATTGGAACACATATGTGCGTGAAGCCGTTTCTTCGCAATGCACGGTTCCGCATGGCTTCGGCTATCGAATAAAGGCCGCGATCGATCAGAAGGCTGGATAAATTTCTCTTGCGCAACATTTTCGCCCGGCGTCTGTCTCGAAGTATCGAGGTGTCAAGCGCGTGAGCTTGTCTGAACAGGCTTTCAAAACATATAAACGGAAAGAATAATTCCAGTCCTTGCCCGAAATGGTCACCAAAGTCTTAAATCCGTCTGTCGAGACAGTTGTCGTTCGTCACGATGCAACAGCGCTGCGGATGGCCGAAATGTTGGATGCGTAGCTCTCGACTGTACTGCCCTTGAAGATGGCGGAGCCAGCTACAAGCACATTGGCGCCGGCGGCAGCGACCAGCGGTGCCGTTTCCGGTGTTACACCGCCATCGATCTCGAGATCGATCGGGCGATCGCCGATCATGTCGCGGATACGACGTGTCTTTTCGATCTGCGAATGAATGAATTTCTGGCCACCGAAGCCCGGATTGACCGTCATCACAAGGATCAGGTCCAGGCGGTCCATCACGTATTCCAGAACCGTTTCGGGGGTTGAGGGGTTGAGTGACACGCCGGCCTTTTTTCCCAGGCTGCGTATGGCCTGCAGGGTCCGGTCCAGATGAGTTGTGGCCTCTGCGTGGATCGTAATGATGTCTGATCCGGCCTTGGCAAAAGCCTCCAGGTAAGGATCGCAGGGCTCGATCATCAAGTGTGTGTCGAAAACTCGGTCAGTGTGAGGACGGAGCTTCGAAATGACGTCTGCACCGAACGTGATGTTCGGGACAAAGTGACCGTCCATGACGTCGAGGTGGATCCAGTCGGCGCCGGCTTCAATCACATCGCGAATTTCCTGGCCCAGTTTGGAAAAGTCCGAGGCGAGGATGGAGGGGGCGATTTTGATGTCGCGCGGCATGAGAGGCTCCCGAAAATGTGCTGCCGGAGCGACAGAGAAACCGCGCCGGCCAAGTTGCCTGCGCGGCTAACATGGCCGGGCGACAGTTTCAATTGTTTTCCGGCGTTGAACGGAAGGTGGCCACCTGTCAATGGCGTTGTCCCGGGATTTGAAGAGAACCTTGGCCATCGTGCCATTCTGGCCTCGCTACCGGGTCACCTGCTTGGGAACGTACTTGCGATCGGATTTCCGTTCAGGAACTGGAGCGTTTTCACAGTCGTCCGGTGATTGCCAGATATCTCCGGTCCGGTCCTTCAAAGCCGAGGCTTTCCATCTGAATCAAGATGGCGAACACCGGCGGGGCCTGGTCAGGATAGTAGGTGAAAAAACGCTCGATCCGGTAGGCAAAGGGGCAGCGGCGGCTGTCGGGTACAGTTGTATCGTCGTTCAGAGTTCGGGTAACTCCATTGTTCACCATTGTCAGCCGGAAACCCTTTGCGTTGACGTCATATCCGGCACATTCGGAGTTTTTCAACGGATATTCGGTCAGCGTCAGTTCGATCGAGGTTTCACCGGCAACGAGTGGAAGTCTGGGTGCAACAACCATCTTGTAAGGATTGGCGGTCAACTCGGTCGGTGGATTGAATGCGACTGTTTTTCCCTTGCCGAATATACCCTTGTCCTGCAGCAGCGACCGGGCGGCTTCCTGGTTGCGTTCCCGTGTTTCATTCAGAACCTGCTCTTCGTCGTACCAGTTGGTCTCGTCCACCTCGTCAAGGCGGCGAAAGGGGGAAGGCTTGACCCAGGCGTCGCCGATAACATCGAGGACAAAAATCTCGGAATAAGGGAAACCGGATCCATCCTGTGTTCCGTATTGCTCGAAGGCAAAAAAATCGCCGTGACTGGAAAACCCGTAGATCTCCGCCTCGGCGGTGTCTCCCGCACGGGCAGGATTGGCAAACGAGCCGGCAAGAACCAGAGCGGGAAGCAGGCCCGGGATCGACCTGATGGCAATTCTTGCAAGCGAAGACAGTAGTGGCATTGCGTTCTCCTTCGGCAACCGACCTGTTTGCCGAGACTAAAACACAACTTTCAGTGAATTCAGGTCTGTGATGTCACAGAATTCACGTTCAGGCGGCAGTACACGCGAACAAATGGTTTGAGGATCATCGGCAGCAGGTAAATCGGGAATTGTCCGACCGCGAACCAAAGCCACGTGAATTCCGGCAGCGTGCCGCCAAAGGCGGCTACCATCAAGCCCATGTTGCGCGTGCCGCATGTGTGGGCGATCGCATAGGCATCTTCCCGGGTTGCCGGTGCGAACAGGACAAGGGAAAGCCCAATCTGAACAAGTGCAAGACAGAATGTGAGTGCGGTGATGGCAAGTGTGTAGAGCGGCTTGGAGGCAAAACTCGCAGCAACACCATCCATGGCGGCAATTGCAAAAAAGAGCAGGAGAAGAACATTCAAGCCGCCGATGTGATGCGCACCGCGCATCAGGCGGTCCTTTCCAACAAGTTTTCTCGCTATCGCGGAAACAATGAACGCACCGGCAAGCAACAAGGACAGCTGCACGGCAAGACTTGCGACACTCAGGGGAAGGGCCTGGCCGAGCATCAGGCTTCCGACGAAAGGGGCGGTGAGTGGCGTGACTATCACGGCGGCGACTGAAACCGCCAGGCTCAGCGTCCCGTCCAGGCCGAGCAGGTAAATGAAGGCAGGGGCGGCCATCACCGGGGGAGCTGCGGTCGAGATGTAAAGCGCCAGGGCGACGTCAGGACCAAGGGCCGACAGGCCGGTGTATTTTATCAGGAGATACGTCAGGAGAGGCGCTCCGAGCATCATCCACAACAGAGCGGCGATCAGAATCGTGGGCCGTTTCAATCGACTCCTGATGGCGACCTGGTCGACGCGCAGGAATGCGAGCGTCAGGAGCAGGAATACGGCGACTGCCAGATAAGGTCGCAGATAGGCCGACAACGCCGGAAGGGCCATGCCGACAAAGACAGTCACGGCAAGGGCAGCGGTTCCGTGACGGCCAGTGAATGCCAAACCTGCCCCTAGCAGACGAATCATCTAGTGTTACTCCTGAAACTGCGAGGTGAGGCAGGTGCCTTGCGCTACTTATAGGAACCGGGACGCCGATGCCAGACACATTGGCCGCCCGACAAGTCGCTGGCACGGGCATGACAAGACAGGCAGGTCAACTCAGATCATTCGACGTTCTGGTTCTGGGTGCCGGAATAGTCGGGGTTTCGACGGCCATTCATTTGCGCCGGCTGGGTCTTGATGTGGCCCTGATCGACCGGAAGCATCCCGGTGTGGAAGCATCGTTCGGGAATGCGGGTATCGTCCAGTGCAATGGATTTGTCCCGCATGCGATCCCGTCTCGCCCCTCGCAGCTGATCGGAATAATGCTTGGGCAATCGAGTGCCGTTTCCTATGATTTTTCCACACTCGTCAGACTGTTTCCCTGGCTGCGCCAGTACCACGCCGCAAGCAGTGGCCGCGGTATCGAAACCTATTCGAGAGCGATTGCTCCGCTGAGAGCACTTGCCGCGCAGGATCATCTTGACCTGGCCGCTTCGACGCTGGCCGACAGATATTACCGCAAGGGCGGCTGGCTGCATCTCTACAGAGGTGAAGGCTCCTTTCGCCAAAGCGAGATAGAACGCCACTATGCGCGCGTGTTCGGGGTTGCTTACGAGGAACTTACAACAGAAGACACCAATGTGCTCGAGCCGGGCCTGAGCAACATGATTTTCAAGGCCGTCCACTGGACGGAGAGCTGCTCCGTTTCCAACCCGGGAGCAGTTGTCGACGCGTTCTGGCGCGGCTTTGTTCAGGACGGCGGGCATTCCATACGCGGCGACGCACGAAAACTGCAAAAGGGGCGAGGAGAGTGGAGCCTGGACAGCGAGCGCGGGACCATTACCGCACCCAATGTCGTTGTCGCGCTGGGCGCCTGGTCGTCGGACCTGCTTGCGGAGCTGGGAGAACATTATCCGCTCGTCTCGAAGCGCGGCTACCACATGCATTTTCAGCCCCGAACCGGAGCCTCACTTTCCAGGCCCGTCGTTGATGTCGAAAACGGCTTCGCCCTGACACCGACCGACAACGGAATTCGACTGACAACCGGCGTGGAACTGGTTGACCGCGATGCGCCGCCAAATCCGAATATTATCAAACTGACGAAGCGGCGGGCTTCGGAACTGTTTCCGCTTGGACAGGCGCTTCAAGACCAGCCCTGGCTGGGATCCCGTCCTTGTCTGCCGGACTCGCTTCCCGTCTGCGGGCAGTCGTCGAAAACATCCGGCCTCTGGTTGAATTTCGGTCATGGCCATGACGGTTTCACACTCGGCCCCGTAACCGGCCGGCTTCTGGCGGAGCAGATTGCCGGCAAGGAGAGTGTGCAGGACTTGACGGCGTTTTCACCGGCGCGGTTTCCGGTCTGAGCCTTAACGGGCGGCCTAAACCCGCCATGCGCCCCCGGTTTATGCGCATAAACTTTGGTTCATTCCGGGGTTTATAAGCCTTAGGGCAATAGCGAAATCAACATTCCCGGATCCAAATCGGGTCAAGCCGGTGAGTGGTTTGCCGGTGATCTGATCTCCAATCAGGACAAGGAATGTACACGATGAAAAAGACCTTCACCTCTTCAGCTCTCACGATTTTTTCCGTCTCGGGCCTCCTCGCCAGCATGGGTGTTGCCGCGGCTGCCGTTTCCCTCGGTGACAATCTCGGCACCACGGAAGATGACGTTCGCTCGGCTCTGACAAGCCAGGGTTACACCGTTGAGGAAGTCGAAACGGAAGACGGCAAACTGGAGGCGGAAGTCACTCTGGATGGCCAGGAGATGGAAGTTGTTGTCGACGCCAGTTCCGGCTTGGTTCTGGAAGTGGAACTCGAGGATGATGAAGACGGCGACAAAGACGACGACTGATCTCTGACTGGCGTTCGCATCGGCCCCGACCAGACCAGCCTGGTTCCACCGGTCGGGGCACTTGCAAACCTGCACTCAAAGAAATTGGTATAGTACTAACCGGTGAACAGGTTCTGTCCGGAAACAAAAGCGAAAGGGAATGTGCATGCCATCCTCGGAACGTTTGAAAACCACTTGGCCATGGCTGCTCGTCGGCTTGCAGGCGGTTTGCGTCCTGTTCCTGGTGGGTGAAGAATTTGCCGATCTGTTCTGGGGGGAAAACCCGGGCGGGGTCATCAATACCGACTTTCTCGAAAATCTGGTTATTTCGGTGTTGCTTGTCAGTCTCGTTGCATCCGGCCTGGAAGTCAGAAGGGTGATGACCAGGCAAAAGCGCCTGGAAAACCAGGTAAAGGCGGCGTCCGGCGAATTTGCCGGCATGCTTGAAGAACATTTCGAGGAATGGGCGCTGACACCGTCCGAGTGTGACGTTGCAATGCTATGCCTCAAGGGCTTTTCCATCGCCGAAATTGCAGGCATTCGAAAGACGGCCGAAGGGACTGTGAAGGCGCAATGCAACGCCATTTACCGGAAGGCAGGCGTGAGCGGGCGTCCGCAACTCCTGTCCCTTTTCCTGGACGAGCTTCTCTATGGAGCCGTTCTGGCCGATGGAATGACGAACAACGGGCAAAGTGAACGCAGATCCCGGCTTCTTAAGGTTCAGGCCTGAGACAGTCACGTCCGCCTTTTTGTGCCAAGCGCTCGCGATTGATGGAAAATCTTTAATTTGCAAGTCTCCTTCAAATACCCATTTCGCTTTGGGTAGCCGGCATTTTGCCGTCACGATCCTGGAGAAGAAAATGACCCATTCAAAAACCTGTCGCAGTGTGCAAACCGGTCTTCTGGCGTCTTCCATCCTGATTGGAACCGGCGCTGTCGCGATTGCACAAATCCAGACCGGGGACACGGTCGGTACCTCCGTTTCGCAAATAGCGCACAAGCTTGAGACCAGCGGCTACGACATTCGCGAGATCGAAGTGAAGAACAACCGCATCGAAGTCGACGTTCTGCTGGATGGCACCAAACTGGAAATCAAGGTCGATCCGCGCTCCGGCGAAGTGATCAGGGTCGAAATCGACTGAGCATGCTTTCACGGGCATCGTCTCATCGAATGTGAAACGATGCCGGCCGTTCGGCAGGGATGTCCCTAGTTTTCCCTGAGCGGCAGCGCAACGGTATCCTTGACCGTATTGACGACGATCCGCGACTGCACGTCCGATACCAGGGTGTTGTCCAGCAGCTTCAATCTCAGAAAGTTGTCATAGGTCTTGATGTCGTCGGTCACGACCTTGATCAGATAGTCAACAGCTCCCGTGATCCGTTCGCAGGTCACGACTTCAGGCCAGTGATGCACCAGCTTGTCGAAGGTTTCCATGTTGTCCCGGCTGGGAACCGCGAGCTTGACGAACGAATAGGCGACAAAACCAAGGCCGACCGATTCCCGGTCGATAATCGCCGTGATCTGCCGGATGATTCCTTGTTCTTTCAGCCGTTTGATCCTGCGCCAGCAAGGCGTCTGGCTCATTCCGGCTTCTTTTGCCACTTCCGCAATCGACAGCGATGCATCCCGCTGCAAGACTCGGAGAACACGTATGTCAGACGGGTCGAGAAGATATTTGTCGGTCATTGCCTATTTGGGGAAATTTTATGCGGTCTCTGGGTGATTACCCGTGACGATAGCACAGAATTTGCCCAAGAAAAGGATGATATTTATCTGACAGAGGCTGCAGCGGGGACGTGGCCGTCAGAATCGACGTTTCAGGAGGACGCCGGATGAATGTACATATGCCAACCGTTTCGCTGGAAGACAAATATGTTGCGAGCGAAGGACAGGTGTATCTGACAGGAATTCAGGCGCTGGTCAGACTCGCGCTCGACCAGGCGCGCCTGGACCACAGGGCAGGTCTGAAGACCGGAGGCTTCATTTCCGGTTATCGAGGTTCTCCGCTTGCCGGGTACGATACCGAACTGATGCGAGCCCAACGCCATCTCGACGCGTCCGACGTGGTCTTCAAACCCGGCGTCAATGAGGAACTCGGGGCGACCGCGGTCTGGGGTAGCCAGAAACTTCGGGGCGAGGGTGGTGTTGGCAGGCCGACTGAATATGACGGTGTCTTCGGCATCTGGTACGGAAAGGCCCCCGGTGTGGACCGGGCCGGCGATGTCCTGCGCCAGGCGAATGCATCTGGAACGGACCGGAATGGCGGCGTCCTTGCGCTTGCCGGAGACGATCATCTTGCCAAGTCGTCGATCCTTCCGGCTCAGAGTGAATTTTTCTTCGAACATGCCGAAATTCCGGTTCTCAATCCCGCAGATATTCAGGATGTGCTGGATTACGGCCTTCATGGACTGGAAATGTCGAGATTTACCAGTCTTTGGACCGCACTGATCTGTGTTGCCGACACAATGGACGCTTCCGCGACAATCAATGTTTCACAGGACCGGTTGCGGCTTATGCGTCCGCTGGACGATGATCCACGCAAGGACTATCGCCAGAATCGCGATCTGTTGCTTGGCAACCGTTTGGAAACCGAGCGCTTGGTCCGGGACCTCCGCATTCCGGCAGCCCAGAATTATGTTCGTACCAACGGCCTCGACCGCGTGACCTTCGGCACGCGAGGCCAGGTCAAACTTGGCATCGTTGCCGCCGGCAAGGCTTACCGCGACCTGTTGCAGGCCCTTCACCTGATGGGCATCACCGAAGACTTCGCCAGGTCTCTTGGTCTGGCGGTTTACAAGGTTGCGATGACCTGGCCGCTTGAACCATTTGGGCTACGGGAGTTTGCGCGCGGCGCAGAACGCTTGCTTGTCGTTGAACACAAGCGCGCCTTCATGGAAAGACAGATCAAGGATATCTCCTATCACTGGCCGGAAATGAGCCGTCCGGAAGTCTGGGGCAAGCGGCGCCCGGACGGTGCACCGTTCCTGTCCGATGTACTGGAACTTTCGGTGGCCGAATTGATCAAGGGGCTGATGACCTGGTTGCCCCAGGAAATTGTTTCGGAAGAAATGGGCGCCGTCGCCGACCGGATGACCAAGCAGGTCATGTGGGCGCAGGGGCATGCCGAACGGGCTGCCCGCATCCCGTATTTCTGCTCCGGATGTCCGCATTCAACATCGACCAAGACACCCGAGGGATCGCGCTCTATGCCCGGCATCGGCTGTCACGCGATGACCGAAATGGCTGGCCGGACGACGGAAGGTCAGATCGCAATGGGCGGCGAGGGCATTCTGTGGGTCGGGCAACAGCCATTCTCCGGTGACAGTCATGTGTTTGCCAATGTCGGCGACGGAACGTATTTCCATTCCGGCATCCTGGCGATCCGTCAGGCACTCGCGTCCAAAGTACCGATAACCTACAAGATCCTCTACAACGACGCCGTTGCGATGACCGGCGGACAGAAAGTCGACGGTCAGTTGAGCGTTCCGCAGATTACCCGGCAGCTGGAAGCCGAAGGCGTTGAACGGATCGCAGTGGTTTCCGAGAACCCGGAGGCATTCGGCACCTGGACACCTGTTGCACCTGGGACGACAATCCACCACCGGGACGAACTGATGGATGTCCAGCAGGATTTTCAGTCGTTCAAAGGTGTGTCGGTCATCGTCTACGACCAGACCTGCGCTGCGGAGAAGCGTCGCCGGCGCAAGCGCGGCCAGCTTCCGGATCCCGATAAGCGGCTTTTCATAAACGACCGGGTTTGCGAAGGGTGCGGAGACTGTTCGGATCAGTCGAATTGTCTGTCTGTTGAACCACTGTCGACGCCTTTCGGCGAAAAGCGGGTGATCAACCAGTCAAGCTGCAACAAGGACTTTTCCTGCATCAAGGGGTTCTGTCCGTCCTTTGTGGAAATCGATGGCGCAGCCCTTAGAAAGCCCAAGAAGGCCGATATCGATATCGATGTTCTGGCCGCAGAATTGGCTCAGCCGGTGCTTGCCTCTCTGAAGGAAACCCGGAATGCTCTGGTTGCGGGTATCGGCGGGATGGGTGTAACCACGATCAGTGCGGTTCTGGCCATGGCTGCTCACGTTGATGGCAAGCAAGCGTCGACGCTGGATATGACCGGGCTTGCACAAAAGGGCGGGCCGGTAACATCACATGTCCGCTTTGCCGCCAGCGACAAATCAATCGAGGGCCCCCGCGTGCCGACGGCAAGCCTGGATCTTCTGATTGCCAGCGATATGGTGGTTGCCACCAACGCGGATCAACTGGCTCTGGCGCGCCGGGGCCACACACTGACAGTTGCCAACACCAAAGTGGCACCGACGGCGGAGTTCGTTCTCAAGCAAACGCTATCCTTCGACGAAAAGCGCATGGACACGGCTCTGCGTGAAGCCTCTGGCAGTTATCTGGCGATGAATGCGGCGGAAATCGCCGAAAAGCTTTTGGGCGATGCGATATACGCCAATATGCTGCTCGTCGGCATGGCTTACCAGAGCGGTGCGTTACCGATTTCCGGTCATGCAATTGAAACTGCTCTTGAGCTGAACGGCGCGGCTGTTGCCAACAACATCAAGGCTTTCCGGGCCGGACGAGTGCTTGCGGCGGCGCCGGATAAGCTGCTGAATGCACTGCCATCGGAGGCTAAACAGCAGACTCTCACCTTGAGCGAGAAAATCGCGCTGAATGAAAGGGAACTCGTATCCTACCAGGACGCGGCGTATGCAGCCGGTTATCGTGATCTTGTTGAGAAAGTGAAGGCCGCCGACGAAGAACACGGATCTGGAACCTTGCGGTTGACGCAAACCGTTGCCGACATGCTCTACAAGGTTCTTGCCTACAAGGATGAGTATGAAGTCGCCCGGCTTTATTCCGATCCGTCCTTCAAGCAGAAGGTCGCACAGCGATTCGAGGATCCGAGAAAGATCAGGGTTCATCTTGCACCGCCCATGCTGGCGCACCGCAAGGATCCGAAAACCGGCCGCCCGGAGAAGATTGCCTTTGGTCCCTGGATTCTCGCAGCCTTCGGTCTACTTGCGAAATTCAAGACAGCGCGGGGCAAGTGGTATGACCCCTTTGGCCGGACGGCCGAGCGCAAGGCTGAACGTGACCTGATTTCTCAGTACAGGTCCGATATCGCGGAAATCCTGAACCGACTGCCGGATGGAAACTACGGTCTGCTGGTCGAGCTGGCACGTGTTCCGGACCTTGTTCGGGGATTCGGGCCTGTGAAGGAAGCCAATCTCAAGAAGGCCGCTGAAAAGCGGCGCGTTCTCCTGGATCAGCTGAATTCGAGCGGAAGCGGTGGCGGCGTTCGCAGTGAAGCTGCGAACGAGTTTCTGGAAGCGGCTGAGTAACTGACGCGACCGGATCGCGTATCTGAACCGGCGCCTCGGCGCCGGTTTCTTGCGGTGGCAAATCGATTGCTTATCCAGGGTCAATCCGGTGATTGTTTCAAAACCAGGTTCGGGTTTCGAAGCGTGCCGGCACGCGGCGAAATTTTTCCCGCACTCTGGCGTCTTCGTCCGCAACGATGTCGTCCAGCAACTCTTCCGGGATGAGGCGCAGGGATCTGCGGTGCCGGCGGAACGCGAACCATGCAAACAACATTTCGAATACAGAGGTCACGGGCCTGTTTGCGTGAATGGATTTGCCACGATGTGACGTTGAAAAGGGAACTACCTTGGGCATTGTCTCCTCCATAAAAAAACAGTTCTCTTATTTTATTGGGGAGTGTGCGCTGATTTTCAATAAAGAAAGAAAAATATTTTTAAATTAAGTTGTCATTCTTGAAATCCGTCGATTCGATCATTGGGAAAATGAAGGTGCGAGCACGACAAGGCGTGTCGAGGGATTCAAAGGCTAAAATACCGCGGAATGCAGAAATTACGCAAAATGCAAATCCAAAAGGGTTTACGAAGTCATGAAAAAGCTTTCTGGATTCGGGGCAAATTCGCAGATGCAACAAACTTTTTTCGAACGAATTTACAATTTTTTTCCTTTGTATGCATCGCTGCGACTATGGGAGTTTCGCGCTAAATTCTTTATATTTTTCAGATTCTTAATATCACTGGCAGCCAACAAATTATAATTTTCAGTAAATTTTTCACAAAGACAATTACATTTCAGACAAAGGTTTTGGGGGCTTCTTTAATTCTCCTCGCCATTTTCGATACCGACGCCCAAGGACAAATTTGAGAATTGGTATCAAAGCATGAGTGAAGCGTTGAAAACAGAACTGGTGAACTTTTCGGAGCTTACCGGGGAAGCTGGAAACGCCCGCAAGGCGGAACTGGCCCGGCATGTTGCAGCCCTTTTTGCGTTGACGTCAGAGCGTTGCTCGGATGAACAGGTCGGAATTTACGACTCGGTACTGTTTCGCCTCGTGGACATGGTGGAGGCGGAGGTTCGGCGATATGTTGCCGACCAGATGTCCGGTCTCAGACGCGGACCCCTGGATACCATTCGCCGCCTTGCCGACGATGATATCGAGGTCGCCGAACCGATCCTGGTCCGCTCGACCATTTTGAGCGACGAAGATCTGATCAAGATTGCCGAAAAGCGGGGGAACTCTCACTGCTACGCGATTGCGCAACGCGAGGCTCTCTCTGAAAATGTGACCGATGTCCTGGTGCAACAGGGAGACCTGAATGTGAAGCGCAAGGTCGCCAGCAACGATGGTGCAAACCTTTCGGACAATTCCATTCACTGTCTGATCAGCGATGCCGCTTCAGACGCCACACTTCAAAACTTTCTGAGCGACCGCGGCGACCTTGCGGAAGCGCACATAGCAAGTCTGGTCACCATCGCCAGCGAAGAAGTCCGCAGAAAACTGCACCAATCCGGTCGCACCGAAGAAGCCGAACTTGTTGATGAGGCTGCCGACATAGCAGCGCAGCACATGTCCAACAACTACTGGCTTGGCCGGTATGATTTTGAAGCTGCCAAGTCCCGGGTTTTGTTGCTTGCAAAACGTGGAATGGTCAACGAGGCGGCGCTGCGCCGTTTCGCATCCGAAGATCGTTTTGCCGAGGCCGTCGCCACAATCGCGCTGATGGTGCGTGGTGATGTGGAGGAAATCAGCCATTGCATGGTGAGCCCCAATCCCGAGCCGTTCATTGTTCTTGCCAAGGCTTGCGGTTTCTCCGCAATATCTGTTGGCGCACTCCTTGCCATCGGGCCATGGCGCCACCGCCTTACGCCTGAAGTCCGCAGTGCTGCAGTGGCGCAATTCGGCCGACTGACGGTCGCGGAGGCAAAACGCAAGATGGCGCACTGGAACCAGAACGTCCTGAGCTGATCTTTATTCTTTCCCCATGAGGACGAAACAAAGGCCCGGTTTGCCACCGGGCCTTTGTTTCGTCTGCCCGATCGATGCAGATGACCAGCTTTCTTTTAAATTCCCCGGAACCGTGCTTAACAGGGGCAAGGCAAAAAACGCGACTCGCATGGGGCTGAAATGCAAGCACAACTTAACCATTCCCGACACTGGCTGTTTCGGCTTTCCGTGGGGCGCCTTTGCGTCAGCGCAGCGATGGTGCTGTTTCTCCTGGTGTCGGGGGCAGGTTTCGGTCAGCCCACGGTGCAGGCACAGGGATTGACCAGCGTCATCACGGGCATGGCTGCGGGCGACGATGCGGATAAATCCGATACGGAGGGGTCAAAGACAGCCTCGGAAGAGACGCCGGCTGAGCAAAGCGCCTTGGCGGACGAGGGTGAAGGTGCTGGGTTCGTTCAGGACGTCGACGTGTTTGTCGACCAGGCCATTTCAGCGCGTGACGTCTTCAAGGACATCCTGAAGGAAATTCCCGTCATTCACGAAACGATGCTCACGACGCTCAAGGCAGAAGGGGAAGACAGGGGCCTGGGGTGGATTCCGGTTGCCCTTATCGACATTGCGGCAGGGGTCATCTTCGGTGTTCTTGCCATGACACTTCTTGCGCGCTGGGGTCGCCGTCAGTTTGCCAGCATGTACAAGGCCGATGTCTACAGTCGATCCGACAAGATCACCTATCTGCTGTTGCGCGCGCTGTTGATGATCGTTGGTGTCGTGCTGTTTTTTGCAGTCGCCGTCGTCGTTTACCTGACGGTTGGAACAGGCCTGCAGGCGGCCAACCAGACCGCCCTTGTGATATTCAGCGTGATTGCAGCGTTCCTGGTCTTTCGGATAATTTTTCTGAATTTGCTTGCCCCGGATGCCGACAGTCACCGTTTGATCAACCTGTCCAGCGAAGAAGCCGGCAGCTTGTACCGGGCTCTTCTGGCAGGCAGTGCCGTTTCACTGTTTTCCGTCGGGTTCTGCCTGTGGATGGAACGGCTTGGGCTGTCGCTGGATGCGCACAAGATTGCGCTTATCGGCGCATCGGCCCTGTCCATGATTATTCTGATCGGAATTTCGGTCGCCTACAGAAAGACGATCGCCGGTCTCATCCGCGGCGAGGCGGAAAGTGACCCACCAATCTGGCGCAAGGTCCTGGCAAATGTCTGGCACTTCATCGCCATCATCTACTTCGCGATTGCCTGGGGCATTTCCGCGGTCCGGATACTTCTGGATCTACCGGATGCAACCGGGCTTGTCGGCGCTCCGCTCCAGGTCATGCTGCTCGCGGCGATCGTCTACGGAATTCTGATCCTGATCATTGACAAGGTGCTGCTGCCGCGCCTGGATACTGCCGATGCGCAGTCAAAGATCGCGGAAGACATCAAGCGTTCGGAAGAAAGCGAAGGCGGTAAGGAAGATCCCGAAAGCGCGATGGCCCAGGCACGCGCAGAGGCAGCCGACAGGGAAGCGCTCAGATCTCCGTTCCGGGACCTTTTCGACCGAGGCGCTGCGATTATCGTGCTTTTCGGATCGTTGGATCTGCTGGCGTCGATGTGGGGTGTTCCCCTTGCGGGCAGCAGTTCACTCATCGGGTCGTTCGTGGAAGTTCTGCTGGTCATGTTCCTTGGTTACATGGCTTACGAGGCGGTCAAGATCGTTATCGACCGCCAGATTGCCAAGGAGGCACCTGCCGATCAGGACGAAGAGGTTGAGGTTGGTGGAACCGGGGAAAGCCGAATTGCAACGCTTCTGCCGATCTTCAGGAATTTCCTGCTGATAACGATCGTGGTGATTGCGGCGATGGTGGTACTGTCAGAACTCGGCGTGAATATTGCGCCGCTCTTCGCAGGTGCCGGTGTCGTCGGTCTTGCGATCGGTTTTGGAGCCCAGACGCTCATCCGCGATATTTTCTCCGGCGCATTCTATCTGCTGGACGACGCTTTCAGGAAGGGGGAATACATCGACATCGGCAGCGCCAAAGGTGTTGTGGAGAAGATTTCGATCCGGTCGATGCAATTGCGCCACCATCGTGGCGCCTTGACGACGATCCCTTTCGGGGAAATCCAGCAAGTCGAGAACTTCTCGCGGGACTGGGCTGTCATGAAGCTGGCGTTCCGGGTCACCTACGACACGGATGTCGAGAAGATGCGCAAAATCATCAAGAATTTCGGCAAAGAGCTGCTGGATGACGAGTATTACGGGCCGATGTTCCTGGCTCCTCTGAAATCTCAAGGGATCATGTCCATGGAAGACTCGGCCATGATCGCGCGCGTGAAATTCACGACTAAGCCGGGCAAGCAGTTCGAACTTCGCAAGATCGTCTACGCGGGTCTGCAGGATCTTTTTGAAAAGAACGGCATCAAATTCGCGCACCGCCAGGTGACCGTGCGCGTTGCGGGTCAGGATGAAGGGGCAGACAGCCAGGGCGCGCCGTCGGCATCACAATCCGCCCTCCAGGCCACGGCTCATGCTGCGGCAGCCGGTGGTGCGGCCGGCATATTCGACCCCGACGATGCGAACGGAGACGCAAACACCGATCAACTCTAGATCTGCAAATTGAAAAAGGCGCATATTCTGGTGCGCTTTGTTCAGCCGGATGCAAATCCATGGACCTTGCGGCTGAAATCCGATATCGGTCCGGCCAAAGATTACAAGCAGGACCGGAATGCGGATCGGATTTCAGGCAGGAGCCATAAACGAGCGCGGGATGAGCGTTGCGCTCTTTGACTATGCCCTCGGTGTTCAGGAGATATTGGGTCATGAGGCCATCGTTTTTTACAGCGATAGCCACAGCGATCCGGCGGTCGTCGAAAAATTCCGCAAATCATTGCAACTGGTGCCAGTCCCGCTGGAACAGGATGGGCGTAAAGTCAGCGACCCATTCAAGCTGGATTTTTGCTACTTCATCCGTGACGGGCGCAACCGGCCCCTGAATATCAGCGCCGACCGGATCGGTGTCCACGCGGTTTTCCGGCATTTCGAACCTCATGGCGATGTTTATGCCTATGTCTCAGACTGGCTTTCGAACTGGATGACAGCTGGTCGAGCTCCGGCCGTGCCTCATATCGTGGACTTGCCGGCAGCGAACGCGGACTTGCGCTCCGAACTCGGAATTCCGGACGATGCATTTGTTGTTGGACGTTATGGCGGTTATGACCAGTTCAATATTCCATTTGTTCACGAAGCCGTCGCCGAGGCGCTCGACCGCAGGTCAAATCTGCACTTCCTTTTCGTCAACACGGAAAAATTTCTTGATCATCCACGCGCCCTGTTTCTGCCACCGGTTGTCAATCCGATGGAAAAGTCCCGGTTCATCAACAGCTGTGACGTTGGCCTGAACGCAAAGAAAATTGGTGAGAGCTTTGGGCTGGCGATCGCCGAGTTTCTGAACTTCGGCAAACCTGTCTTCAGCTGGGCAGGGGGGATGGACCAGAACCATGTCTTTCTCACTCCCGAGCATGATTGGAACTACCACACACGCAGGGATCTTCTTCACCTTCTGACAGACTATGCCCCCAACCCGATGGATAGCGATCTTGCCAGCCGGTCAGTCGATCCCTACAGGCCGGAAGCAGTGATGAAGCGATTTGACAGCGCCTTTCTGTCCGGAACCTATTCGGCGGAAGACTTGCGTCTGCCGGCGAGTTTCAAGGCGAAACGATATCTGCAGGAAAAGATCCTGCGGGCAAAATTCAGGCTCTGGAAAAGCATGTAACGGGCGGAACTGGAACTTTAAAGATGATGCTTTATGACTGTTTTGTCTTTCACAACGAGTTTGATCTCCTGGAAATCCGCTTGCGCGAAATGGGCGACAGTGTTGACCGGTTTGTTCTCGTTGAGGCCGATCAGACACAGCGCGGATCACCGAAGCCGTTCTATTTTGATGAAAACAGAGACCGTTTCGCGCCGTGGGCCGACAAGATCATCGATCTGCAGGTTCGGTTCCCTGACCAGCTTCCACCTGCGCTCGGTGTCTACAAGAACCGCCGGAAAAAGGACTGGGAACGCGAGAACTACCAGCGAAACTGCATTTCACGTGCGCTGGAAAGCTGTGATCCCGACGATCTTGTCTTATTGTCGGATGTCGACGAAATCGTTCGTGCCCCGACCCTTGCGAAGGTCATGGCGGAGCGACTTTTCAGGGGCAGATTGCTGGTGTTCGAGCAAAGCCTGCACAAGCATCATCTTGATCGCATCGTTCCCGGCAAGACCTGGCTGCTTGGGTCGCGGATGATCGAGAAGAAGTATCTGACGACGCCTCAGCAATTGCGTCGAACAAAGGCACGGATGACCAAGAAGCCGTATGTTCCGGATTTCGCAACACAGCCATTTCTCAGAATACGGAACAACAATCTGTCGGGTATAGGCAGACCGGTGAAAATCATTCCCGATGCAGGATGGCATTTTTCCTCCATGGGCGGTCTTGAGGCCTTCAGGACCAAGCTGGACTCGGTTGTCCACGGACAGACGGTCGATACCAGCGATATTCAAAAGCTTTACGAGCGTGAACTCGTCGGGACGCAAATCATTCCTCATGCCAACCTTCCTGCCTGCATTCAGGACGGTAATTTTGATCACATGCTTGCGCGGAGTTAGCGCGGCAGGGTTTGTTCCACTTGCTTCCGCCCGTGCCCGCTCACGACATGGTGTTTGCGAACTGCTCCGGTCGCCGTCTAACAACGTTCACATAGTATGAGACGGCGGTCAAAATGCGCAGGAACGCCTTTCCCAGATCTTCCTTCCAGGTCTCCGGAAGGCGGTTTCCCGTCGTGTCCTGAGCGGATTTTTCGGGAAAACGGAAGCCAAGCAGTCTGTCGACTTCAAGAATGTCGGCCTGCAGCTTCTGAAATTCCCAAGTCGGAAGATTGCTCGCCATTCCGCTGTGGACGTGTGAGAACTTCTCGGAAAGCTCGCTGAGTTCGCCGTTTTCGGGTGGCGGATCAAGGGGCAGGTCGAGGATTTCAATGCGCAAAGAACGCAAGTTCGCGATTGCCCTGGCAAAATCCTCCCGGATCAGATCCTCGGAGCTTTCCAGTGAAGAGGCTCCGATTTCAAGGTAGTCCGCGAGTGTCTCCGTCTTCACGAGGGGATTTCCGAGATTGGGAGCGCGAAGGTATTCTTCCAGGAGAGGTGGAAGTGCGGAAAAGGCAGGATCATAGCCCCTCAGTGCTTCACGCGCATCATTGGCGTCCGACAGGTAGTGATCCAGCGCGAGCCTGAACATGTCTCGACTGCCCCGGAAGGCGTCATAAACGAATTGCCACTCCGGTATCGTGGCTAGGGTCTGGAGTGTCAGAAAAACATTGCTGTCGAATGCCTTGGCAGGGTCGCGCGTCTTTGACGCCATTGTAAAATTGTTGATGTAGCGTTTCACGTCTCGCGGGTTGATCCCGCCGCCTTCCGAAACGAGATAGCGCAGATGAGGGAGAATATCGTCGATGAGGACGTCTTTTTGTGTTTGCGGCAGCCTCGCCTCAAGGGCCATGGAATTCACGAGATCTTCAACATTGTCGCTGCTGACCGGTCGCAATTCGAAAGGGACCTGGAAAATCTTCTTGATGTAGTCGGCACCTTCTATGGGACGGGCGAGCGGAGCGTCCGTGTCACCTTCACGGGCCGCGGTCTTGTAGATGCTGTCGATGCTCCAGGCGATAACGTCCTTGTCGAGTCCGACAATAAAAACGAAACCGTCGAGATCGAAAAACAGTTTCATGGATTCCAGGACAGAGAGCGCGCCTTTCGGCAGGCAGCGGTCCAGATCGTCTATGAACACAACAATCCGCCGTGCGGGGTCGTCCTTCGCGAAGGTTTCAAATGCCAGGCTCAAGGCGCGAAAACTGGCGAAATATGACGATTTCGGAACGCTTGCTTTTTCTTCCTCTTCCTTGATGTTCTTTGCCGACATCAACATCTTGTTGGCATCGACGGAAACTGAAAGGGCATCTCCCAGCCCCGCCTTGAAGGAAAGGCCGGCGGTGATTGAGTAGGCGACCTGGCCGATCGTTTTGATCAGAGATTCGATCTTTTCATCATTTCCTCCCTGATCCTCGAGCCATTTGTCGAGAGCGGCCTGAATTGAATCGAGCAAGGGAATGATCAGGTGGTCTTCCTTTTCATAGCGCCACGCGCTGAAGTCCACCTTGACGATATTCTTGTTCGGTTTCAGCTTGTGTCGTATGCGCTCCATCAGGGTGGTCTTTCCAGACCCCCATCCACCGAAAATGCCGATTGCAAACCGGGGTGGACTGTTGTGCACGATGTCGGCAAATGCGTTTGCGTACCGGTCAAAACCAAGCTGAGGAGACTTCGCAGGCTGGTCGAGGATGATCTGCCAATCACTGTGGTCCATTGGTCTGCCTTCATTCGAGGATGCCGCCTGCAGGCGGCCGGTCTTGCTTGCAGTGAATTGTAAGTCTGGCATCACAAGGCGGATCGAACTCGCGGTAAAAACCCGGGCGGCCTGCAAGCACGCAATTCCGATCAAACGACACGCTGAATGGCGCTTGCCAGAGGGCCCGTAGCCTTGTGGCGTTGCCGGTTTCAAGCGCATTGAAAAGCCATGATTGACCGCATCACGGACTTAAGTCAAAGGGTTGAGAGACGTCGCGGACGTCATCGAGTGCCGTAATGTCACCAATTCGCGTCGTATTTGTTTCTGCCGCTTGCATCTGCTTTCAAGTTCATATAAAGATATCTTTATATCGACATTGATGCTGACAAGGCATAAGCTACTACGCATGACCGACGAACCAACGCTTTCCGTGGAAGACACGCTTGCTGCCCTCAGGGCCGTCGGCGAAGCCACACGTTTGCGTCTTATCGCATTGCTGGCCGAAAGCGAGCTGACCGTGAAAGATGCGACAGCGATCCTCGGACAGAGCCAGCCGCGCATCTCACGCCATTTGAAACTTCTTGCCGAAGCGGATCTGATACAGCGATTTCCTGAAGGGTCGTGGGTGTACTATCGCCTGGCGGATGGCCCTGAAGGTGAACTTGCGAGGGGACTGGTTGAACGTATTTCCAGAGAAGATCCCGTTCTTGCCGCTGATCAGGAACGTTTCCGGGCCATTCGCAAGGCCAAGGCGGAGGAGGCTGCTTCCTACTTCGCCGCACGTGCGCTCACCTGGGACAGGGAACGCTCCCTGCACGTTTCGGAAGATGACGTGGAAACAGCCATGCAATCAGCGCTCGGGGATACGCCGTTCCAGTCGTTTCTGGATCTGGGAACGGGTACGGGCCGGCTGCTGGAAGTCTTTTCGGAACAGTATTCCTCGGCGCTTGGCATTGATGCGTCGCACGACATGCTGGCGGTGGCACGGGCAAATCTGGCAAAATCAAAACTTGGCAACGCACAGGTACGCCATGGTGACGTCTATGCCCTGAATGTACCACCGCGGTCTTTCGACGTTGTCGCGATCCATCAGGTTCTGCACTTTCTCGATGAACCGGCGCGGGCACTTGCCGAAGCTGCACGTGCCCTGCGGCCCGGCGGCCGCCTCATGATCATCGACTTCGCACCGCATGAACTGGAGTTTCTGCGCGACAACCATGCCCACCGCCGGCTCGGCTTTGCCCATGACCAGATGGAGCGCTGGCTGGAGGCTCTTGAACTCGATCTGGAACAGGTCACCGACCTGGTTCCGGGAGACGACACAGAAAACAACCTAACCGTTACGCTTTGGCTTGCCCGGGATCGACGCATCGTCACCGATTGGCCCGCGCGCGACACGTCCCGAGAGGTCGCCTGACATGTCTGAATTTTCCAACCGCCGCTCACACCAGGCCGCTCTATCGCCAATTACGGCGTCCTTTGAGTTCTTCCCTCCGAAGTCCGACAAGATGGCTGAAACGCTCTGGGGCACGGTCAAGCGGCTGAAGCCGCTCAGCCCGTCCTTTGTTTCCGTAACCTACGGCGCAGGTGGTTCGACGCGGGAGCGGACCCACAAGACAGTCGAGCGCATCCTGGGGGAAACTGACCTCAGCCCTGCTGCCCATCTCACATGCGTCGGCGCGTCTCGCGAAGAAGTCGATGCCATCATCGAGGACTACTGGAAACTGGGTGTGCGCAATCTGGTTGCACTGCGCGGGGATCCGCTGGAAGGTATCGGCAGTCGCTATGTGCCCCGGGAGGATGGCTATGCCTATGCTTCCGATCTTGTGGCCGGGATCAAGAAAATTGCCGATTTCGATATTTCCGTTTCCGGATATCCTGAAAAACACCCTGAAAGCGGCAGCTGGCAGAGTGAAATAGACAACTTGAAACGCAAGGTTGATGCGGGTGCGGACCGGATCATTACCCAGTATTTCTTCGACAATGACATGTTCGATGATTATCTGGATCGGATCGCAGCGGCCGGGATCAACGTCCCGGTGATTCCCGGCATTCTGCCGATCCACAATTTCGAGCAGACCATGGTGTTCTCGGCCAAATGCGGAACCAGCATTCCGTCATGGCTCGCCCGCAGGTTTGCCGGCCTTCACAACGACCCGGAAACACGGAAACTCGTTGGCGTGGCGATTGCCTGTGAACAGGTCATGGATCTGGTCGACCGAGGTATCAACGACTTCCATTTCTACACCATGAACAGGGCTGATCTGACCTACGCGATCTGCCACATGCTCGGCATGGGACAGCAGGCACCGGAGAACATGGCAGCCTGACGATCCAGAAAGACCCTCAACTTGACCCTCGACAACAAGGGGCTCGGCTTCCGAACACGGCAACTCTGACAGACAGGCGTTGCACGGGAACTGGGGGCAACTGGCCAAGGCCGTGAAAATCTCCCTTCTGCTTGTGGGGAAGGGGCCCCGCGTAGGGCACTCGGTCAAACCGAATACTGCAAGAAAAGCTGTGCCTGAAACAGGAAGGAACAGCTCGCCCGGCAATTCAAGAGGCACTTTCACGTTGAGTGCCGATCCAAAATTAACTCGACTGTCCGGAAGGAAATACCCGTGATCAAGTCCGACGCCCTAGTGCGACTTCGCGACCTCGCCAAGACCCGTATCCTCGTGCTTGACGGTGCAATGGGAACCGAAATCCAGGACCTGAAACTGGACGAGGCCGGTTATCGCGGCCAACGCTTTGCCGACTGGCCGAGTGACGTCAAAGGCAATAACGACCTTTTGAGCCTGACCCAGCCCGATGCGATCCGGAAGATCCATGTCGACTATCTGGAGGCTGGGGCGGACATCATCGAAACCAACACGTTCTCCTCCACGACGATTGCCCAGGCCGATTACGGTATGGAGGAACTTGCCTACGAACTTAACCTGGAGAGCGCCAGACTTGCGCGCGAAGCCTGCGATATCGTCACGAATAAGGACCCTGCGCGTCCCCGTTTTGTTGCTGGAGCGCTGGGACCGACCAATCGGACGGCATCGATCTCGCCGGATGTCAATGATCCCGGATATCGGGCTGTTTCCTTCGACGATCTCAGGATTTCCTATGCGGAGGCAGCGCGTGGCCTGATCGCCGGAGGCGCGGATATTCTTCTGGTCGAGACCATTTTCGACACGCTCAACGCCAAAGCCGCCCTGTTTGCCATCGACGAGGTTTTTGAGGAAATCGGCAGGATCCTGCCGGTGATGATCTCAGGCACGATAACCGATCTGTCCGGCCGCACGCTCTCCGGGCAAACGCCGGAAGCCTTCTGGAACTCGGTCCGCCATGCGGAGCCGTTCACCGTCGGTCTCAACTGCGCTCTCGGAGCGAAGGAAATGCGCGCCCATGTCGACGAGCTCGGCCGGGTTGCCGATACGCTTGTCTGCGCTTACCCGAATGCGGGATTGCCGAACGAATTCGGCGAGTATGACGAGAGTCCCGAACATATGGCCGGGTTGCTTGAGGAATTTGCGTCAGCCGGCCTCGTCAACGTTGTTGGCGGGTGTTGCGGCACGACACCGGCCCATGTCAGGGCAATTGCTGATGCCGTTGCCGACAAGACACCGCGTCCGATTCCTGAAGTCGCACGGCATATGCGCTTGTCCGGACTCGAACCGTTTGTGCTGACCAAGGAAACCAACTTCGTCAATATCGGTGAACGGACCAACGTCACGGGTTCGGCCCGTTTCCGGCGCCTCATCAAGGAAGGCGATTATGCGACGGCACTCGATGTGGCCCGGCAACAGGTCGAAAATGGCGCCCAGATCATTGATGTGAACATGGATGAGGGGCTTCTGGATTCAGAAGATGCCATGGTCACGTTTCTCAACCTTGTTGCCGCCGAGCCGGATATTGCCCGGGTGCCGGTCATGATCGACAGTTCCAAGTGGAGCGTCATCGAGGCAGGGCTGAAATGCATCCAGGGCAAGGGTGTCGTCAATTCGATCTCCATGAAAGAGGGCGAGGACGCGTTCATCGAACAGGCCCGTTTGATCCGCCGGTATGGCGCCGCCGTTGTCGTCATGGCTTTTGACGAGAAGGGGCAGGCGGATACCTTCGAAAGAAAGACCGAAATCTGTGCCCGTTCTTATGAACTTTTGACCGGCGTCGTCGGGTTCCCACCGGAAGACATTATCTTCGATCCCAATATTTTCGCCGTTGCAACAGGGATCGAGGAGCACAACAACTACGGTGTCGATTTCATCGAGGCGACCGGCTGGATACGCGAAAATCTGCCCCATGCCCATGTTTCGGGCGGTGTATCGAACCTGTCGTTCTCATTCCGCGGCAATGAGGCGGTGCGTGAAGCAATGCACTCCGTATTCCTGTACCACGCCATTCAGCGTGGCATGGATATGGCAATCGTCAACGCAGGCCAGCTTGCAGTCTACAATGACCTCAGTGCCGATCTTCGCGACCATTGCGAAGACGTCGTGCTGAACCGCCGTGACGATGCGACGGACAGGATGCTTGATGCGGCCGAACGCTGGAAAGGCGAAGGCGGCAAGAAAAGGGAAGCCGATCTCACTTGGCGCACCTGGGGTGTTGCCAAGCGCCTGGAGCATGCTCTTGTTCATGGCATTGATGACTACGTTGTCGAGGATACCGAGGAAGCACGCCAGGCATTCGATCGTCCTTTGCATGTGATCGAAGGTCCGCTGATGGATGGAATGAACGTGGTCGGCGACCTGTTCGGCTCCGGCCAGATGTTCCTGCCACAGGTGGTGAAGTCCGCGCGCGTGATGAAAAAGGCCGTCGCGTATCTGATGCCTTTCATGGAAAAGGAGAAAGCGGAACTTGGTCTGACCGGACATTCGTCTGCAGGCAAGATCCTGATGGCGACCGTGAAGGGTGATGTGCATGACATCGGCAAGAACATCGTCGGCGTCGTGCTCCAGTGCAACAATTTCGAGGTCATCGATCTCGGTGTAATGGTACCGGCAGCCAAAATCCTGGAAACGGCGAAAGAGGAAAAGGTGGACATGATCGGCTTGAGCGGGCTGATCACTCCTTCGCTCGATGAAATGTGCCATGTCGCGGCCGAGCTGGAGCGTGAAAACATGGAACTGCCGCTGTTGATTGGCGGTGCGACGACATCGAAAATCCACACCGCCGTGAAGATTCACCCGAACTACGCGCGCGGACAGGCGATCTACGTAACCGATGCCGGGCGGGCCGTCGGCGTTGCGACCAAACTGATGAGCGAAGGCGCGCGCGAACCTTATTTTGCCGATGTACGCACGGAGTATGCCGACGTTGCCGAAAAACATGCCGCCAGCCGGGGGACGCAGAAACGCGCTTCTATCGTGACGGCCCGGAAAAATGCGTTCAAGTGCGACTTTGAAGGCAAGCCACCGATTGCGCCCAGAAAGCCCGGACGTACCGTGTTTGACGACTTTCCGCTGGAAGAGCTCGTGCCGGTGATTGACTGGACGCCGTTCTTCGCGACCTGGGAGATCAAGGGGCGGTATCCGGGCGTCCTCACGGACAACCGATATGGTCCGGCAGCCAAGGCGCTTTACGACGATGCCCGCCGGATGCTGGATGAGATCGTTGAAAAGAAGCTTTTGACGGCACGCGGTGTTGCCAGTATCTGGCCGGCCAACGCGGTCGGGGACGACATACGCCTCTTTACCGATGAAAGCAGGTCTGCAGAACTGGCCACGTTCCATACGTTGCGGCAGCAAATGTCCCGCAATGCGGGCGGGCGGGCCAATGTTGCACTCAGCGATTTCGTGGCGCCTCACGAGAGCGGTGTTGATGACTGGCTCGGCGGGTTCGCGGTAACGGCAGGTCACGGCGAAGACGAGCTCGCGGCCCGGTATGCCCGCGAAAGCGACGACTACAACAAGATCCTGTCCCAGGCGCTCGCGGACCGGCTCGCGGAAGCCTTTGCGGAAAAACTGCACCAGATCGTTCGCAAGGACGTGTGGGGTTACGCCACAGATGAAACTCTTTCGGCCGAGGAAATCATTGCCGAGAATTATCAGGGCATTCGTCCGGCGGCTGGCTATCCGGCCCAGCCGGACCACACCGAAAAGGATACCCTGTTCCGCCTTCTGGATGCGGAAAGGCTCACCGGAATCCAGTTGACGGAAAGCCGTGCGATGCTTCCAGGGTCGTCGGTTTCCGGACTGTATCTTGCCCACGCGGACAGCCACTATTTTGGCGTCGGCAAGATCGAAAGAGACCAGGTCGAAGACTATGCTGCACGAAAGGGCTGGGATCTCGGCCTGGCAGAACGCTGGTTGGCGCCGATACTGAACTACGATCCGGCGCGCATGGAAGCTGCAGAGTAGTCCTGCCCGCCTTGATATTACCTGTCGATGAGAAGCCTCCCGGGGAAAGACCACGGGAGGCTTTCTTGTTTTTTGTGAGCAAACAGAACGGTCTGGGAGTTCAAACAGGTGTTTCCTCGATCAATGACAAGGTGCGTTCTTGTAAAGTGCACGCAGTGCGCTAGAATGAGACTCATCAGGTGGACGGGGATTTCGATTCGCGGACCACAAATGACAGAAAAAGACTGTGCACACGACCAGAGTTCTTCTGGTTCAGCACCGCCAGACAGCTAACCGCGGCCGCTTCGCAGAGTTGCCAGCTAGGCTGCTTCGATCCTGGCGGGAAGCAATCCCAAGGTTTCGGGAGACGTTTGGCGTCTCCCGAAATCTGGTTGCTCTGTATCAGGTTCCTGACCAAGCAGAGAAATTTTCTGATGATTTGTCGCTCCCGGTTTCAAACCAGACCAACGACACTTCTTTCTGCATTAACTCCCTAAATCAGCAAACTGATCGCCAGGTACCCTGCCATCCCATACAGGGAAAGCAGGCTGAGGCTCATGAACAATCCGCGCGCACCGCTCCTGCCGGTCAAATAGCTGAATGTGTGGCCAAGCCGTCCAAGTGCAAATCCGATCAGCCAGAAGCCTGCCGCCATGGCAGATGGAGACACCAGCGAAAAAACGAAAGCCAACAGGACAAACAACGTGGTGTTCTCCGTTGCATTTCTGTGGGCATTGTGATGCCGTTCCAATTCGGCGAACCCGTCTTGCGTGACATCTTCCCTGGTGAAGCCGCTGGTTTTCCATTCTTCAGGCGTTGCGCGAATGTTGAACTTAAGCCTCGTCAACTCGGTGCTTGTCATCAACCAGGTGTGGTTCAAGACAAGCATCAGTCCTGCAATGACAAGTGAAACGAGGATTTCGTGCGAAGGCAAGGCAATCGACGTGGTGGTGATCCCGAAGACCGCCAGATTTAGCGCGAGGCTGATCAAAATGAGCGCAACCGGATAGGCTTTGATGACGAGGGCAACCCGTTTCTTGTTGTCGACCTGGTGAGGCACGTTAGAATTGAATCCCAAGTGAGTTACAGAATTGACTGAAACCGGTCCCGCGTAGTTCGTGGAGCCGGATGGATTCTAGTCCAGGCTTGAAGGAAAAAGCCTGTTTAGGTTTTCGTGGCCGTGTGAAGAAATGTGGACCACACGGCTGTCTTTTTCGCGCCGAAGCCAGCCTTCTTCCTGGAACCGGACCAGGAGCGCTGCTCCGAGTGATCCTGCTAGGTGGTTACGCCGTTCGCTCCAGTCAAGACAGGCCCGGCAGATCGGGCGGCGCGACAACCTGAGACCCGCGAGATCGACACCGAAACCGGTGACAAAATCTTCGCCGCTGGCTGTAAGACCCAAACCTCCCTTGTCCTGTGTGATTTTCAAAAAATCGCGTGACTGCAAACTGTCGAAGATCCTGACCGCCATGTCGCCGGCAAGGTGATCATAACAGACGCGGGACGTTCGCATGGCCGGATCGCGAGGCCCGGTGCGCGTGCGCAAATGCCCCTTGCGGGCCGCAAGTCCCATGAGGGCTTCGAGCGTCGTGCCGACATCGGGGCCTGAAAGCGTGAAATAGCGGTGACGGCCCTGCTTGGCCTGAACCAGCAGCCCGCCTTCCTGCAGTTTTTTCAGGTGCGAACTGGCCGTCTGGCCGGTGATGCCGGCCTCGGCCGCCAATTCCGTTGCCGTCAGTGCCTTGCCGCTCATGAGGGCACTCAAGATGTTGGCGCGGGCCGGATCTCCGATCAGGGCGCCGATGCGAGCAATGTCTGGTCCGTCTTTCATGGTTCGATCCTCATCGAAGCATTCTCACCGCAGACCATGGCATAAACCGTCCTCAGGACCAACTGAAAAGGACCGGATGATGATCACATGTTTTATCCGCTATCACATCGACCCCACAAAAAGGGCTGCCTTTGAGGAATATGCCCGAAACTGGGGGCAGGCGATTCCTCGCTGTGGCGCAAACCTGATCGGCTACTTTGCGCCACACGAGGGATCAACCACACGTGCATATGGCGTTTATTCCATTGAAAATCTGGCCGCCTATGAAGCCTATCGCGCGCGACTTGCCGCCGATCCACTCGGACAAATGAACTATGAATTCGCCATGAGAGAAAAATTCATCTTGCGGGAGGACCGCACGTTTCTGACACTGGCCTCCGCGCCGCATGGCGAAGGGGAGAGTGGAAATTGATTGCAGTGATTTTCGAAGTCATTCCGCATGCGGACAAAAAGCAGAACTATCTTGATACGGCGGCAGAGATACGCCCGCTTCTTGAAGAGATCGATGGCTTTGTCTCCGTTGAACGTTTCCAGAGCCTGAGCGACCCTGAAAAACTGCTTTCCGTTTCGTTTTTCCGCGACGAAGAAGCCTTGAATGAATGGCGCAGGCTGACCGCACACAGAAAAGCGCAGCAAATCGGCAGAACCAGCTATTTCAAGGACTACAGGTTGCGTGTCGCGCATGTTCTTCGGGACTACGGCATGGATGACCGCGAAGCTGCGCCTTCTGACAGCCTTGCAGTGCACGGCTGACGCTTCGGATCATGCAGAACCGGTCTTTCGAATACGTACTGCTGGGGTGTCTCGCCCTGTTGTGGGGCTCGTCCTACATGTGGATCGGTCTTGCACTTGAGACGTTTCCGCCTGCAACCCTGATGGCCATACGCGTGGTGCTGGCTTCGGCCGTGCTCTTGCTGATCATGACGTTTCAGGGCATGGGTCTGCCGATGGACCGGCGAAGCTGGTGGCTCTTCTTCACCCAGTCGCTTTTAAACAGCACCGGTCCGTGGCTGCTTCTGGCCTGGGGACAGCAATATGCCGGAACGGCGGTTTCAAGCGTCCTCAATTCCACATCACCGCTTTGGGTCTTTGCACTATCCTATCTTGTGCTGCGACGTGGCCAGTTTCCGGGAGGCCGTCAATTGACCGGCGCGCTGCTCGGCTTCACCGGAGTTGTGCTGATCATCGGTGTAGGGGCACTGGACAGTCTCGGCCAGAACCTCGTTCCGCAACTCGCCGTCTTTTTCAGCGCCGCGCTTTACGGCATGGCGGCTCTTCGAGGGCAACTTTTCAAGGGTTTGCCACCGATCGTGCCTGCGACCGGCACCCTTGTCTGCTCCTCATTGGTGCTTGTGCCCCTGAGCCTTCTGACCGAGGAACCCTGGACCCTGTCACCGAATGCTGTCGGATGGACTTCTACGATCGTTCTCGGCCTGGCCTGCACGGCGCTGGCTTTCCTGATCTATTTCCGTTTGCTCTCGACACTTGGAGCCATGGGCACCGCAAGCCAGGCGTACCTGCGCGCAGGTGTCGGGGTTTTCCTGGGCGTGATGTTTTTGTCCGAAAGACTGGATTTGGAAACCTTCGCCGGAATTTGCCTTGCCATTCTGGGGGTCATTCTGATCAACTGGCCAAAGAGCAGCAGCGCGGTGAAATCGACGACTGCTGTCAAGTAACTGGCGAGGGATCTTATGAGCTTTCTGACCGTTTACAAGGCCGGTTCCAGGCCGAGCAAACGCGCCAACCCGGATTATTTCACCGGAATTGTCTGGCAGGAACCGGTGATTGAAGCCCCCGCGCCCGCACGGGTGAGGGCCTTGAGAGTGTTTTTCGAACCGGCTGCCCGGACCCACTGGCATACGCATCCGCTGGGACAAACCCTTCATGTGCTTGATGGTGCCGGTTTCGTGCAGCTTTGGGGGCAGGACAAGCTGCCGATCCTGCCCGGTGACGTTGTCTGGATTCCACCCGGCATGAAACACTGGCACGGTGCCGGTCCGCAGACCTCCCTGGTGCATCTCGCGATCCAGGAGGAAAGCGATGGGGCCGTTGCCGACTGGCTCGAAGCGGTCGACGAGGCGACCTATGCAAAGACCTGAAAATCGGGAAATCAGGAAACGGCAAGTGAAACTGGATCTTCCGTGCCCTGCGCGGTCCGTTTCGCATTCCTGAATGTGTTTCCTGATTTCGAAAACAGAGAGGAACATGAGGACCGGAGGATGCTGAAAAGCAACCCAAGTATGTTGTAAGCATCGTTGCTTCGAATGGCTCTTGCCCGTTTGTCATAGAACGCAAGGTCAATCGATCCATCGTTCAGCGTGCGGTAGTCAGTTGAGTGTCCGGTCATGATCTTTCCCCTTGAACTGATGCAAGCAGAATGGACGCCCATGACGGTTCCCGCTTGAAGGGAATCTTTAGAACAGCTTGTGTTTTCCTTGATTTTCCACCTGCCAAATTGCGTTGAATGTGCTCTTCAAGTACGCTGATCCCGTTGAATATTGCCGTTGGGGGTCGCGTGCGCTACGAATTTGCAGATTGCGTCCTGGACACGGAAAGCTATCAACTTCAACGGTTTGGAACGGCTGTTCCGGTTGAGCCGCAGGTGTTCGAGCTTCTTTCTCTGCTTGTTGAAAATGCCGGCAAACTCGTTTCGAAAGACAAGATCATCGAGCGTGTCTGGGATGGGAGGATCGTGTCGGAGGCAACGATCAGTGCCCGGATCAATGCCGCCAGGACCGCTGTCGGAGACAACGGCAAATCCCAGGCTGTTATCCGGACCGTGCAGCGCCGGGGACTTGAACTGGTCGCCCCGGTAGAGACTGATTGCAACGAGACGTCGCCCGCCGGGACGGCGAAACGCATGCAAACCATTCATTTCGTCCGATCGGAGGACGGAACCTCGATCGCCTACGCACGATCAGGTGATGGCAGTCCCGTGGTGAGGGCCGGACATTTTCTCACACACCTGGAAAAGGACTGGTCGAGCCCGGTGTGGGGCCCTTACCTGAAGGAACTCAGTTCCCGCTACAGCCTCATCCGTTACGACCAGCGAGGGACAGGGCTTTCCGAGGCAGAGCTCAAGGGCACAAGGATCGAGGATTACGTCGCCGATCTCAAGGCGGTTGTAGACGCGGCGGGGCTGGAGACCTTTCCGCTGGTTGCTTCATCGCAAGGCGTGCCCATTTCTATCGTTTTCGCGGCGGCCTATCCCGAGCGGGTCAGCCGCCTTGTTCTTTATGGCGGTTTCGCACAGGGCCGTGCACGGCGTGATCATCAATATGCAAACGACGAGGCCAATGCGCTGATGGCGCTGATCCGGTCAGGCTGGGGGAAACCGGACAGCCCCTTCATGGTGGCCTTCACGTCCGTCTTCTGCCCGGGGGCCTCGAAAGAGGAAATGGACAACATGGTCGAGATTCAGCTCGCCTCGACCTCGGCGGAGAACGCTGCAACAATCAGGGCGGCATTCGATCAGTTCGACGTTTCCGCCTGTTTACCGCAGGTGAGGGTGCCAACTCTGATCATTCACGCAAATGCCGACGCAGTTCATCCCGTTACACAAGGACGATGGCTGGCCTCGGAGATTCCAGGCGCCGAGTTTCTTCAGGTCGAGAGCAACAACCACGTCTATCTGCCTTCGGATCCGGCGTGGCGGCAAATCGTCGACGCGCAGTTGGAGTTTCTGTCGAGGGAGCCGGGCAGGTAGCCACGATTACCGTGTCGGCAATCTTACTTCGGCGGTCAGGCCGGATGCGGTTCCGTTCTTCAGCGTAATCGTTCCACCGTGGGCATGGATAATGGAACGCGCTATGGCGAGGCCAAGTCCGATGCCGCCGGTTTCCTCGTTGCGCGATTCTTCCAGTCTGACAAAAGGTTCAAAGACATCCTTGAGCCGGTTTTCCGGTATGCCGGGCCCCTTGTCCGACACACGAATGATGACCTCTCCGTTCGTTGTTGCCGCAAAAATCGAGACACCGCCGCCATATCGGATGCCGTTTTCAATCAGGTTGCGCAAGGCGCGCTTGAGTGCGATCGGACGGCAGGTGAGCGTGACATCCTTTTCAAGGTTCAAACCGCAGTCGTGTCCGAGATCCTTCTGGTCACCTGCAAGACCTTCCAGCATTGCGCCCAGATCGGTTTCTTCAGCCCCTTCCGCATGTGCTTCATCCCTGGCGAAACGGAGCGTTGCCTCGGTCATGGTCGCCATCTCGTCGAGCGTTTCGATCATCTTTTCGCGGTTTTCTTCATCGTCGATGAATTCCGCCCTGATCCTGAGCGACGTGATCGGCGTGCGCAGGTCGTGGCTGATCGCCGCGAGCATGCGCGTGCGATCCTTCACGAACCGGGTGAGGCGGTCCTGCATGTTGTTGAAGGAAGACGTCAGCGCCTGAACTTCCCTTGGTCCGCTCAATTGCAGCGGTTCCTGTTCTTCGCCGCGGCCGAACTTCTCCGCGGACACAGACAGGGTTTTCAATGGGCGCGTGACCCTTCGCACGGCAAATCCGATGATAAGAACGGTCAGGACCGCGGTGAGCCCGAGTTGGACGAGCAGCGGAATGTAGGCACCCGGCGGTGGGCGGTAGCTTGTCGCAACATTCAGCCAGCGTCCGTCGGTCATCCGGATGGACAGCGACAAGTCCTCCGGCTTGTTCATTATCTTGCGCAGGTTAGGTGGGCGCTCGTTCTTCGGAACATAGCGCCAGCTGTAGGAGCCATCGCCATCGTTGTCCTTGGTGCGCCGAACCTTGGGGCCGCGTTTTTCGTCTGCATGTATATTGACGTGAACAGTCTGGTCGTGCTGCAGCCGCTTTGACAGGATCCCCTGAAGACGTTGTTCGAACCTGGATTGTCCGGGGTCGCGGGCAAGCGGTGTTTCTCCGAGCCAGAAGACGGCGAAACGGCTGCTGCTGGCGTCCAGGATACGGCTCTGAAGCGGCAGCGGCGTATCTTCGAGCAACTCGGCAATGGATACCGCGCGTGCGAGCAGGTTATCGCGCGCGGCCGCAACGAGAGCGATGCGGCGTTCGTCGTGAAAGATCCAGATGCTCAAGGCCTGGGCGAAGAAAATGGCGGCCAACAGCAGAACGATCAGCTGGGATGCAAGTGACCTTGGCCACAAATACCCGAAGATCCTGCGCATATGATCAACAGCCGTCATTCAATTCGGTCTTTCACATCGGCAGTAAACATGTAACCGCCGCCCCACACGGTCTTGATCATCTTTGGGTCCTTGGGATCGACCTCGATCTTGCGGCGCAGGCGCGAAACCTGGTTGTCGATGGACCTGTCAAAGACGGCGGGCGTTCTTCCCGTGGTCAGGTCGAGAAGCTGATCCCGGTTCAGAACCATTTTCGGACGTTTCAGGAAGGCGCACAGCAACTGGTACTCCCCGCTCGAAAGGGCAATGGCGTTACCATCCGGGTCCGTCAGTTCGCGGCGCGACACGTTGAGTGACCAGTCGTCGAATTGCAGCCGTTCCTGTTCGATGGGATCGCGTTCCTTGGGAACGAGTGCGGTTCTGCGCAGCACGGCGCGAATTCTGGCCAGCAGTTCCCGCGGGTTGAACGGTTTCGTCACGTAGTCGTCGGCGCCGATCTCGAGGCCGATCACCCTGTCGGTGTCGTCTGCCATGGCAGTCAGAAGGATGACCGGCATTGATCCCGTTTCCACGAGATGACGGCAGAGCGACAACCCGTCTTCGCCCGGCATCATGATATCGAGCACGACAAGATCGATCGACGCCGCTTTCAGGGCCTTGCGCGCATGCGCGGCGTTTTCAGCTGCCGTTGCGCGCAGGCCGTTCTTGATTAGATAGCGCGCGAGGGTTTCTCGAATATCGCGGTGATCGTCCACCACCAGAATGTGCGGGCTCGGGTCGCTCACATGTTTCTCCCGTTTTCCGGACTCATTATGCTGCCTTGCTGAATTCCGCAATCGGAACCGGTACGGCAGCAATGCTCTTGTTTCTAAGGCGAAAATAATAACAGGCGGTCGATGTTTCGAATTGAACTTGTAACAAAGTGTGTCGCCCGCGCCCAGCGGGACAGATCGCGACACTTATGGCCCATTCGACGGGTATTCCTGCGACAATTGCCACCTACCTTGTGCTCATCAACGAACCAAGGAGTTGTTGGAATGAAACCGTTCAAGAAGATTGCAATTGCCGCTTTGGCTGCGAGCGTCGCGGGAACCGCGCTTACTGCCGGCCTGCCCGCCTTCGCTCAAAGCGGAACTGCGAGCGGGGACGGGGGGCAAAAGATTCAACAGACCCAGGACCAGCAGATGGCGCATAAAGGCGAGCGTCGGGGCTGGGGTCACGGCCGTGGCGGTCACGGGCAGCGCGCCGAACGTTTGTTCGAACGCTTTGACACCGACAAGGATGGCGTGATCACCGAGGCCGAGATCGAGGACATTCGCGGTCAGGAATTTGCGGCTGCAGACACTGACGGCAATGGTGAAATCAGCCTCGAGGAATTCAAGGCCCAGTTCATGGAACGCTCCAGCGACCGCATGGTTCGCGCGTTCCAATTCATGGATACAGACGGCGACGGAACCGTGACACAGGCGGAAATCGACCTTGTTGCCAACCGGATGTTCAATCGGCTGGACCGTGATGGCAACGGTACCGTGGAAAGGGTTCGCGGCCAGCGAGGCCAGGGCGCCGAGAATGATGGTGAGCGCCAGCAACGTGCGGAGCGCGGCGAACGCAGAGGGCACGGTGGCAAGCATCATGGCCGAGGCGGACCCGCCCGGATGTTCATGGGTCTGTTCGACACCGACGGTAGCGGTTCCGTGACGCGAGAGGACTTCGATACACGGCGTGCGGAACTGTTTGCACTGGCCGACACCAACGGCAGCGGTTCTTTCGCTCTTGAGGATTTCGGTCCGCTGTGGCTTGCCGTCAATGATGGCCGGATTGTCGACATGTTCCAGCGTGCCGATGCCGATGGCAGCCTTGGTATCACCCAGGAAGAAGCCAACAAGCGTCTGGACAATTTGATGAAACGTGCCGACCGGAACAAGGATGGTGTCATCACCAAAGCCGATTTCAAAGGCGGAAAGAAAGGCAAAAAAGGCAAGAAACACCGCGGCTGAGCGCAGGAAACAGCCAGCCTGGTTTATCTTCCCGCACTAACATGCCCCCGGGTGCGGGAAACTAAAGGGAGCCGCTTTGCGGTTCCCTTTTTTGTTTGCGGAAACATGTGACGTTACGGGAATCTCAAGAAATTCCGGCGATACTCTCGGCATGAATTTTCAGGGGGATACCATGGCCAAGCCCGATTTGAATGCGTTTGCCACCGCAAGGATAGCGGAAGGGCAGGTGAGTGAAGCCGATGTCATCACGCTCCGCCGGTTTATCTACGGCGACATGGCCGTTTCACTTGAGGAGGGAGCAGCCCTCTTCAGGTTGAACGATGCCGATCTGACATATGCAGACACCTGGTATGAGCTTTTTCCTGAGGCGATCGGTGACATTCTTGTGCATCAGGCGCTGCCGCGAGGGTACGTTTCGGAAGACAACGCGGCCTGGCTGACCGGCCAGATCACGGCGGACGGCCATGTCTGCAGCCGAACTGAACTGGATACCGTCCTGCACGTTCTTGAAAAAGCCCGCGAAGCGCCGGAAAGTCTGGAGAAGTTTGCCCTGCAGGCCGTTGCGGACTCGGTCATCTCGGGCAAAGGTGCGACGCGGTCAGGGGCTGATCTGAAACCGGGTGTCATTTCCGATGGCGAAGTGGAGATCTTGCGCCGCGTGCTTTATGCGGGAGCCGGGTGCGGCGGTATCGCCATCTCCAGGACGGAAGCTGAAATCCTGTTTGACCTGAACGATGCCACGGTCGAAGCGGAAAACACACCTGCCTGGTCGGAACTCTTTTCCAAGGCGATTGCCAATCATCTGATGGCCATGTCCGGCTTCACGCCGCCTGCGCGGGAAGACGCGCTTGCGCGTGAGGACTGGTTGAGGCAACCCGGAGGCTATGAAAGAGGTCTCGGCGGGTTCTTCAGAAAGATGATCAGTGGCGGTGTCAGCGGCATTCGCGAAGCCTATGCTGATGCTCCCAACCCACTGGCGGCAAGGGGAGCTGCGATGGAGGCGGAAATCGCCGCAAATGAAGTCGTGACCGAAGACGAGGCCTCCTGGCTGGTGGAGCGGATCGGCCGTGACGGCGTGCTTCACGAAAACGAAAGAGCGCTTCTGAAATTCATCCGGGAGGAAAGCCCGAACATCCACCCGGCACTTCAGCCGCTGATGGACAAGGCGATCTGAGGCAGGTCACTCCTCGATCCGCATCGCCTCCGTTTCGATGATCAGCTGGACTTCGTCGCCGACAAAACCGTTGTCGACGGCATAGGCCATGCCGTAGGCGCTGCGCTGAACGGTGCCGCGCGCGCTGATCCCGAGCGTGAACCTTCCGTGCCCGAAGGGATATTTTTCAGCCTTGTTGAGCGTGACGTCGAGCGTCAGCGGATGTGTTTGACCAAGCAATGTCAGATTGCCCTCAACAGTTCCGGTCGTCTCGTTTGCAGGCGCACCGCCGTCGGCTCTGAAGGTCATCACCGGAAAGGCTTCAACGTCCAGAAAATCCTTGCTGCGCACATGGTTGTCCCTGGCTTCATTGAAGCTTTCCACGCTCGCGGTCTTTACCGTGATCTCGACGTTGGAAAGTTCCCTGGTGTCCATGTCATAGGTAAAACCCCCCTCGAATTCGAGGAACGCCCCAAGCGTATCCGCATAGCCAAGGTGATCCACCAGAAAGGCGATCGTGGTGTGGGTCGGGTCGAGCTCATAGCGATGCGGCTCGGCAAGCGCGGGTGTGGCGGCGATTGCCATTGCGGCAGCCAGGATGGGTATGCGGATCATGTCTGGCCTCGAAACTGGAATATCAACCAATAGGGAACCAGTCATGAAGCTAGCGCATGACAGCATCGCGGCAATGGCAATTTCAGGCGAAGTTACCCGTCCATACGAAAATCAACGTGAATGTGATTGCCATCCGGATCCCAGACGTTGACCGCGACAAGGTTGATTTGCGGCAATTCTGACTTCTGGTACTTTTCGCCGCGTTCGCGCAATCGGTTCTCGAATTCTTCTGCGCCGGTGGCCGAAAAGGCGAAATGCTCGAGCTTGAGTTCAACTTCTGAGCCAGTGCCCTGGTCGCCGTCGATACCAACCAAATGCACGAACGCCGTATCACCTGCGTATAGCCAGGCGCCGGGGAAGGGAAAATCCGGCCGCGGTCCCAGAGTGAGACCGAGAACATCCTGATACCAGGAGATCATGGTCTCAAGCCGGGTTGTGCGCAGGTTGACGTGATTGAGTTGGTGGATCTGCATCTTGCTGATCTCCTATTTCCACTTGATGGAGCAACCGATTGACGGGACCTGGTGATCAGGACCCTGACCGGTTTCGGCGATCTGTTTCATGGCCTCGAAGAGGTCGCGGCGCAAGTCTGAAGGAGACGTGCCCATCCGCGTCGCGTCAAGACGGCCGCGATACTGCAGTCCCAGATCCTTGTTGAAGCCGAAGAAATCCGGTGTACAGACCGCGTCATAGTTTCTGGCAACAATTTGATCCGCATCATGCAGGTAGGGGAAGGGGAATTCATGTTTTTCGGCCAGCAGCTGCATGTTTTCGAAACTGTCCGCAGGGTGGGAAACGTGGTCGTTGGAACAGATCGCGACAACGCCGATCCCGTGTGCCTTCATGTCATGGGCATCGCGAATGATCTTGTCGAGTATGGCCAGCACAAAGGGACAGTGGTTGCAGATAAACATGACCAGCGTGCTTTTCTCACCGGCGAGATCGGTGAGGCTGTAGGTGTTGCCGTCTGTCCCGGGAAGGCTGAAGTGCGGAGCCTGCCAGTCGAAGTCGCAGACGGGCGGTTGAAGAGCTGCCATTTGGATACCTTCAGGTTATGGAAGACTGTCGCGCGGGAAAATGCAGCCGGTTACCCGGCTGCTCCAGGTGTCAGAACCCTTCTACTACTATCTTGCCCTTTGCGGTGCCGGTTTCAATAAGAGCGTGTGCCTTGCGCATGTTTTCCGCATTGATCGGTGAGAGCACGGTATCGACCGTTGTCCGAATCCGCCCTGCGTCGATTTCGCGGGCGACATAGGTCAGCAGCTTGTGTTGCCCGATCATGTCCGGTGTCTGGAACATTGCCCTTGCGAACATGAACTCCCAGTGGAGACTTGCTGCCTTGAGTTTCATCTTGTCCATCGGCATGGGCAGGTTGGTGTCGTCGATGGTGACGATAGCGCCCTGCGGCCGGATCAGCTCGACAGCTGTTTCCCAGTGCCGCATGTCGTTGAAGATGGCGATATGGTCGACATATTGATGACTAAGTGCGCGGACCTGGGCGACCATGTCCTCCCGGTGATTGACCACTTCGTCCGCTCCAAGTTCCCGAACCCAGGCGGTTGTCTCGGGACGTGATGCGGTGGCAATGATCCTGAGGCCGGCCGCCTTTGCCAGCTGAATTCCGATGGAGCCGACACCACCCCCCGCGCCGATGATCAGAATGCTCTCGCCCCTGTTGCCACCGTCCCGATCAATGCCCAGCCTGTCAAAGAAGGATTCGTAAGCTGTCAGCGTCGTCAGCGGGAGAGCGGCTGCCTCTGCAAAACTCAGGGTGCGTGGCTTGAGGCCGACAATGCGTTCGTCGATCAGCTGGAATTGCGCGTTTGATCCTGAGCGAGTGATATCACCTGCATAGTAGACTTCGTCACCCGGCTTGAAAAGCGTGACTCCGGAGCCAACGGCCTCGACGGTGCCGGCGGCATCCCACCCGAGCACGCGCGGAGTTTCCTCGATCGTGTCTTTGGGGGCACGCACCTTGGTGTCAACCGGATTGACGGAGACAGCCTTCACCGAAACGAGCAGGTCGTGTCCCTCCGGCACGGGTTTCGGCAGATCGACATCCAGAAACGATTTTGGATCGTCAATCGGCAAATAGTGAGTCAGGGCAACGGCTTTCATGGTCTTTTTCTCAGATCGATTCAATTGGGAGGCTGATGGATCGCAAGGGTGCAAGGGATGGAACGGCATCACCGTCAGCCGATAACGGTCATTTCGTTCAGCGAAAATTCGGCAACAGCGCCTTCGGTCGCCGTCATGTAGTCCGCAAGATGAGGCGCATTCATATGCGTTTGCCAAAGCTCTCGCGTTTCCCAGTTTTCATAGAACATGAAATGAGCCGGGTTTTCATTGTCCTGGTGCAGGTCGTAGTTGATGCAGCCGTTTTCCGCGCGGGTCGCTTCGATCAGCTTCAGCAGCTCAGATCTGACGAGTTCGATCTTGTCTGGATTGGCCTTGATGTTGGCGACGATGGTGAGTTGGGTCATGGGTCTGTTTCCTTGTGTGGTGTTGAAGCTCATTTAATTGCTTGACGGTCTCGGATAAACGGGCAAGATGCGGAGTGATAATCCGGAATTTCCGTATAATGCTCCTTGACAACATCTCCTTGTTCCTGCTGATCGTGGAAAAAGGCAGCCTGGCTGCAGCCGCGCGCGAGGCGGGCCTTGCACCGACGACTGTATCGGAAAGACTGGTGGCACTTGAAGCCCACTATGGTGTTGTTCTTCTCAACCGAACCACGCGATCCATCAGCCTGACGGAAGAGGGGCGGGCACTCGTTGATGGTGCGCGCACGGTTCTGAGTGATGTTGAGGAGCTCGACAGCAGGATCCGGACCGGCGCAAAGACGCTGACAGGACTGATCCGTATCAGCGCGCCCGAAGATATCGGACGAAACATCATCTCCGGTGCGATTGCAGAATTTCAGATGGCGCATCCCTCCATCACGATCGACCTGCATCTGTCGGATGGTTACGTTGATATTGTGGGGCTCGGCATCGATCTTGCCGTTCGCTTCGGATCGATCAGCGACAGCTCGCTCAGGGTCAGGCATGTGGCATCCCGCAAACGTATCCTGTGCGCTTCACCCGAGTATCTGAAGCAAAAAAAAGAACCAATGACGCCTGCGGATTTGAAGGATCACAATTGCCTGCTGATGCGTTTCGGCCAGAACATCGACAACACCTGGGAATTCAGGCAGGGCGATGTGAAACACATTGTCACCGTAACCGGCAACCTGATCGCCAATGACGGAGCCCTTGTACGCGAATGGGCACTGGAGGGGCGCGGTCTCGCGCTCAAGTCGGAATTCGATTCCGCCGATGATATTCGGAACGGGCGGTTGATTGCGCTTCTGCCCGAATTCGAACCACCGAGTTCACCTCTGCAGATCCTGTTTCCACCCGGCCGGGCACAGCCCCGCAGGGTCCGTGCCTTTGCCGATCATCTGGCCAGGGTGTTCCGTGATGCCGCATGACCGTACGTTTTTTTCAGGGTTGCAGCGAAGCGTCCAACGATTTGCTTTCTCAATGGAAAGACCAATTGCTAAGGCATTTTGTTCGAAACAAACAGAGGTGGCTCGGTTTGTCTGAACAGTTCGGGGCGTTTTGCTAAGTGGATTTCCGCCTCGATTATGCCGCCACCATCATCGGCGTCAGCGCGTTGAAGTAGGCCTGATCCGGCGTCTGCCGGTCAAGGGATGAATGTGGGCGTCGTGTGTTGTAAAAGGTCAGATAGCGGCCGATGCCAGCGCGGGCCTCGGACACGGTCTTGTAAGCGTGGAGGTAGACTTCCTCGTATTTGATAGACCGCCAAAGCCGCTCGACGAAGACATTGTCCCGCCAAGCGCCCTTGCCGTCCATCGAGATGGCGATCTCAGCTTTCTTCAGCACTGCCGTAAAGTCGATGGAAGTGAACTGCGAACCTTGGTCAGTGTTGAATATTTCTGGCTTGCCATAGCGAGCCAGTGCCTCCTCGACTGCCTCGATGCAGAAGGCTGCCTCCATAGTGATCGACAGCCGCCACGACAGAACCCTCCGGCTGAACCAGTCCACAACGGCACAGAGGTAGACAAAACCGCGAGCCATCGGAACGTAGGTTATGTCCATTGCCCACACCTGGTTGGGCCGGGTGACCGCCAGCCTTCGCAGGAGATAGGGATAGATTTTGTGACCTGGCGCTGGTTTCGAGGTGTTCGGGCGGCGATAGATCGCCTCGATGCCCATCTTCTTCATCAGCGTGGCGACGTGAAGCCGCCCGACACTCAGCCCTTCTCCATTCAAGAGCCCTTGCAACATCCGGCTTCCCGCGAACGGGTAGTTGAGATGCAGTTCGTCGATCCGGCGCATCAGAGCCAGATCGCTCTCAGACACCGGACGAGGCAGATAATAGACACTGCCACGGCTGAAGCCGAGAAGCTTTGCCTGGCGCACAACCGATAGCTTATGCTCGCGGTCGATCATTTCTTTCCGCTCAGCAATCCCGCCTTGCCGAGCGCTCCGGCTAAAAAATCATTCTCCAGCGTCAGCTCCCCGATCTTGGCATGCAGCGTTTTGACATCGACGGTCGGCCCTGCCGGTACCGCCTTCGATTCATCGCCGAAAACGCTTGTCGCTCCCGTAAGAAGCTGGTCTTTCCACTGCTTGATCTGGTTGGCGTGCACGTCGAACTGCTGGGACAGTTCCACCAGTGTCTGCTCGCCTTTGATCGCGGCAAGCGCAACTTTCGCCTTGAAAGCCGGGCTGTGGTTCCGGCGCGGTCGTCTCGTCATCGTCTCTCCTGTTTCCGGCATCTAAGCCAAAGTCAGGCAGAAATTCCACTTATCCCAGCTGTGCAAATTTCCCGAGCCAGCTCTAACCTCACCAATTTGCGTATGCAATTTCGTTTACGCTTCCTACAGGCAAAACTCGCCCATCAGTTCCTGATTTCATTTAATTCTTCAAACATTGATTACAAGCCATACGGAAAAGCACCCT